TTCAAGCTTCTTATATGTGACTATGCCTTTTTATCTTTTCCCTTTGAAATGAAAGAACTATATATGTCCATGTTTTATAAGCAAAGGTTTTGAGAAATTAGTTTCATTATTCTGCCTAATTTATCTTGTTTTTGAGGAATTAGTTTCATTATTCTGCCTAATTTATGAGAGATTATTCTAAAAATATTGAAATACATTAAACCACATTTATCATTGGATGTGCTACATGTACATCTTTCTTTTTTCTTTTTGTACTTGGGTTTTCATCTAAGATGAGTTCTAACAAAAATGTACCAGGGTAAGATCAAGATTCTGTCTCCATTTTAATAGGGGAGTGTACGAGTACTAAAGTGTCATGTACCTTTTTATTAGGTTTAATTAAGTTGGCTACTTTGCTTCATTTTGTGCACACCAAGTTCAAAACTTCCTCTTTACGATGTAAATAAATTTAGTTTAAATATTCTATCATTTATCAAAATAAAGTAAAATTATACCATAAGTTAAACACGCATGTCCTCCTATAAGAAGCCAACAAGAAGCCTAAAGCGATATAAAGTAGATTATAGTACGTAGGCCAAGCACAAGCAAAGGATAACAAACATAATTCGATAAATAGTCCAAACTTTTACTTAAACGAAAAGCCTACCAAAGACGCGTGGATCCCCATCGTTCCTGAAAAGTTATATAATGTTGTAAATTGATAAGGTGTGAGAGGATGATAAACATTTCATTTGGTTAATCTTTGAAATCTGTACAAGGAATGATTAATTTCTTAATTGGTTAATTAATCATATTATGGGCACTACGTGTGCATGGTTGTTCTGTGAAGGGAGAGGATATTTTGGTAATATGATGCATATATGTGCATGCAGAAATATCTAAGTTGTCGCCATGGCTTAGTACTGGGCCCTTTCGACATGCAAGTGGTCGCCTTCGCGGATTGTATCACTGTGCAGGGGCCACTTTTAAGTTTGATCGTTGAAATGATTTCCGACCACATCGGGCCCTTTAATTGAAACGAGACATACAAATCCATACAAAAAAATATAAGAAGTTTTAACGAAAAGTCTACGGTACTGTTCATTTTAACAAAAAATCATATTTTTACACTAAAAAGTCAATTCTGATACTATTCACTTTACCTTTTATTTTGTCCTGATAGTTAAAACTTAAAATTTTCAAACCATTTTCATTAGTTTTTCTAAAAATATATCACAAAATATTATTTTATTAAATAATAAATAAATATTTACATGAGAAGGCCCAAGGAGATAATGATGTGAATGTGGCCTTGTGGATCATTTATATATTTGATGCCTTAGTTTTCTTTGGTTGTGATTGGATATGCAGAATTCTAGGGTTTATCGTCTACCTCAAATGAAATCCAAATTTGGTCGTCTGACTAGCTACTTTTGTGCATAAAGTTAAACACGAAGGCGAATACGACCAATAGGGTTTCTGCAAATAGGATCGTTCTAGTTAGTTTGTGATGTTCATGGATTTCAACTTGCAAATGCATATTTGGTTGTCCAAAGTATATATTGGTGATACTGTATGAACGGAGCCTACAACAACCTTGACAACCCTATGCATGAAAATTACCAAGGAAGGTGCGGGAGGTGTTTACATATGAAAGCTAAACATTTCTCCTTAATTAAAAATCTCTCCCTAGTTTGTAAATCACATTGTTATGCCTCTGTAATTTGGCTCAAGAAGGTTTCATCACTTGTTGATATGGTTTCGGTTCATCACTTGTTGATATGATTTCGGTTTCTAGCCATTAGGCCTCTGTAAATTAACGTTCTATGTTGATACACAAAATCAAGTGGATCTTGAGTCAATGTAAAGTGTGGAGGAAACTTAGGTTAAAGATAGATGGACGAAGCAACCTGCAAGGAAGGTAGAGTAAGTGTCGAAGGGCACTAGTGTGGTACCTGCTTAAGAGCCTTTGATGCTTAAAATAGCAAAATATGTTTGAGGCGGCAGGCGCATGGATGAGTTTATTGGTAATATAGTACTGTTAAGTTGTAATGATGCTTAACCTTTTGAAGGGAGTGGAAGTTACTTTTTAAAAGAGGCAAAGTTGGGGATGATTTCTAGACTAGGTCAATGTGAGATTGAATGCACTTAATGTGATGTTGTCACTTGTTGCGTTGTGATTGGCTTTTAAGTTGAAGGGAGATCTCCCATTAATTAGATACGGGAATAGCCACGAGCTGTGGCTCTCGCTTGTTGTGAGGTTAATTCGTGTGCTTCGACATGAGTGCCTCAGCAGAGTCCTTTCGGATGGTTCTTGAGGTTTCCCAATTGACCTGTATTTGGAGGTTTCGGGATCTTCAATCCATTGCATCAGGCGGGTTCAAACCCTCTTCCTCCCCTCCCCATATACAACTTAGATAAATTTGGTGCAGAGTATCTTAGGTTGTTCAAAGAAAAAAAAAATGTTATCATCCTTATTAGCATCCAAATATCATCTCTAAAAAAATTCTTTCAAAGTTACGTTCGTAATATATATATATGTATATGTATATTTTTTACTTTTAAAGTAGAGTACGAACCACGTTACTAAAGAATGAAGACGTTTCTCCTTTCCGAAAATGAGGAAAGTATTATCCTTATCCAAAAGATGAAGATTTTGTACACTTCTACACTAGTTCTTCGGATTGCAGTAGAGAGATTCTCTCGACAAATTGTTGACAATTTTCGCCAAACGAAGGCAGAATAGCTTATGCTATAACAATGCTTGGTCTTAGCTGCAAACACCACAAGATTTGATTTGAGTGGGCGTGAGCCGCGACACACTAAAGACAGTTATTAGTGCGCAATCTTAACCCCATAAACTAAGCTAATATGCTAAGCATTTATTTGGTGGTGTCACTGTATCGTTGACCGATACGATAGTCGACGTTCCTCTTAATTTTCACAAAGCAATGAGTCTTATTGGTTTGGGGTCATCTTTTTTTAGGGCGAGCCTTTGTGTAACGAAAATGTTGCTTTTTTATGACCAGAAGATCATAGATTCGAGTCGAGAAAACAACAACCTCTTTGCAAATCAAGAAAAAGGTTGCATACGATAGATGTTTCCTCTCTAACACTCACAAAACGGAAACTCCATTTTGTCACTACATATAGTATGGACCCATTATCCAAATAGGACATGAAATTAACACCCTCTACCGCCATATACATACTCATCAAACAGATGCCCTTTTTCCTTTGAAGAAGAGTACGGACCACATTGCAGAGCCCTACCCTATTGATGTACATGATACTAAAATACATTCATTCAAACATTATATTATCTTATACATATCTAAACAATTTTATATCCGGTCACGGGCCACCAGTCACTGTCATATATATCTTGTAAGTGTACAGCCCTTAATACAAACAGTGCTTGAGATGCACCGATTTTTCACCAGTCTTACTTGTTACAACTAAGTGAGGTCCAAAATGATTCCATGTGTAAATAAATTAAATGAGAGATCATCATACACATATTTTGGTGCAAAAAAACTTGATGCGTCTTTATCTCAAGTTAGGGAGCCCTTACAATGATAGTTGTTGGATAAGGGGTTAGATTCCTAAATGTGTATGGGCAGTTGGACAAAATTGAACGTCTAGAATGTAAGAGAATTTTTACTGTACAAGTGGGTTGAAATGACTTATTATAATACACACAATGACGATAAACGATGTTAAAACAAGGATATATCAACAGTTGAACAATGACAGTGATGATCAATTGATGCCATGAGGGCGATCTATGATATACGTCTCAACAGTTCAACAATGGGAGGAAAAATGAAAGGTCCGCGGGTACGATAGCATGTCAATAGTCGAACAATGACATAGCAATAATCTATAGACTTAATTCAACATCTGGAGGAGATGTCAAGATCCTAAATTTGTGTTTCTACATTGTTTCTACGTCCATTTGCAAACGAATCTATCTCTTGATAGCGATGCCTTATGTGGGATTCAAAGATGAGAAACGAAGAGATGCATAGATGTGAGAGGGAGATATGAAGTGGATGCATTGAGTTTGGAGGGAGGAGAGAAGAGAAGCAAGGCATGTACTGAATATGAACACTGACCAACGCATTCGGTTTTGCTTGGTTTGATAGTTTTTTAAATCGAGCTGGGGTTTTCTGGTTTAAAACGGGTACTTTCAACCTAGTCGGACAATAAACATAATGGTAATCTAGGTCGTTGGATACAGTAGAGAATATAACGGTCATGATCTCATTGATTTCGGTTTCTTAGCTCAAGGGAGTGTGAGTAGTAATCAAGGGGGTGTGAATATTCTACTTTCATTGATTCTATTACCTCCACTTAATACATTCAGGTTTTTTTTCCAATCATATTGGAGATAAAGAGGTTTAACTTCACATGAATTTCTTATTACGAAGTTAGTCACAATGTAGTTTTCAGTTTATAACTGTCTCGACAATTTTGTTTTTTTGTTTTCTTTTTAATTAGATAATATCCGTAGTTTGTAATAAAATAATATTAATTCTTATCATGATGAAGTCACCATTGAGTCAAATGTACCATTGGAATCCTTGCCGGATATTTTTTCTTGGGATTCTAGGGATCCTGTGATTGTGAGCGTTCATCGTACATCGTGTAGTCAGTTTTTGCTGGATACTATTTATATTTAATTTTAAATTTTGAAATGATTTTTGACCGTACAATGTATGATGAACGATCACGATCACATGATCCCTTAGGATTTCTAGAAAAAGGATTCGGCGATGACCATTTTCCTCAAATGTAACCAAAATATAAGAGTTTTCAAATGGGTAATGGTAAAGACTTATCTACTTAAATCATATTTTATAAACCAACGATTGATGATTTGACTTTTTATTGTTAAATTATTAAAAAAAATTTAACCATCAAGCGTCACATTATATGATCTACAAAATATAATTTAACAATATAATCTCTTTAGTATTTTTCTTTTAAAATCGTAAGATTGGTCGGACATACAACGTGATCATCGACTTGATCCAAGATTTTCCCGCTAAAGCAACATAAATGTGCGAGAATATTTGTAGATATTTGATTCTTGAAGATTTGAATCAAACACCCTAACCTCAGCTCACCTTTTGCCCCGCGCCCCAATTTAGCAACCGCGCGCGCGACAGAGTGCCAAACTCAAGTTTTCTTCCCGCTAAAAATTTAACCCTTATCAACATCTCCCACCCGTTTCTTCCAGCGTGTTCGAAGCCTCGCCCGCCTGCACGCCATTTTCCTTTCCCTCCAAACACAATGCCCGCCATCGCCAAACGTAGCCTCGAACTCAACAAAGACATCATGGCCACCCGATCGGAGAGTACGCCCGATGCCGTCCCATCCGCCGGCGGTTCCACGCCTCCGAGGCGGAGGCTCAGATCCAACTCGTCGCCGATGAAGCCGAGTCCGATCTCCAAGCCCATGAAATTGGGTTCGCCTCGAAAGCGGCTCAGTACTTGCGATAACACTCAGGCAAATGTGAGATCGGATTTTATTGTTGATGTTGCGACTGCGAAGTAATTTGAGAGTTTGATAAAGCTATCGATTTCATCTCGTTGGTTAATTTGGAAATAATTTCAGGGAATTGAGAAGTATTTCACCCAAAAGAAGGTCCAGACTTTGTGCAAATCAGTCGAAAAATCATTTGAGAAACCAAAATGGAACCTGAAAGGTGACTATTTTCAAGCAAAATTAATTTAATTTATGGGAAAATGTGTCTTTGGTGTTTGAACTGGGAAATTGTTTTGGTTGGATATGTAGATGGCAAGCAAATCAGTGAGGTGAAGGAGGCATTGCATGTTTCAAGCGTGCCATCAACTGTTTCATGCCGGGAAGACGAGCTGAAAAGGGTTTTGGAGTTCTTGAAACAATGCATAGTGCAAGAGAAGGCTGGGAGTTTGTACGTCTGTGGGTGTCCGGGGACCGGAAAATCGCTGTCCATTGAGAAAGTGAAGCAGGCTTTGGTTGATTGGGCAGGAGAGGTGAGCTAATTGCTCCTCAATGATTTTATGTGCTTAATTGTACAAATATCATAGAATCTTTGAAATGTATACTACATGTTTGATTTTATGTGCCATGTCCGAAAAATGTGTTATTTAGATACGAAGTGTTAATTAACACTGGGAATTGTTCTTATTGCCAGGCTGGGTTTGAGGAACCGGATGTGTTGGCTTTGAATTGTTCTTCTCTAACAAAGACTTCTGATATTTTCGCTAAGGTAACGAAACTTGAATGCTTCTTCTGTTGTTGGTTGTAAGGTATGACAGATGATGTGCTCACATTTGGTTTGCAATGGCAGATACTTGGTAAAGACCAAACGCCAAAGGAAGTTAAAAGCAAAACCTCATCCCTGCAGCTTCTCCAAAATTTGTACTCTCAAAAGCCTTTGTATTCTAGAAGGAAGATGACGTAAGTACTTTATCCTCGTTCGAACACGATCTGAGCAATGTTTGACAGAATGTAATAAAGAGTGGTTATACTAAAATAGTTTCTATTCCATCAGGCTGGTAATAGCTGATGAGTTGGACTTCTTAATTACTAAAGACCGGGTGGTGCTTCATGATCTTTTTATGCTCACAACGTACCAATTCTCGAGATGCATACTCATAGGTACTAATCTAGTTAATATAAGGTAAGTTCAGTTACAAATTTGTAGTAATATGTGAAGTTCTCATACTATTTATGCTTTTGCAGGAGTGGCAAATGCCATAGACCTGGCCGGTCGTTTTCTTCCAAGACTTCAGTCATTAAATTGTGAGTTGAGTAGCTTTGTTAACTCGTTTTTCTTCAATGAGATGCTGTACTGTATTTGGGGTGTAGTACTTACTAGCAACTATTGTGCTTACGTATTATGTTCATGTTCTAGGCAAACCTATGGTTATTACTTTTCGGGCATACTCTTATGACCAGATTCTCAGGATTCTTCAACAGAGGTTAATTGTAAGTTTATGCCTTCATTTATAAATTAATCACGAGCCTGAATTAGGAATTTTTTTTTTTCTCCCTTGCTGTGGAGTATTCATATACGAGTTGTTCTCTCTTATTGTCTTGGTTTATTTACCGACTACTAACAGTTACTGTGGTCCAACAGACACTACCTTACACCGTCTTTCAACCACCAGCATTAGAACTTTGTGCAAGAGTAAGTTTGCTATTGTTATCATATTTTCCAGAACATCCTTATTGGATTTAGATGTTACCAATTTTTATATTAAAAGCATATAGGCTGAGTACTTACAATGAAAAATGGCAGAAAGTTGCTGCCGCATCTGGAGATATGAGGAAAGCTCTTTGTATTTGCAGGTTAGTTTTGTTGAGTCGCATGATAAATTATTAAATTGTAAGAAAGGTGTCTGAATTAGACGATTCTGATTAATTGGAATAGACATGGACTGTGCAATTGAAAGGAACAAGCACTTTAGATTCATCAATGTATCAGAAAATGTAAATGCCTTACAAGTTACAAGTCATATAAATGTCAGAGAATGCATCTATATATCTGGTGACTTTTGATTCTATTTGTAGGAGCATTGCGTGGGGTTATGAGCGTAATTTTTCCTAAACTTTTTTCCAGGAGTGCCATTGAGATTCTGGAAGCAGAGGTGAAAGAATCTGCTGAGAACTTGAATTCATCATCAGTAGTGGATGCATTCTTTGAGCAGCAGACGGCAACTGCTCCAGCTCCTGTTGTGAAAAAACAGGAGACTGATGTTGTAAGCGATCACCCTTGATCCCCACATGCCTCAAGAACTTATCTGAATCACCAAACTGACAGATTTCATGCATTCGTTTCAGTTCATTCTCTTGTTCGTGCAAGAAGATTTCAGAAATTTTCCAATTCCATTATCTTTATTTGATTCATTCTTTAACTCCAAAAGTTTCAAGTAAATACTTTGAATTGTGAAAACCTAAAAGGTTCGCAATGCATACTTCAAATTTTTAACTATTTAGGTTCTAAATTTTCACTTATGTGTGTTGCAGGTGACAATTGGTCATATGGCTTCTGCTTTGTCAAAGACATTCAAATCACCAGTAGTGGATACCATACAAAGTCTTCCGCAACATCAACAGGTAGCCCTTTTTCTGGTGACTTGTACTCGTTGAATGTAGGCTGTGAGGCTTTTGAGTAATACAATTCTTCAGAAATAGTTACTCTAGTTCTGATCCATGAAACGAACATATAGATTGGCATCCTATCATTAATTTTAATGCAAGTGTCCTATTTCACAACAGATTATACTTTGCTCTGCCGTGAGGCTTTTCCGTGGGAAAAAGAAGGATTCAACTGTAGCACAGGTATGTTTCCTTTCCATTGTTTGATGATAAACGATAACACAGGCATTTAAAACTTACGTTGCTGATTTCTGTGCTTTTCACATATTTGCAGCTAAATAAATCTTATATAGACATCTGCAAATCAACATTAATTCCACCAGTCGGAATTTTTGAATTTTCAAGTATGTGCAGAGTGCTAAATGACCAGGTCAGCAAATACATCTGTTAATATAACATTCCTTGTATCGGTGTTCTCTGACAATACGTTATTAGATTTTAATACGAATTCACCAACTTGGTAAAGCAGAAACAAGTTACTTACTGAGGCATAATCTACGTGCAGGGCCTCCTGAAGTTGGGTGGTCAATCTCGAGACGAAAAACTTAAAAGAGTGACAACGAATGCAGCAGACGAAGCAGACATCACTTTTGCACTACAGGTTAGGTCACAATATATCCAAGCCTCTTATAAACTCCGGTTTTCATTTACGATATAATCTTGTAATTTCTTTCAGCTTGTTGATGTTTACCTCTTTTATGTTTGAACAGGGAATTCGTTTCTTTCGGAACTGTCTTCAGTAGTTGTATTCAAAGAATATGCACTCCAGATTCTTCTTATGCTTGATACCGGCGGCTCCCATTTCCCACCTGCTTCAAAATTCAAATACAAGGTCCGAAACCTTACCTTTTACAGTTTTCTCGAAATTCATTGCCTTGATTACGAATTGTGCATCTCATATTTTGAACTGCATGAGAGTGAGCCTTGGCGTAACTGAAAGGTTGCTCCTTTGTGACCGAAAGGTCACCGGTTCGAGTTATATAATAGCCTCTTTGCAAAGCAAAGGTAAGGCTGCGTACGATTGACGTTTCCTTTGACCCTCGTAAAGTAGGGAAACTTGTTGGCTTGGGGTCGTTTTTTATATTTTGAACTGAATGCTTCAACCATACAAATGAAGACGTTGACATAGGGTTAGCAACAATGCTGGTAAAAAGATTTTCATTGCATAGTTGAAATAAAATCTATGTCCAGTGAAAACTTTCCTGCAGATAATGTGCCTTGGAAGCCAAGTTTTCACCATTTACTCATCAATATTTATCTTGCCAGTTTCCGTCATCTCCTATAGTTTCATATTACTGTTCGAATGCAGAGTTCCGGCGACGAGAAGCATCTAATTTCAGACCAGTTTCCGTCAAGAGTTCAATTTCGCCGTTTCGTTCTTTAAAAAGATGATACAAAAGAAAACAACAGAGAGAAGTTGTTGAATTAGTTTATGTTATACTTGTAATTCAAAAGATGTAACTTATTTTGTATAAACATAGGAATGTAACACATTCTTCTTTCTGAAAAGATAATAATGTTTATTTATTTTCATGTTTTTGTTACAAAGATTTCTTTTTATTATACTATAGAACTAGCATTATGATCTCTCACGTTCACGATAAGGATTCAATTCTCTTTATTTCCTAGCAATTATGTGTGTGAAAAGACACATGAAATGATGTGATAATTAACTAATCTTTTGGTGAGATGGCATCACTATCGCATGATTTTGTCAATCAACCCACGCTATAACATGCATATTTATTAAATTGATACTATACCCTAAATTATATGTTCGTTGATCACCCATTTTATAACAGGTAAATTAGAATTACGTGATTTTATATTTAAGAAAATTTGTAAATACAATAACAAGTAAATACCAATTATTGCCAAAGAAGTACAATGACATACCTCGACCGGAGTCGAGATTTGCTAGTCGTCACGTGAGAGTGACGTAGCCAAGTGCATAATAGAAGTGATACTAATAAAAGAAATGTGAATAATTAAAAACCAAAACTAAACTTATTTAACTAGAGATACTAAGGGTGCGTTTGTTGCACCGGACTGTCTCAGACTGGACTAGCTGCAGGGACTAAGTTGGACTGGCTTAGACTAGACTAAGCTGGACTAACTTAGTGAAGCGTTTGGTGCAGTGTCGGACTAAGAAGCAGGATAATGAAAACAGGATTATTCACCATATTTGTGTTTGCTTAGACTAGGATTACATTATTGTTCTATTTTAATAGCTCCAATACATGTGTCCAACGCCCTAAAAATTAGAGGGTTTGGAATTGGAATTGGGGTTGGCATAGGTGTAGCAACATTGAAATTGAAATGGGAGTAACAATCTTACAAATTACTACAAATATTTGGGCACATTGCCTTGAGTTTAATCTCTTGAATTGTTATTGTAATCAATCCACAACTTGCCCTTAAAAGTTGATTTAATTTGTCTTCTTATCACACATTAAACGTCATTAGCCATCAAATACTTATATCAACATAACTTGATCCAAGGATTTCTTAGTCCGACAAATACATCATTCACTAAATTTTCATCCAGGATATTTTACAAAATGCTAGTTAACTATAGTATAGCATTCCAAAGTAGATCTTCATACTTTACAAAATCCTAGTTAACATTAGCCAAAATACGTCATAGTGCAAAGCTAAGTTAGAAGCCATAACCTAAGATTGTACGATTAATAAAATACATCCATGTCTAAGGGCACCACATAATATACTCATCCGCTTGCTTTGTCGCTTAAAAGCCTTTGGACGAACACTTTCTTGAGTCCCGAATTGATTGCCCTGAACACTCCCACATTTTGTGGTTTTTCCAAAATAAGAGTCAATGCATCAATTTGATCCATAGGAGAAAGACCCATTGCTTCAAGTTCGTTAGCTATGTCAGTATGATTTGCAGTACCTTGAACTAAAGCTTCAGTTACCATTTGCATCCTCTTCCCACTTTCAACATAAAATTCTTTCAGTCCACTAATAATTGCCTCGGTTCCATCACTTGAATTTCCCATAGCTCTTTTCCTCTTTCTTTGGCTATTTTCAGATGGGGTGCTTTGTTGGCTTTGTTGGTTCATTGAAGATACAACATTTTCACCTCCAATATCACTTGCACCAACCTGAGCATGACTTTGTTCCTCCATCATTTCAACAGGGGTTTCGGCTACATTACTCGTAGCCCGATCTTTTCCAAATATATATGCAAATCTATCGTACAGTGGAAAAGGTTTGCTTCTCCATCCATCAGCTTCTTTATTTTTCTAAGATTATATGAACATAGCAAAACTAAAATTTAGCATGCATAACAAATATAGTAGCAAGAATATAACTAATGTATAAATAAAATAGGATATGAACCTGCACATAAGAAAGCCATGCGTCATCACTGTCAACTTCAACGCACTTTTTGACATCATTCCATGCAAATCCACTTGTGTTTATCATGTCAAAGACCAAACTATATGTTTTTTTCCATTTCTTCAACTTTGACTCAATATGTGGAGTTGCCTTTATATTTGAATTAGGACATAAAACGTTGACAGCTTTCGCTATTTCAATCAAAGTACCTTGTTTGAAAGCACCTGTGTCACATCGTTGCTTCCGAGCAACAAAATCCTCAAGAACGGATAGTAATACTTCTTCCTCAAATGCTTCCCATTTACGCCTTCTTCCTTTTGGCTCTTGAGAAGCATTCAAATTATTGTGGTTATCCATACCTAAAAAAAAAATATTTGAATGTACTAAAATACAATACAAACAATCAATTTGCATAATATCCAATCAATTTGCATAATATCCAATCAATTTGTATAATATCCAATCATTTTAATAATATCCAACAAATGCATGATAAAAAGGAAAACTAAAATAAAATCTTATCATTAACACATATAACTAGTTCGGTTGCTGGTTCCTAATTGCTCTCCACTCATTATACATTTCCTGAGCCATGGCATTCCTCTTTGCAGTCCACTGGTCAGATGTTTCAACACTACCAACATATTCACCTTCTTCTGTATTTTGTCCATCTTCTATTATTGGCACATTCTCCATGGGATCTACAGACATCTCTTGCCTAATAAGATTGTGTAGTAGGCAACAAGCGGTAATTATTCGACCTTGTGTCCTTATCGGATAGAAAGATGGACTCCTTAGTATCCCCCACCTTCCTTTTAGCAAGCCAAAACAACGTTCAATTACATTCCTTGCCTTAGAATGCTTCATGTTAAAATATTCTTCCTTATTAGAAGGTGTTCGTCCTTCCCATTCAGATAAATGATAAGGTATTCCTCTATAGGGTGCAAGGAATCCTTCACCATTTGTATAACCACCATCTACAAGGTAATAATAACCTAATAAAAAAAAAAAAGACCTTATATTAGTATTTTGTAGTTCAAAAACAAAACTAGACCTAACTTACAAAGTTGAGACTAACTAATAATCTTACCCGTTGGTACCTTAAAACCATTAGGCCTAGTAATTGCATCATGTAGCACTCTAGAGTCTGATGTGGAACCCTCCCACCCCGGAAACACATATATGAACTGCATATCTCCTGAACACACACCTAATACATTAGTTGCGACTCGACCCTTTCTAGTTCGGTATCTTGGTTTGTCAATTTCAGGTACATGCACATCAATGTGTGTTCCATCTAATGCTCCCAAGCAATTCTAAAAAAAAAAAAAAAGCTTTTGTTAATTTATACAAAGGGAATGAAGAGTTAAAGCTTAGGGAAAATGAAAATAATTATCAACATACCTTAAAACATCGCCACCTAGGATCTGTAGAATCAATAGGCACAGGTTGAGGGACTTTTAGTAGGATACCTTGTAATCGCAAAATTCCTTGCAATACACTATTGAAATACCTACTTATAGTCTCTCCCGACCTATAAAATCTACCACCAACACTACGATTCTTAGTATGATGTGCTAGTATTTGTAAAGTCATACACACCTGCTCCTCTACAGAGACCAAACCATCCGTTTTTATCCTCCCATCTTGACGAAGTAAGTCACATAATATGCCAAAAGTCCTTCTATCCATTCTCAATTCGTTGACACATTCAATATCAGTATTCCCTATTATACCATTCAGATAACACAAACTAATCTCTCGTCTAACAAGTGAACGGTTAGTCAAGGTGCGTCGTTCAACATGTCTCTGTTTTGCCCTTAGCATCAGCAACACAAGAATCGTACAAATGCAAATCGTCTCTAAATGAGACATCTCTAACAATAAGATCAATAAAAGCTTCCTTCGATCCATATCTATCCAAACAAAAAAAAACGAAAAAAAATATTAAGGACATTATGCTACTGCACGCTTTCCATCTGGCACAAAGAACAAACCAAATAATATAATCCAGCTATGCTATATCAGCTGATAAAACAACATTACCGCAAATATCAAAAGCAAACTGAAACAAGTACAAAATTTCTAGGTATGCTTATACCTAGAAAAACAGAAATCATGGAAAAATAGGTAGGGAAATGACAAGTTGCACTTGAACTAATCAATCGTGCAGTGTTTTGGTAATGGCAGTGGAGGAGATGGCGGAATTGGGGCAGGCACAGGCCCAGGTTATGGTGGCGGGGTGGGTGGTCATGACAAGAAGATGTAATAAAGTTAGTTTGGTTTGTATACAAGCTGTGTTGTTTCACTTAAACAGAGAAAGATGAATAGTTTGGTTTGTATACAAGGTGTGTTGTTCCACTTAAACAGAAAAAGATGAAGGGCAGGAAGAACAGATGTTACTCTGCTTGCACAGTGCTCACACAGTTCAGAACTTGAATACACTATGCTGACTGCACAAAAAACGAAATTTACATGCCACCAATTGTGTGACCAACAACAGCAATGACATAATTCGAAGCCTAAATTGCAGAAGAAAATAAATCAACTAAAAACGTTGTAAAAAGTTTATATGTCTATAATTTAACTTCAACCGCAAGGAAATGACAGTGCCAAGTAACAGAGACAAATCTCATCCATGCATAACATAATATGTACTGGGAACTAAGAAATGACCCTGTTCTTGGAGGGGTTAAAGAGTCAAATAGAATATTGGAGGGGTTAAAGAGTCAGTATGCAGTTCTCGGACTATTGGCAAACGACTCCCTTGCGTGTATGGTGGTGTATATAGAAGGGAAGAAACAACAAACGTTTTCAGAATAGCACCTGTGGTTAGGAAGATCAATATGCAGAACAATGCTGTCATTTCAATGTAATGTTGAGTTCATAAAGCTACAATGGATGCTATGATTCCTTATCATCGAATGTACGAATGATGCTAAGTCTGCGTGACTCATGAAGAACTAGGAACTACAAGATAAGAAAAGCAAGACAAGGGATAAATCCGAACGATATTAACAAGCAATTAGCTGGAGCATTTTAAAGCATATGGCAAACTACAAAGTCTAAACAATCCAAGCCCAAGTAACATTTGAATAAATCAATCTAAACCATAACAACGGGATTATCAATCGAAGACAGTACAAACAGAAAAATGTGTCTTCAGAAACAATGCAAATGAAATGTATTCAACAGCCAATAGTATCGTGCAGTTTTTCCACTAGGAGCCGGTTATCCCGCAGAAAGACAAAGAAATAAGACCAAAAGATAAAGAAATTACTCGTAAGTAAAAGACGAATGAGTTGTTCAAAGTTCGTATTGACAGTGGAGTCCTAATGAGTTATTCACCGAACATTTTCTATACATGTTGCTTGCTAACTCGTATGCGTATTCTTTTGGCAGACTTACTAATCTGCTGAGAAGACGAACATTTTCCTACTTTACCGAAGCAACACTATCGCATCATGTTTTCGAAAAACCCAAAAAAATCCCATTCGAATTAAAATCTCGAATTTGTTTAGAACCCAGATCATATATCAGATTTACACATCAAATTCGAAGCCAGATCACATTTCAGATTTACCATCACAGAAAACCCCAAATCGCAAAATTATATAGCAGAATCCAAATTATATAGCAAAATTATATACCAAATTCGAAGCCAAATCACATTTCAGATGCTCTAATCAATCTCAATTTGACCTAAAAATCAAAACCCTAATTTGTTCAAGTGCAGAGGTCTAGGATTCAAAATTTCTCAAACCCAAAACAACAAAATCAAATAAAGCTCAGTATTATCACGATCTGCAAAACAAATGACGAAATAAATCGAAGATTCGAAGTTTACCAGACAGCTCGGAGCAGATGAGGGCGAGCAGATGCAGATGAGGGCGAGCAGATGCAGATGAGGGTGAGGAAGACGCAAAGATGAGGGTCAGGAAGACGACGATGAGCGACGGCAAGACGACGATGAGCGAGGGTAAGGAGGACGAGCAGGAACCTCGCGATTTTCTCAGTTTCTCTGGGCTTACGAGTCCGCCCGATTTTGGGGATCTTGGGGAAGACCTCGTAAGGAGGTGTTTAATCCCTGCGAATCCCACCTAATCTCATTAAACCATATCCTGCAGCACCCCAAACAAAGGACTATAGTCCAGTCCAGTCCAGTCCAGTCCTCTTTAATCCCATCAAACAAACGGGGCCTAAGTGTGTAAAAGTGATCAAGTAAAAGATACACACATATCAGAGCATAGGTAAAACGATAGTGCAGTTGAACTAACTTAGTACTAATTATACAAACAGGTAGAAGGACCCTACTTTTATTTATGGAAACATCAGAACCGCCGTGTAGTCCTTGTGAGCCACCAAAGATGAACAGCTACTTAGAACCTGGAGGGGCACAAAACAGAAGGGTGAGTGGGCAAAAACAAGGGGTTTGAAAACACATTTAACTTTATGAACATAATAACCCCTCTTTGTAAAACCCGTATAATTTCCAGAAAATACTACTACTTAGGTATGAAAACCAATACGCAAGAGCAATGAAAATCGAAGCATGCCATGTCATAATATTTCAGCAATAATAAATGTAAGCCATGTGTGAAACCAATATAAAATAGTATGCTAGTCGGCGTCATCTAACGTGACTTGTACGACTGGACCTGTAGCTCATCAACATGTCTGCACACGAGTCGGAGTCACCTAATGTGACCTGTACGACAGGTTAGGTGTAAATAAATACGCTCAAGTGCTACAATCATGTAAAGATGTGCGATAGATCGCAGGTCACCTACGAGTTAGAACTACTTATTGTGATCTGTACAACAGGGTAGCACCAAAACTTGGATCCAAGGTGAGCGTGTGGTGCGGGATGTGAACAATCATGTGAAACCTGTGCCCTTGCCTCGGGTGGGAGCACTAACACCGGGATGCAGCATAATAAGCTCTAAATGCATAAATGCATAGCAATATGCAATGCAACAAGACCAATCACATGCTAACTCACCTGAAGCTTACTTGATCTTTCGCATCATCAAATAGTACAATTCACAATTCATACTAATGCAACAATATAGTAATAAGCAGTATAGACATGGCATGCAAGGCATAAATTCATTTAAAAACGTTTTTGGAAATCGTAAAACATATATATATATATATATATATAGAAAACAAATGCACACTCACTAATAAGTAGCAGAATCGTAGCCTCCTAACCTCGCTTGTCCACGCTCGTCCTCGGAGTACGCCTCACCTATATGTGAAATAACTATTTTAACGTTAATTCGATAGCACATAAACAAAGCCTAGGATTAATTCCTCATACATTGCTCAAATGGGGTGTTTGAATATACTAACGTGATCTACTCGACAACACGAACACCCACATATTTTTAGAAAAAAATTTGGATGCCGGACACACCCTCATGCGCCGACCAAGGCACGGCCACATGTGTCGGCCACACGCAGGCACATGCTTGGCACACGGGACGGAAACCCTAACGACGTTAGGAATATTATGTTAAAATAGCAGAATATTTCGTTAAATTCTAACGGTGTTACCTAACGCCGTTAGAATATTTCGTTAAAGTTAACAGAATATTCCCCTTCTTCTCCGGTCACTCCACAGGTCTCTGCCGTCCACCGCCGTCTGCACTCGTCGGTTTCTAGAAAATTTTCTAAAGCTTATATCTCCTTCATTTCATAACCAAAATCCATGAAATTTATATGGATTTGAAGGTCTCAAAGAGTAGAACACAATCGTACCTATTAAGAGTCCAAAATCCTACAAAAAGTCAAAAAAATCATTGGAAAAACCGGCCAACTATGTAACTTTGTGAATTTGCCTATTCCGATGTCCAAAATACTCCAAAACTACTCCAAATTTCCAAGCCTTAAATCTCTGAAATCTCACTGGGATCATATCGAAGCAAAAAGGCACTCGCCGGAGCTTCGGGTTTCTCAAGTTCCTGTCGTCCGTTCGATAGCTTAAGGGTATCACTAAGATCGTGAGGTTGAGATGAGTAAGCTAGCACTAGTTTCGAGCTTGATCCGTGAAAGTTTGATAGGTTTGTGAGCTGAGGGTCTCGGGTGTACAGAGGGAGAAAGGTGTACGTGTGTGTGCATGTGTGGGTCAGCCTGATTGGGCAGCAGAGATAAAGAGAGAGAGAGAGAGAGAGTTATAGTTTTTAGTTGGTTCAACAACAATTAACCCAAATATCTGATTGGGGTAGGACATATAGAAACTAAAACGATTGGTGGGTAGGGCTAGGTATACTCAACCTTAAAAATATATTTCTACCCATTTACATGTTTAATCGTACGTAACTTTCTCGTTATGACTGCGATTCGGGCCTAACTCGTGTCAACGTGCTCGTGACGACAAATACCATTTAATTACGATAACGGAGAAATTAACTTAAAACTGCATATGTTCGTCCATGTCACTAAACGAAAGAGGGCAATATTGTCACTTTACACACTCAGGAAGAAAATTATATAATAAATTGGGACGGGTCGTCACATACAAAGTCCATTTTCTGTCATGCTATTATAGAATCATTTGATTTCTTTCTTTATGAATAGAAAACATAATGTTAAAGAGTGATTTATGCATATTAATTTTCTCTCCAATAATTGTAAAATCAACGAACATAAATAAGTAAATATGTTCTTAAAATAAAAAAGCTTATGCGAAAATATTTCTTCATTTTTAATTTCTATCTTTAAATTATTTTTTTTCGTCTTTTATTTTATACTAACTTCTTAATGCACGCATAGTTTTACTAATTTGAGTTATTAGGATATTTGAGCCCAAAGTCAAAGCCCAATAAGCAGTGTCTGGCTCAGTCTTTCTCCAGTCTCAGCCTCTCAGAAGTCACCACGGCGACTTCGTCTGTTCAAACTCAAAACCAACCTGCTTTCTTCTTCTTCTGCCATGGAAATTGGAAACCCTAGCCGTTTTGGCTCCCGTCAACTGCCGTTAACTCTCCCGACGCCGTCAACGGTCTCCGTTAAATTTCATAACAGAGTTTCCAGCTCTCTGTCTCTGCTTCGCGCCACGCCCCGTGTCCGCACATTGAGATGCCCGGCCCTCTCATCTGCCTCATTGGGTAAATTTTCAATTTTTCTTCTGGAGCAGTTGATTAAATTACATTTTCTTTCTGGGATGTGTTTGGTTTCCGAGAAAATGTGGAACTTTGGGTGGATAATCGAGTATTAGCCATTTACATTTGAGTATCTATGATTGTTTTGCTGGGAAAAAAAAATAAAGAAAATGAATTTCTGGGTTTTTAGTTAATTGTGTTTTGATTTACATTGTAAAATGCTAATTTTGGTTCGATTAGCTGAACAATGAGAGTGGTGGTCATTATATGATTATAATCTGTCCAAATTTTAGAATTCAAAATTTGATTCTGTCAGGCAATGTCTGTTTGTAAGGAACTGAATTGGTTATACTAATGCGAGTTTTGATTTGTACGATTGATTTTACTGCAGCCGATGAATCAGAGAAGTTTGTAGAAGCCTCGAAGAAGGGGAATTTAATTCCTCTGTCTCGGAGCATATTCTCGGATCATCTAACTCCTGTTCTTGCTTACCGGTGTCTGGTTAAGGAGGATGATAGAGATGCTCCAAGTTTTCTGTGTGAGTCAGTTGAGCCGGGTTCCAACGACTCCAATGTTGTAAGCGTCCTCAGCCCCTTGTATCATTTGTATTTGTTTGCATCTGACTTTAGACAATAATTAATGACTTACATATTTTTGGTGTCAATCATTTGTTAGGGCCGGTACAGTTTTATTGGTGCCCAACCATCCATTGAAATCGTGGCTAAGGAGAACATGGTTACCATTATGGACCACAGAGAAGGTTGTAGGACAGAGGAGATCGTGGAGGATCCAATGACTGTTCCTCAGAGAATCATGGAGGGATGGACACCCCAACTTCTTGATGAACTTCCAGAAGCATTTTGTGGTATGATCAGTACACAAATAACATGCTTTAAATTTTTTTAGTAGTACTCTTATCTTAATCCTCTCAGTTCAAAGTAAACCACTTCTCCTTAAATGTGGTTTGTTAACAAAGTTTAGACTCGTAAAGTTGCGGTGAAGTTATTTACTCCTTAACTGTGGTTTGTTAACAAAGCTTAGACTCGTAAAGTTGTGGTGAAGTTATTTATAAAAATGAAGACCACGCTTTGCTTAATTTTTTCCTTTTGTCTCAAAGTTTTGGACTAGGCAAGTAGAAATGTGGGCTATCAGTACAGCTCATAGTTCCCTGTACATTTTGTAGGTTGTAGACGTACTGTGTTGACACTAAGTATTGTGTGATATTCTGGACTCTTGCAAAAGACTTGTCACAAAATTGCCATAAATCTATCCTCGTATTATTGTATAATTCAGTCTTAAAAAATTGAGGTTTTCGAAGTCACTAGTTGGTGGTTAACAACATCCATTCTCTTTATCAGGCGGCTGGGTTGGTTACTTCTCTTATGATACAGTACGTTATGTTGAGAAGAAAAAGCTGCCATTTCCGAGTGCACCACCAGATGACAGAAATCTTCCTGATGTTCATCTTGGTCTTTATGACGATGTAATAGTGTTCGATCATGTGGACAAGGTACTGTGATTTCATGCTAGATTTTAGTGAAAAAAATATATAAATTGGAGACACTTTGATTCAAATGCATGTCAGCATAATGACATCTGCTTTTTTTCTGTTAAAATAGTTTTTTTTTTCTTCCTAGTTACTCGCTCTTATGCTTATTCTTTTTCTTCAAAGTTCTTGTTTGTTTTTTCCGCCACGTTGAATCAGAATATTTGCATCCTACTCCATGACTGAACTAGGAGAATTAGTTAACCGCATGCTTTGGTTGTAAATTTTTATTTTAACAAATAGGGTGCTACCGTTGTGGCTATAACCATTTCTATTTTACAATTTTGTCTACTATAGAAAGCACATGTAATTCACTGGGTGCAATTAGATCAATATTCTTCTGTTGACGAGGCCTTCAATGATGGAATAAATAGATTGGAAACATTGCTATCTAAAGTGCATGACATTATCACGTGAGTAATCAACTCCTTTCTTTCACATTTCTCTTCTATTTTTTTGTTGAGTTTCTATTCCCTTCCTATATTCTTACTCATCCCTCCCTCTTTAATACCAGTTTTAATCATAAATTATTCAAAGGTCAATTTTAACTCGAGGCTGAAAGGGCTGGGGGAATTAGTTCTCCATACTTGTTAATTACTTTTTTTTTTTAAAATGAAAAACTTAAGGTTGATGTAAAAATGTACCGACTGTCAATTTCAGCCCGAGGCTGCCTGCAGGTTCAATAGAGTTCAACACTCAACTTTTTGGTACTAAATTGGAGGACTCAAGCTTGACAAGTGAGGAATATAAGGAGGCAGTTTTGGAAGCTAAAGAACACATTCTAGCTGGGGACATATTTCAGATTGTATTAAGCCAGCGTTTTGAGAGGCGAACATTTGCAGACCCATTTGAAATTTACCGAGCATTGAGGATAGTTAATCCAAGTCCATATATGACTTATTTACAGGTTTGCCTCGTTTTCAGTGAGTCATTGGTTCCAATCTATTGTTCACCTTGTAATTCTGAGATTATATGAGTATATACTTCCATGATCAGGCTAGAGGCTGTATTCTGGTTGCTTCAAGTCCAGAAATTCTGACACGTGTCAAGAAGGTGAGTAAAGGAAGTCCAAAAAATTTTAACATCTGAGTGTTCATCTTATTCTGTTGCTAGCTCCTAAACCTCTACGATGGTTCCTACAAGATGTCCTACATTTTATGTTTTCTTTGGTCCCTTTTGTTTTCCTACTATAGTGTTGTAGTCGTCATTAGCAATAAATTGCTGAGATTTTCATTTCTTATTTTTGTTATTAGAAAACGATCACCAACCGGCCTCTTGCTGGGACAGTTAGAAGAGGAAAAACACCTAAAGAAGATTTAATGCTGGAAAAGCAGCTTTTGAATGATGAAAAGCAATGTGCAGAGCATATTATGCTTGTAGACTTGGGAAGGAATGATGTTGGGAAGGTTTATAATCTTTCCTTTCTCGTATTTGTATGATTATTACTGTATGTTGAACTTTATTCTCCAAAGTGTAATACCATGCATATGCTAAATTTTATTCTCCCTGGTATCTATTTTCAGTCCATGGCGGGTAAAAAGTATTTCACTGATGTATATTTCAGCTTTAGCTTAATAAGTTCACACTTGGTGCCTTGTCTGTTCATGGCTTACGTGACAATATTTATAAGAATTTCATCATAATCTGTTTCTTTCATTTAGTATATTGTGGCCATAATAATGCGATTGATAATTTGTTCATGCAGGTCTCAAAACCTGGTTCTGTCAAGGTTGAGGAGCTCATGAACATTGAGCGTTATTCCCATGTCATGCACATAAGTTCAACAGTAAGTATCTCCTTTCGGTGATACACATAATAAGTAACCTAATATCTATAACGATTGATGACACATCCACGCATCTGTAGACATTAGTTTCAGAATTTATTTTCTCATGGGGTCTATATCTATTGTCATGAGTGTAATGTATGTACACAACAACCAATTGAATTAAGGGACGAGACTTTAATTTAATTGTAGGTTACTGGAGAGTTACTTGATGATTTAACTAGCTGGGATGTTCTGCGTACTGCGTTGCCGGTTGGGACAGTCAGTGGAGCACCGAAGGTTTTCTTCATGAGCCCTTTTTAATTTGTTTGTTGGCATTCTTGTTTTATTTCTTATTAATTAGCTAAATTGATCCTAGATTTAATTAACCTGTATAATCCTATGAGTGCGAACCATGAGGATTAACCTAATTAGTTAGGAAATGGTTTATTACACCACTATTGGTTGATATATGGAACCTGATGTCATGATTTCCTAATCTATCTTATATGGACTCGCTTAGGATTAATTTTTTGAGATTCTGCATTCTTAGCTCTACTGCAATGCAGGTGAAAGCCATGGAGCTGATCGATAAGCTAGAAGTGACTAGACGTGGTCCATACAGTGGTGGCTTTGGGGGAATTTCGTTTTCTGGCAACATGGACATTGCCCTTGCTTTGAGAACTATTGTTTTCCCAACTAGCTTTCGGTATGATACAATGTATTCATACAAGGATGCAAACAAGCGCAGAGAGTGGGTCGCTCATCTCCAAGCCGGGGCAGGAATTGTCGCTGACAGTGATCCAACCGATGAGCAGAGGGAGTGCGAGAACAAAGCTGCTGCTCTTGCGCGCGCTATTGATCTGGCGGAGTCCTCGTTCGTTGATAATTGAATGCGTTTTTTGCTCGCATACAGAATCTGGTTTGTAATATATTATATCAGATGATGGGAATGTATGAATAATGTGAGTTTGATAAAAGTGAAAAGATTTGATGTTGGGAACTGTAAATTATATCGGATGATGGGAATGTACATCAAAGTGAGAAGATTTGATCTTGGGAACAGCAAATTTTGAAACCCTAGTTAATCATTGCTGCTTTTGCCCTTCAAACTTTTTACGAACAGCGCGGTCATATGTTGAAACCCGGAACAGATTAGAACGATCACCGGGCAGAGTTTCCCTTGCCTTCATGGCTGTATCCGTTGTCGCCATGAAAATTTCTGCCCGACCTCTGTTCTTAAAGAGCATTTTCTTTAACCTTGCCAAACTTGGAGAAGAAAGCTCCTTATTCTTTAAAAATCTCCTTGTTCCGTACTCACTTTGCTGAACAAGTTTCATCATCTCCTTGTTCTTTAAAAATCTCCTCTTCGGCATCTGTCAGTGGCACTTTCACCGAATCCCACAATTACCCATCTCATCTCCCATCAATTTTTTTTCCTCTCAACAGGTATTTCTTTTTTCTCATCATTTTTTCTTGTTTATTAAATTATTGGTATTTATGATTTCCTGTTATGCCTGGATATTTTGTGTACGAATCTGGAAATTTTGGTAAATCTTGTTCACTTGCGACATTGCATAAACGAAGGTTCAAACTATGAACATACAGTAAACATGATATACATTTTCTAAATGGAATCACCACATTCTGTCGTTTTGCAATCTTGGAGTCCAGGTTTAATTCAACAATTGAGAAAGTGTCTCTTTTAGAAGCAACACATGCGCAGCAACTTGAAAACTTTTGAAGCTCTATGCATCCCTAAGGGCACGATGAAATGGTAATCATTTGATAAGACATGATTAGCAGATAAGATCATCTTGCAATACTACTTAATACAAATCGAATCCAGACCGCTTGAGATCGATTAGTAAACAACAGAGGACTCTGGTCTTACAACATTCATGCATGATCATAGATTCACAGTTCCACAGAAACGAAATCATCATCCTTATTTTACAAACCAAATGTTTGAATTCGAATTCAAAGTACCGAAATCTACCTCTCAATAGACATAATTTGGAAACAAACTTGAAAAAGGAAATTCGGAAACTAGAGCTCATAAACTTGTTGAAGCTCCTTTTTCACCGAAGACTAGTTCGATACAACAAACTGTCGTCTAATAGAACCACCGTAAGACACAACAAGAAAAGAGGAACAATTCCACTCCATTTAACCCATCAGTTTCAAACCTTCTGAGAGATGGTAGCTGTGCCAATGCTGGCATTGAAAAACAATGTTCACAATCCACAAGTCCAAGAGTAACAAGATGAGAGAACGAACAAGTCATCTCCTAACCGATTTGGAATTTTTGTAGCTCCGTATCTTTCTATCGCAAATACTTTCAAGTTTATATGGGACAAGAGTACCTGTAAAATTTGTTATTATGTGAACATTAACATTTGAAACATGTTTATGATTTAAAATTTACACAGCCAGATCGTAAATAAACACATAAACGCACGTTGATGAATTACGTACCATTGCAAATCACATCTTTCGGTGACCAATCACGACATTGGGGATGTGAGAAATCTTGGGCCAATCTTCTCCCGTGCCTCTCTGGCACCGTTGTGATAGCAAATCACAATTGAAGATATCTAGACGAGAAAGAGAAGTGGGTAGCCCTTCATCTGGCAAGCTCTGGAGTCGAGGACAAAAAAAAATCTCCAACTTCTCGAGAGAGATGAGGTGTCTTAACGCCTTGCCGTCAATGGTTTTCAGATTCGGATGATCGGAGATTGTGAGAGAAGTGAGAGTGGCTGGCAGCAGCCCTTCTTCTGGAAATGATTTAAATTCTTTACACCCTTCTATGAACAGAGACTGAAGAGACGGGAGAGAGGCGTGCTTCTCCTCTAGCAGTGACCTGAATTCGTTACATGCTTTAATTTCCATCCTCTTCAAGTTGGGCGCTTGCAGTCCTCCTCCATGGGGGAAACCCACAAATTCTGGGCATCCCTCTATAATCAAATAATCGAGGGATGGGAATTTAGATTCTTTCGGAAATGATTTAAATTCTTTACACCCTTCTATGGACAGAGACTGAAGAGACGGGAGAGAGGCCTGCATCTCCTCTGGCACTGACCACAAGTTTTTAAAACGGCACATAGATATCTCCTTCAAGTTGGGCGCAAGCAGCACTCCACCACCCACAAAACATACCAGATTCAGGCAATCTGATATTCTCAAGTCACGGAGGGATGGGAGTTCAATATTGAATTTATTGCATTCTTGCGAACAAGCAAGGGATTCGATATTAACTTTCTGCAAAATTAGCCGCTCAAGTCTTGGGAAGTAGGGTAACGGTAATTTCCCCGTTAGTTTGGGACAGTTCTCCAGAATAAGCTCGCAAAGATTAGGAAAATGTCCGCCTTCTTCTTCTTCACCTCCAGGGAAACACCACTCTTGCCATTCCCGCATACTGCGGAAACTCAGAAACCCCAGAGATTTAAATGCAGGTTTAATTCCCCCATAAAACTCAGACCCCACTGATACCACTTCATTCAACCCATCAATTTCAAGCCTTTTCAGAGACGGTAGCTGCCCCAATGCTGGGAGGGAGAAACAATATCCACAAGTCTCAAGTCGGAGAATGACAAGATTACAGAAAGACTCATCTCCCAACCAACCTGGAAACTTTGTACCTCCGTATCCTTCTATAGCCAGTACCTTTAGGTTTGTATTGGGCCGCAGGTTGCCCAGCACTTGGTTATCGTTTTCAGAATCAGCAGTGTCACCTTCCCATTTCAAATGTATTTCACTGAGCTTCTTGTCCCTCAGTTTGGCCTCCAAAGCATCCTTAGCATGTTTGATATTTTGAAGCCTTGAAATATGAAGATTTCCACTCAAATGCTGAAACCCCTTTAACTCATCAATGTATCCCCCAGCATCTTTGCTCAAGACAAACTCACCTCCAAATGTTTGGAGATCCTTCAACATGCCCATGTGGGGGGGCATCTTTCTTATTTTCGTACGTCTCAAATCAAGATGGCGCAAGTTGATAAGTCTTCTCAAATCGGTGGGCAACTCAACAAGATGCCAACAATCCGACAACAATAACGTTTGTAAATTACACAAACTGCATACCGTGTCTGGTAATTTCATTATTGGATTCCCACATAAGTTGAGGTACCGTAGATGCTTCAAGTTGCTAATCGAATCAGGCAACTCCCTGATATCATGCCCACGTAGTTTGAGAACTCTTAAACACGGTAGCACTAAAAGGAGATCAAGTCGTGCTGGCAGCTGAAAATAGCTGCGGCCAAAAATGAAGGTGCGCAGATACTTAGCTTCATAAATAGTGTCAAATCTCTCAGAATCAACATTAGATGAATACTGCATATAAGAAAAGTGACGACCCTTGCTCACAACGTCCAAGGAGAAGTCATGGTCTTCCAATCTAATGCAAAATTCCCCACATACGTAAGTCGCCAAATCATGCATCAGATCATGCATGATGAAACAATCATTTGAAGACGAGTGTTGAAAAAATGACCGTGAGAGTAGATCATCAAAGTATTTCTTTCCAACATCTTCCAACATAGTCTTCTTTTGGGGTAGTAAAAGATCTTCAGCCATCCACAACAAAATTAATTCAGACTTGTTAAATTTATAATCTTTGGGAAATATCGAACAATAAGCAAAACAACGCTTCAGCTCTGGAGACAAGTACCGGTAGCTTAACCATAGAGCCGGCAGAATGTTAATCTTTGCATTTGACAACTCCCATATGTCACTTTTTAGCACATTTTCCCAAACCTCCATATTTGATTCAGAGCGTAAGAGACCACCGAGAGATTTTGCAGCTAAAGGAAGGCCTTTACACTTGCTAACAATTTGTCTTCCAATTACCTCAAGATTTGGATCTACAACACCACTTGCATCTTTGGAGGCATGTTTTGCAAATAAATCCCAACAGTCTTTCTCAAGTAAGTGCTTTAAATAGTGGGTTTGAATAGTACCCATCGTAGATGCAACACCATCATTCCTTGCGGTCACAATGATCTTACTTCCATCAGCTCCAGACTCGAAGGGGCGTCTTAAGGAATCCCAAATATTGTAATTCTCGTTCCAAACATCATCAAGAACAAAAAGAAACTTCTTCCCCGCCAAAGCATCTTTAAGTTTGACTTGAAGCTGGTTTAGGTCTGTGGTATCACAGGTTTGTGAAGGGATTGATGCATAAATTGTTTGTGTGATCTTAACAACGTCAAATTCATCAGAAACACAAACCCATGCCCGGAGCTCAAAATGCTGCTTCACTCGATCATCATTGTATAAGAGCTGAGCAAGGGTGGTCTTTCCGATCCCACCCATGCCCACGATGGGAATGACGCCAATCTTATTACAAGTAACATCATCTGATAGCAACAATTGAATGATGGTTTCCTTCTCATGATCTCTTCCATATACATCAGAGCCTTCTACTAAAGAAGTTGAAGGCAATGTTTGTGAGATTTTGTGTCTACTACCTCTTTTCAAATCAAGGGCATCTTTCTGTTCTACAATGAAGCTTAACCTCCCAAGAATTTCCTTTATCTTGCTGTCTACAGACTCATCAAAAGCATGGAAAGAAGCAGAGATGAGGTCTTGTACCTTGCTTGTGCTACTTCCAAATTCAGCTTCCATTTTCCGCCTTAACGCTTCTGTCTTTATCTCGTCCAGTAGGTCCTCAGCATGAAAGACTACCTCTTTAAGCTCATGCAGCCACTGCTTCACAACTGGGTTACTTAATTGCTTTTGCTCGGCATCGTCATAAACAGCATTGACAGACAACAATTTGATCCTCAACTTGTTCAGCAACTCATCAGTCTGTTTCTTTCCTCTGATGAAGTTCTTGACCTCCTGAGAATCCATCTTTTGAAATACTTGTTGAAAGAAAGCGGAGAAAAATGCTCCGCCTACCACCTCCATAGCCGTGATCGATCTCTTCTTTGCAAATGGAATTGAGTTTTGCTGGGGGAAGATAATCACAAATTAGCTAGCAATATCAATGTAACGAAAACTATGGTTCGTTTTCGCTACAAATAAACTAATTCAAACCAAGAGTTATTGGATTGATATTAAACAAAGACTGACTTTATTATATTTAAGATTTAACACAAAAGTAGATGCGTTTGGAGTCATTTCTCGTCGGCTGCCTTAAACTCCACTTTTTAGAGCAACCCTACCCCTAAATGTCCCCACGTGCTATAGGCAACCCAATCCGCCAAAGTGAATATGGTAAGTTAGTAACTGTCTTCAATGAACAGTAACTGTCCCAGCGCATCCCCACCAAATAGCCCAGGTTATTGGTATTAAAATATATTTTTTATAAGAAATAATTTTATTTTTAATTTGGAATGACAATAAAAAAATTAGTTGAAAAGTATTTGAAAATATTGAAATGTGGTGTAAAATGAAAAAAATATGGTATTTATAGAAAAAAAATTTATAACTTTTTTATATTTTTAATTAACTTTTTATAAGTTTTTGTATTTTTTATAATTTTCTAATCATGGCTAACATCAAAGTGATGTCATACCACCCAGTGGTTGGGCCAGTCAATTCGGGCCTGGGGGAAAAGTGGGGGCTCCAGGGGAGCCGAGGTTATTGGAATGGGCTGGAGCTGCGTTTTCTTTTTCTATTTTTTGGGTAGGGGGATTCCAGAGCTCACCGCCCAGGGGACTTGGCTGGGTTGGAAGTGTTCCAAAAATAAAGGCTTCAATGTTAAAATGGTCTCTGTGATTTAGTTATTGTGTTTTCAATTTGATCAATTTGGTCCTTGTGTTTATCTTTGTTAGCCAATTAAGGATATTTCCATCTAATTTCTGTAAAAAAATTTATAAATTATTGTAAACTTATTTATAAAATTATTTATTTGATTTAAAATATTTAGAAATGAAATAAAATAAAAAATTAAAAGAAAAATTATTCTCCTTCCAATTTCCCAACCTCCTCCCTAACATTACCCTCTCTTTTCTATGTCACAACCTTAATCATTTTTCAGATTGGAAGTTTTATCTCTTATATGTGTTATTTCTCATTGATTTGCATTTTTCTGTAAAGAGAAATGATAATAATATCTCATATAATTTTTCTTATGAATTTTTTAAAAGAAATTGAATGAAATGTCCTTAATTGACTAACAGAGACAAGCACGATGACTAAATTAACCAAAACAAAAACATGGGGACTAAATTTGCCATGTGGCTATAACACAGGGACCATTTTGACATTTAAGCCAAAAATAAATACATATGAAACAGAGGTCCCTTATGTTGAGTGTTTCAAAACCGTATAAAACATGTAAAATTTGTAAATATATTTACGATAGGCAATACTATGTAAATACATGGAATGTAGGAAGGAAATTATAGACCTATTGTTTTGAATCAAGAAAAATACTAATTCTAAAATACAATTTCAAGAACCCTTTCTAGGCAATTGATCATCAAACAGAACGCTAATTCTAAAATACAATTTCAATTTCTCTCAATATTAAAAAGCATGCAAGCAGAGAGAAAAGGCGTAGTTTCTATTACCTGCAGAATTAGCTTGTAAAGACTTGTCCACAGTGTTCTGAATCAGTGTCCCTCCATTGTAAGCATCTTTAGAGAAATTTTCTGTAGATAATTCTACTGTAAAAATAAATCCATGTTAAACTTGGAAAGAGTTGCTATTCATAACGCAAATAGAGTTGAAACAGAGACGATCAAGTTTTGTAAGTAATTAAATATATGAAAAAAAATCACGTCCAAACCGAAGAAAAATTCTACTTTCTAACAATTGAACTTAATATATGAAACCAGCAATTTACATTTCCTGACAAATAGAAACTCAATGAGTCATAGTTGTATTCCAACTTCTGAATTTAGACATCATTATGTTTGTCTTATTCTTTGACAAATAGAAAATGCTGATTCAACGAGATAAACATAATCATTATTCTTGATTCTGTTGTTAACGATCCCATTACATACTCTGATTTCTTTTTACATTTTACATACTCTCATTAATTTGTTACTTATACACACTCTAATTTCTTTTTAATCGTCTTATTGAGCAAATAAAAAATGAATCAAATGTTATCTAAAACTCATTGAATCATTTTCCTACAAGTGATCATTTCTCCTCTACGATGTTATTCAGTAAGAAACTCACTGAATCATGCAATAACAAAATCGTTAATTGTTATTAAACTTGTTTTCATCTCTCTTTGTAATCTCTAGTTACCATTTAAATCTAAGATTGATAAGATGAGAGATCATAGTTTTATATGTGCATTGCTTAGAATAATAATTATCAAAGGGGACAGTTTGGATGCGGTCCCTAACTATCAATGCTTTTTAACAATGTTTTTTAACTGAAACCTTGTTGGTTTTTAGCTTTTGATCGAAATCCCTAACATTAATGAAATAATGTATTTATATGTAGGTTATTATATTTTTAAATTGAAAATTGAAATTTGTAGTTATAGTTTTTTATATTTATGAGATTTTAAATAAAACCCATAATTTGTGGAATTAAAAATATTAAAGGATAAATTATACTCTCATATATTGTGTATATATAAACATGGGTACATTCATAAATAATAATAAAAAAAATTATTGTACCAAAACATGGGTACATTTTCCAAAACCACAAAAAAAAAAAATGCTTAATAACATTATTAAATTTATTTGATTAAACTTGACGGGGATACGTTCTTAAATCAACGAAATAGAATATACGCATATAAGTTCAAAACATAGATTAGAAAAAAATTGAATGTATCTTAATAAAAAAAAATGGGTACATGTTATACTAAAAAAAAGTATTGTTTACATTTAGGATTAAAAAATTGAAAAGTTATATGAATGGTTACATTTAAGATTAAAAATTGAAAACATTTCTATAAAAAAATTAATGGGTGCAAACTAATTTTTTTTTTTTTTTTTGGGAAATATTTTGAATTGAAAATTAATTAGGAGTGTAATAAGGGTGTGAATATTAAAACCCTATAACAATTACTAATTTTTATTTAAAAAAATTATGTAACTGATACTTAAATTCATTAATACATTAATGGTAGAGACTTTAATCAAAATCTGAAAACTAATAAGGTCTTAGTCAATAAACATTAGTAACTAGGGACCGGATACTAATTTTCCACAACCACTGTTATTAGAGTAATTTACAAATTGATTATTTTTCTTCCTAATTAGCAGGTGGATTAACTTAAATGATTATTTAAAGCTTTTGGATCTTGTATTGCTTAGTGCCTATTTGGGAAGTGATTCTAGGTTTAAAAGTGGGAGGTGCTTTATTCAGAAGTGATTCTAAACCGCGCAAAAGCGGTTTCAAACGGACCCTCAATTATTATATTAGTTTCTTTTACTAAGAGATGGGAACTTTCATGAAAAAGGCTTGGACTAAGTTTATTTTAACCAAAAGCCATGTTATAACTTTATTTAATGAAAAAGAATTAAATATAATGAAAAACCCTTAAATTTTAATAAAAAGGACAAAATAACTTAAATTTTAATGAAAATGACATAATTTTAATATTAAAAAAAAGACCTGACACGCGGGACCCATGCGTCCATCAAAGACATTGTTTATGAAATTGAACACTATTTATGAAACTGAACACTACGTATGAAACTGCACTATCTGAACGGTACTACAATATTTATTTGTCCAATTTCATAAATAGTGCCTAGTTCTTGGTCCACTTTCATAAATAATGCCTAGTTCTTGGTCCACTTTCATAAAGAGTAGTTCTTGGGTCTTGTTTCATAAATAATGTATAGTAATTGGTACAATTTCATAAATAGTCTCTTTCTTGGTCCAGTTTCATAAATAATGCCTAATTATTGGTTCAGTTTCATAAATAATGCCTAGTTCTTGGTCTCGTTTCATAAATATTGTCTAATTCTTAGTCTAGTTTCGTAAATTGCGTATAGTCCAGTTTCGTAAATAGTTTCCACCTATTGGTTTAGTTTTAGAAATAATGCCTAATTCTTGTTTAAGTTCATAAATCGTGCCTACTTATTGGTCCAATTTCATAAATAGTATCTACTTATTGGTTTAGTTTCATGAATAGTGTCTACTTAATGGTCAAGTTTTATAAATAGTGTTGACTTCTTGGTTCAATTTCATAAGATTTGAAACTTAGACCCTTTTTGGTCTAATAAAAGCCCCCATTGCGCCAAAAATGATGAACTCAGAAGTCATCCTTTAGATCAAAACCTTGAGAAGATTATGTTCTCGATAATTATATTTAAAAAATTGTTTTCAATTACTAAATTAAAATTTCCTCACATTTTTTTACATACCTACAAAAATAAATGTAGCTCTCCATCCAATTTTTTGAGCTTGAGTGTTATCTTGGAGAAACTTTACCTTGTACCCATAACACAAGTGGCACATCACGTGTTATTATGTAAGTAGCGAGAAATTTTATTTTTTGTGTAATTAATTTTTTAACACAAGAATCTCACAACTTGTACATAGACACGTGATGTACCATCCTGTGCTGCGGGCACATTGAAAAATTTCTCATCATCTTGACTATTATTAGAAAAAAAAAAAAAAACACCACAAATATGAAACTGGGGAATGTAATTCAGTTTGAACTCTTTTTATTATTCTAAGCAAAAATAAAATAAATAAATAATCTATTAATGTATCAGACAATCGGGGAAAAAAGTGGAGTGTGGAAGGGGGGTTGGGAGACGCGCCCAGCGCAAGTTGGGTTTTTTATGTTTTTTTTAAATTCTTTTATATTTATCATCAAATAAAGTTAGTGGATGATTTTTTTTATTAAAATGTAAAGATTTGATGACCTTTTCATTAGTTTTTCTTTAAGAAATATCAACTCAAGTAGAATTATTGCCTATTTTAATGCAATTATGCAAAATTAATTTCAATAGGAAATACTACTCTCTAATGATTTTTCCAACCCAAGGAAAAGAAGACTTCAAGTATTAGGTTATGTGAATCCAGAGATCGCCACCTACCTATTCCAAAGCTAAAATTTCAAGAGGAAATCTACATCAATGATTTGGTGAGATGACTCAAATGTGAGAACCAATCAGAGAGCACCAAAAGATAAACCTCGGTACTCAGAGCAACAAAATCACAAACCAAGGAATGCAACGATTATGATGTACTCAGTTATATTTCAGGAAAAGACTACAAAACCTACTACCCCAAGCCTCTAATGTTATATCACCAACGTACAGTTACAGATAAGAATCAGAATAAGCACCATAATCTTAAAGACATGATTTTATCACGCAAAGAGAAGAAGGATATCAGCTGATGATTTTCTGTACTTAATTATCAAACCACTGCATACTTTGATTGTGTGGGAATAGTTTTATGCCAATAGAAGCAATATGGCTTCTCCCAACCCAACAAAAGGGTTTTCTTTTTTTGTTGAAAAAAAATTTCACATGCAACATTCATTTACCTGTAATTGAAGAATACGAAGCGCCGGAAACTGGAATTCCTCCACAAAAAATCAAAACAAACTCCCCTGCAAAGCAACCAAACTTAATTTCAGCAATCTTATCTAAAATTTAAATTTAAATTTTAAATCTCATACTAAACAAGTTTTGGAGTCTTAAAAGAAAATTGTTTTTAAGAGATGTTCTTAAAAAAAATGTTTTGAGAAATGATGAAATTTTTTTAACGTAATATCAAACAAGCCCTTAAAAGCCTTCGGAGCCTGAAAACAAAAGTTTCAAAATCAGAAAAACCGATGAAACCAAACCCGATTTAAAACAAAATTTTCAAGTATTTGAACATTATTTATGGATGAAAATCATTTTTCCATTTTGTATTTGTATTAATTGTATGAAGCATGCAATTAGTGAAAAACACATCTAGAATTCAAGAATCTTGAGTACCTAAAAAACTTCTTACCTGACCCACAACCAATACTTTTTTTTTTTTTTTTTTATAACAAAGCCCTCGAGTCCTCGATCATTAATTCAGAAAATAATGCATGCTACCCAGAAAAAGAAAAAAAAAAAAAGAAAAAAAAAAAGAAGCCCCTAATTGGTAGGAGAACTCACCATGAAACCGAACTTTTTCTGGGCTTAAAGCTTTCTTCGAATCGGGACCGGATTGTGTTGTAGTTAACAGGTTTTGAGAGAGATTGAGCTGGGGTTCGTGGTTTGTGAGAGAGAGAACTGGGGAGATTCTGGATGCAAATGGAACAAACAGGTCTATTCTTAAGAGGTGGTGGCACCCCCAGCCAACAAATAGTAAGGGGAAATTTGTAAATCCACTGTTTAACATTAAAAGGCAAAGCAGGAACGGGAAGAAAAACGAAAGGTATCTTCGTGAAATCACTGTTGGTAAACAGTGCCCATCAACTGAAAGTTTTCGTATTGGTATAAGATACAGTACTAAGCGTAGTGCATTGTATACAGTGCCGTATTATGGCGGCTGGAAGCTGATTGGAAATTTCACAAGGCATGGAGGAGCCTTTAGTCAAAAGCAAAGCGAACTTTAGTCACAAAGCAGGCACACCTGCCATGGCTTTTTGGTCTGTCAATTTCCGTTTATCTTCCTCCCTGCTTTTATAAAGGCGAGCATCTGTTAAGCATTCTCTAATTTAAGGGGTCCCATTTAACACGCGAATTAGGGGGGAGTGATTCCCACATGGTACATTGGAATTTTATCGGGTGAGTAATGTTATATTGGTTGAGAATGAACTTTGTATTGAGGGATCTTATATGAGTTTATAAGAGGTTGGATTATTTCTTATATTACTAATTGATTTAATGATGGAATCTCAATTTTTTTATAGTATTAGAGCAGGTTATCCCACGTGTAAAATTAATGGTCACATATGTTTTACGTCATCTCATTGTATTATACACGTGTTAAGCTCGAAAATTCGCTGCACATGAAGAGGAGTGTTGAGAATGAGTCATACATTGATGAGAGAATAAATTTTGCATGAGTTTATAAGAGGTTTAGCTACTCTTCATATTGTTAATTGGTGTTATGATGAAACTTTAAATTTCTTTAATATTCATTCTAGCACATTTGAATGGTAAATGGGTTCTTTAATCTTACAGGGAAATAGATAATTAAAATGATATGCTGCATGATTAGATTCTCAATGGTAATGCTGCATGATTAGATTCTCAAGAGTTCATATAGGCAAAAGGATGCTACAATCAATGGCCGAGTGACCCCCACAACGAGCGTAGTAAATGGATGGAAATGTAAACCCAGAAATATTCACCAAATTAGGGAGAAAATTTAAATATATATATATATATATATATATATATATATTAATGCATGAAGGTTCATTACAAGCCAGAAGGCTTAATAGAATTAAACTCAATCTTAATTGTAGAGCAAAACATAATTTCAAAATTTTTGGAGCTGATAAGTTTTTATTAAGATTAAATAATGGTAAAAGACAATGAAAGGAATGGTTGCACCAAAAACGAGAGAGGTGTAAAAGAACAGGATAAAGGGGAAATGCACCGAAAGGAAAATGAAAAATGAAAGGAAATGGAAAAGAGGCATCATTATGTCACATAAGAACTTATTAGTTGGGATAACGTAAAGTAATACTTTAACGCGATATACCACAGTTCTTTTATTGTTAAATCCTTAATATTTTATTAGGGAAAACTTGATATAAGTTTAATTTTTTAAGCCAATAGTAAGAATAGTCCAGTTTATTAAAATAAGTCTAATTTGTTATATTTAATTATTTAATTATCAATAGTTATTTGTTCAATGATAAGATTTATTATAAAAATCAAATTTCTTTCCAATTATCTCTTTGCTTATTTCTTTTTATTTATCTTTTTGTTATTTCTTGTTCTTCCTCTTGCTTTAAACCTCATTTATAAATTTTATTTTTAATTTTTATAATCAACTTATATCACATGTTAATTATATTTATCTACCTATATGACAGATTCTTTTTTTATAATTAACCTGTCAAAGATTAATATGTCTTGCTTGTAGGTATGTTGTGTTTTTTCTACCTTTTAATTAGGTTTCATATCTCACTTATAGGTATTATATACATTTATATATTTGTTACTTGAGTTAGGGTAGAATGTTTTGCAGATAAATTTATGTTAGTATATTATTTTTTTTGTTATAAGATATTAAATATATATTTTTGGAGTTGGAAAATGAGTAATATTAGAAGATTTTAATTGATTTTTAATATTTTTAGAAATATAAAATGAATATAAAATAAATAAAACCATATAATTAGATAACTAGACCCATTCTTAAAAACACTCTACGTTTTTTGACATGAAAAGTAACTTTTCGGGCCATATTATGGAAGCTGACCGGAAATTTCACAAAACACGCAGGAGCCTTTTGTCGTCAAAAAGCAGAGTGAACATTAGTCATAAAGCGGGCACGCTTGTTATAGTTTATTGGTCTGTCAATTTGCACTTTTCTTTCTCCCTACTTTTTATAAAGCTGAGCATCTGTTAGAGCAACTCCAGCGTTGGAGCCCTCCCCCCTGGCAATTCACTATTCAATCCACCTAATGAACAGTAATTGCCCTTAATGAACAGTAAGTAGCCCTGGCAATAGATTTTGCATCTCCACCGTTACACTTCTATAGCCCTGGCAATAGGCAATAAAATATTAGTTTTTTTTTTTTATTTATAAAATTAATACAAAATAATTTTAAATGTAATATCGGATAAGATTTCTCTTAACTGCATCTCATTACCCGTAAGCGAACTATGAGTAACTTCAACCCAGCTAGTACACAACGCAACATCTTCAATAAGCGACCAATTCGTACCTGCACCAGTGGTCATTTTGTTGAAAAAAAATTGATTCAAACTTTGAGACAAAGAAAGGAATGTGATTGAAAGTGGTTGAGAAAATATGAAATTGTTGTGAAGGTAGATGATAATGAGAAGGTATTTATAGAAAAGTAAAAACAATTTTTTTTACAATTTTTTTCAGATTTTTTTTTGAATTTTTTTGAATTTTTTACATTTTTTTTTGAATTTTTATTCAATTAATTAATCTCTGCCGTTGGATATAAAAAAATTTGAATTCCAACGCTCCAGATTGTGCCACGTGTCACAACGGTAACTTTTCAGATTTTTAAAACTATTTTTTCATTTATTTTTTAATTTTTAAAGCATTTTAATATCCACCGTTGATCTCAGATCGAACGGTGGATATTAAATCTGACAGTTTGAAAATTTTTTACCGTTGAGATCTAACGGTCCACATTAAGTGACCATTACGATCTAACGTACCGTGGGAAGCCACGTGGCTTCCCAACGGTAACAGACAAACATTTTTTTTTTTCTGATTAATGTGTCAGGACGCGCCCCCACGCGCGGGTGGGGTGCACGCGCCTGACACAAAAAAAATAAAATAATAGGCTGACGCCACGCTGGCGTCAGCATGGCGTCACTCCCACCCCGGGCTCAAGGCCTGTCGATTCCTCACGGGCCTGGCCCTCGGGCCTTCCCCTTCCCCCCGGCTTCCCAACGCTGGAGCTGGTCCACCTTCACTCGGGCCTCCGTTTTGGAGCCCGTCCCCCGAGCTAAACCCCACGCTGGGGATGCTCTTAAACATCCTCTAATTTAAGGCTCTGTTTGGCAAATCGGATAAAGGATCGGATATGATTAGTTATACGAATCCAGGTGTTTGGCGTTCACTCGTACTAAATAAGCACCAGATTAATTTAACCGGTCGGATAGGATAATACGGTATACACCCGCTTAATAAAACCAACCAAAACGTCCGAATTATTTAGTCGGGAAAGAAGAATATGGGAGAGAAAGGGAGGGAGTTTGGGGGGTGTGGCGGAGAGAGTTGGGGAACAATTATTTGGGATTCTTCTACCGTCGGGGAAGAAGAAGGGAGAGAGAGGGAGAGTGTTTGGGGGGTGCGGAGAGACCTGGGAACAAAAAAATGATTTCATTTTTTAAATTTTTTTTTTTTTAAAGTTTGATGCCTCCTATATAGTATAATATCAAACACAGTATAAATAATACGGTCACTAGTCCGATACTGCACCAAACACCCGACTAATTTAGTCAGTACTATCCGGTGGCTATTTATCCTATCCGACAGAAATAGTCAGTACTGTCCGAGCTGCCAAACGAGGCCTAAGGGGTCCCATTTAACTCGTGATTTCCGCGAAGTACATTGAAATTTTATCGGGTGCAAGTCCAGCCGTTACATTTAAAAGTGTTTATTGTACATTGATGTATACAAGAATTTCCTGCCTTAACAGTCGAAAGATGAAAGAGAGAAACTAAAAAAAAATTATAGTTGTTACTTAGTACTACGGTTTCATAGTATTCATCTTCACTAGTACGTAAAAGATCTTAGGTTTGATTTTCCACCAAAAGCGAATTTGAACCACATTATTACTAGCTCATTATGAAGCTAACCTCACAATCTCCCCCTTGATTTAGATAATAACGTTTGTTTAAAAAAAAAACAAAAAACAAAAAAACCTTTAGTTCGCCGACACACCGGAACTTCGATGTTCAGTGGGCACCGAAATTGAGATATGCTAGTGATGAGTCGATTTCATATTATATATTTTATCCTATTTTAGTATGTTTTGGTAATTATTTTGGTAGAATTTTGATACTTAACTTTATATTTTCAATATAGGACATTCGACATCCTCTTGAGCAAAACGTGATCAAACGGGCAAATTTTAAAGTGATTCAAATTGGAGGACATTCGTGAGTCCTTTAGCTTGTTTGTGTCAAATTTTTGGCTTTTTTTTCTTTCTACCAAGTAGTTATTTTCTAGCGATGAAATAAAAAAGCAATGCGTGATGCTAAAAAGTGACTTTTTGGGCTTAATTGCGATTTTATGAGCCTAAGATGACATATGTTGGGTTCATGGCCTTCTGGAGAAGTGTTCAGATTATTCGAAACTTTAAATCCAGCTATTTTGGGCCACTTTTGAAGGAGATTTGGATCCAAAACGTCGTTGTGCAGATTTTGAGCTGTTTATCCTAGTCAATTTAGGATTATGTTTTCTAATTTATTTTAATTTATTTGGTTTCCTAGTTTTATTTTAAGTCATTTTCTAGGAAGGATTGGATTTTCTACGTAGTATAAATATGCCATTATGGCTAGCTCTGTGTTCTTCTTTTCAATGTGATATCTGAGAGAGAATTTTGGCCAAAGCTTAAGAGATTTTCAAACTTTATTCTACAAGGTGTTTTCACTTTTTTTCTATTTCAATGAAACTCTTTCGATTGAACATGTATAATTAACTTTCTTTTGCTAAGGCAGGGCCATCAGCCTTAGCATGAATATGTAGTTTTTATTTTATTGCTTATGATATTATGCATGCATGCTTTGAATTATTAATAATTGTAAGTCACTTAGGGCGAATGCCACATCTTAAGGATTGCATGTTTTTTCAAAGGGTTTTCATAGAACATAATGAGTCATGCATCTTTATATTTGATCTGAATGCTATAGACGAATTGCATGTTTGATATATGCTCTATCTTGAATGCCACAAGTTGAATATGCATTAGGAAAACCTAACATTCAAAGTTGCATGTGTAATTCATAAGTAATTAGTGAATCTACAAAATATTGTTAAGAGAACGGTGGAACCCTAGTGCTTTTACAAATCTATTTCTCAAAGCCGTTTCTTTTTAATTTGATTTCTTTAAAATTGATTTCTTGTTGATTTTCCTCACTTACTTTTATTAAATTCGTTTTTATTATTTTTAGATTGAAAAACAACTATTTTCAAACTTTGTTTTCAAATAATTAACTAAGATTTTACTTTTACATAAATTGTTTTAGATAATCCTTGTGGGAACGACCTTACATGAGCATTTTTACTACAACTACCTTGTTCTCTTACAAGTATTTTGTGTGATTTTTAACCCTCTTTATGCAAGTACTAAAAATCCTATCAGCTAGCCATCATGTGGATTGGCGACGAATCCATAATATGCATAAAGTCATAACTCAAGTTTTCAACTATTAAAGTCTACCGAAAATAGGGCTAAGCCCAAATTAAAACACATGCAAGTAACCACATTTATTGCATCCCCAAAGGACCACACTTAATGGGTCTCTGACACTATATTACACGCATACAAAATCATACACTAGCCGTAACTAGTATAAGCTGAAATATAATTATGTTATTGTCGAGTAATCTCGAGATGATGACAAGGTGAGAATATAACTATGTAATCATGTCACTACCACCGAGTAATCACGAGGTAATAGCAAGTTGAGAATATAACTGTATAATCACGTCATTACCAAGTAATCTCGAGGTAATGACAATTGAGAATATAACTATATAATCAAAAGAGGAACTAGAACGGTAAACTCTGGTTTGCGCTTGCTCCGAAAGTTTCAAGTCATATTCCAAAAAGTACCAGAACGCGCATCTCAATATCCCAATAAATATACTTCGGAAACAACTTCACATCATGGAGGAAATAATATAACTCAAACACAGGAAATCGAAAAGAATGGATGACAAGGCATCTTCCAATCACGTTTCAACGTATATAAAACGCTTTAGTTTCTGATTTGGTGGAAGACTTACTCACATATAAAAAAGGTATCTCGAGCTACAATAAACTTAGCTATACAAAAAGTAAACAGTAAAGTTGAGCACTGACATCAACAATTTCATTTTCGCAATCACTAACGTCAGTACGCGATTAAAGCAAACACAAGAGAAATTGTAAAAGAAATACGTTTGAGCAAATCTTATTAGCAAATTTCAGGGCAAATCAACTTAGCGCAAAAGAAGAGTCAAATTTTGAATAACGGTGAGTAAACAAGTTAGCAACAAAACAATGAAAATTGTAAGAATTGAGAACCATAAAATATATAGCTTGAAAGGTGAAGATCCCTTGAGGAAAACTCAACTTTGTAAACAAAACTTAAAAGAACGAACTTTGTCTGCTTAATGGTGTTGTAGTTATGCTCTTCATTAATTGGCCAGATTTGAGAGAAGCATCTCAACAGAAAACAAGCTATGTATTTTGGCTGTCATAGGCCGAACATTATACATTCTAAAATTGACGAAGGATTTGACTGTAGCTATCTACAGTCAAACTTTTGCCCCTCGATTTCACGTTATTTACAATAATGGCATCATATTTGGGCTGAATATTTACATCTCTGACACTGACCACAATTTGGGTTTTTTAGGGCGGTTGGTTTTGGGCCCGAAGTGGGCTTCGGTGGTGACCATTGAATGGATTAAAGCCCTGAACGTCAAATGCCTATTTTACCCTATCTACATTCAAAATCCGACGGACTGGATTGGAAATTTCATGGGTATTTTGGTCATTCTTCGTTTGGAAGAGTGGTGGTATGCCTGGGTTCGATGGGAGTGAGGGAGTAGTTCAGGATGTGCCATTGTTGCAGAGGGTGAGGGAGGAAATTGAGGGAAGTTATCACGGCCCCGGCCTCTCTAGCTTCCCAGTTCCATACATATTTATTTTTTTTATTTATGCTGTTACGGTTAAATTACGTTAATATTTTATATTAATATTATTTTTTATTTTATTATTTATATAAAAAAATTAATATAAAATGTTAATGTGGTCGTGATCCTACAAAATAAAAGAGAATGATGATGTATAAAAACTGGAAGGGCAAAGAAGCCGGATCCGGTTATCACTGACCCGATTGAGTGAGGGATTTTGTGAGGATTGCACTGACTTGATTGACCGAGGATGGTCTGACATTTAGTAAGGCAAAAACAGAATGAGAGAGGCGGGTTGCAGAGGCAGAGAGAAAGAGGGAGGGGTGGGGGCACTGAACATGAGCAAGTAAGGCTCTTCTGAACAGGAGCAAGCAAGGTGTTTTGATGCCTTATTTTGGCGGTGAAAGGAAGGGTCACATGTAGAGAGAGAGAGGTTTCCTTCCGCGCACATTACCGTTTCGATCGCTTCGACAGCAAGCCGCCACCACCGCCACCTAGAACAAAAAATAAACATCCGCCACTGCTCTTCAGCCATCGTCTCCGGCGATCCATTCAAATCTCCGATCGAAACAGATATTTACTTCCGATTCCATTGATTTCAGATCGTTCAAACTGAATTATTGCTGAAATTGTGTGATGGGTTGAATGCAGAGAGAAACTTAGGGAAAGATGAGTGACGTATTCGAAGGGTACGAGCGCCACTAAAGAGAGCTCTTCGCCAACCTCACAAAAAAGTGTACGGTAGCTGGTGCTCTCAATAGAGGCCAATTTTTTTCTCACTTTTCCTTATTTATTTATTTATTATTATTGTGAATTTAATGTATATTTCCCACACATTGTCACTGTGCTTATTTGTGTGTCGGCGAGCTCAGTTTTGGTGATGTTGGGTGCCCAACAGGCAACAGTGTTGCAAGAAAAAAATGAGTGGAAAAAGTGGATTCTGTGTTTGTCTAATTTTTTAAGCAGTGCTGAAATCCATAGGTTTATTTGGTCCCTGCCACTAAACTCAGATTTCTGCTATTAATTGCTGCTGAAATGTGACTTTTGCTATTAATTTTTTACCTTTCATATTTATGCTGCTTTTGGATTCCATTCGAATTAAATAATGTAGTTAATCTTGATATGAATTCTCTCTGCAACAATAATTAAGGATTTTAGTTTAAATTATTACTATTTTGTTCTTGATCTGGCATTGAATCTTTCTTAATTTGGACTGCAGGTGGTTCTGACATGGAGGAGAAGCTGCAAGAGGTTATGATCTTGCTGCTCTTAAGTACGGCTGTTCTTCAACTCATATAAACTTTCCGGTAGGGTTCAAACTGTTAAGAGTTTTATGATTTTGTAAAAGCTTTTTAGTAGCAGAAGCTTGGTCTTTTTGCAGTTGCGTTATTACACTATACAACCTGAGTTAGTATGGGTTTCTTGCTCACTGATATGACTTAGGAATTCTAAAAGCGTTTGCATTTTACAATATACGACTTCAGTTAGTATCAGTTTCTTAATGAGTGGCATGTGAATGTCAAATTTTTTCTTAAATTAATTTCGGAAAGAAATGCGTTTAAAGGTGGTGCTATGTGATGAAGTTAGCATTCTGTTTTTTATTATATACTAGTGGTGGACATTTTTAGCATATTGGTTGAGAAAGATTTATCATTTTCTATAAAATAAAGCTTCATTCTCACCATGTTGTTGATGTTTTTTGTGATTTGAGTTTATAGTGCTTCTAAATGCTGTTTTAATTTAGGAATTTGAATAATTGGTTTTATTTAGCTTAATGCAGGATCTGAAATTTGTGATGATCATTTTCATATTTCTATAAATTTTGAGAGAAAAAAGCATGTGAAAAAGCACATTATTCTCTAGGTATAAATCGCATTAGTCTAATTATGGCTAGGATAAAAAAGCATGTGATAAAGTGAAGACGGGGATAGAGAAAAGGCTTTTGGGAAAGTGCAAAATGGGATGAAGATGGTTTGGGGGGAGTGAGGGGAAGGAGGAAATTACTCAAAAGAAAGGGAAAAAACAGGGGAACAAGCTTATTCAACTAGCTATCCAGCCAGTTCATATAGTGTCTTGCAAGTTGACATTTTTATGTAGTAAGTTCAAAACCAAACTTATGTGTGAAATTAAGTTCATTTACTATTAGATCACAGCCATACTATTGTCTAATGGTCACAATTTCATACTACCTCTTTATTTCAACCAACCACTACAAAAAATAATGACTTTGCTAAGAAGACTAAACTTTGTATTTGAAAGGAACCACTAATTTAAAAAGAAGACACTAAAACACTGATTGAAAACCATAACCATAAATATATTGGCTCTTGGTGTTAACCTAATAGAATGTAAACTCAAATTGAACTGCTTATTTTGCCGTATCGATTCACCTATATCTTGATTTTTCAATTATTTGGAGATGACTGTTAATTTGTGATTTTGTGGGACTTACTCAAGTAAAATGTGCGTTGTCTAACTTGCTGCATTTGAGAATGCAATTGTGTTGCTGCTGCCTTTTGAGTGAATTTTTCTATGAATATTAGTTATGGCTGTTGTCGATTATAGTTTGAAACCCCGCAGCAGAGCACAAGCAATTTTTCTAGTATTAAGCTATAACAGATACCAGAAAATCGAAAAGCTCTATAGACAGTAATTTCGTTTGTTCGTGATGGTAGTTTAAAGTAGGGAAAATTAAAATCCCCTACAGTTTTTCTATATCATTTAGATTAAACATTTGTGTCTTTTTAAAATTTGATTGAAGTGCTTTGACCAATAATTACCTCTATTTTTTTAAATTAAAATACTTTTTGAATTTATTCTTTTATCTGCATGATGCACTTTTCCTTATTTAGTGAAGATATTAGTAATTAAACTATATTTTCTCTTCTTCCAAATATGTTTTTACGATCACATTTTTTTTTTGTTTTGGTTATGCAAACATTTAATATTATTTCTTTTTCCAAATGATTATTTCTTTTTCAAATAGTTGGTGATCAACATAAAAGCTCTGTAATTTTTTCAAATTTTTTTTTTGAAATTATATATTTTTTTGCTGTATTTTTTTTTAAGAATAGTTTTTGAAGAATTATTATCAGGTACAATACATTACATATATATTATCTGCGGGTACGTTTGAATTTACAAAAATCATTAATTGATACGTTTATTTGCAATTTTGGTACGTTTGATTTGATACTTATTGTTAAGATTGGTACATTATTTTTATTTTGTACACATTGTGTATTGGTACGTTTATATTATTCACAATCATATTTTCTCTTAACGTACTACAAGAAAAACTTATTTCAGTACATTTGATTTTGGGGGATTTAAAAATATTTTAAACTATTTTGGAAAGAAAATATCTTAAATCGTAGATAATTATTGCTAAATTGTAGCATTATTGTGAAAATAAATTGAATCTAACCAACATTTTATTTATTTTTTGTGCAATTATCTCTAACGGAAGAGAATGTAATCAAAAGGCTAGATTATAGGAAATTTTAGACTATTATGCGACAATACGATATAATCTTAATTGTAAACTCTGGAAAACATCTTCAAGGAATAAGGGCTCGCCCTCAGGTGGATGAAGAAGCTGGTACTGCGTCAAATCTATGCCCTCAATGTGGTACTGAATATGGTGGGGTTGGCAATCAAACCACTATCCATCTGCAATGTCAAGCATGCGAAGGAATGACGCCTCGCGAACCAATAACAGTGTACCTCAACACTGTTTGGGATGTGATACATATTGGCACACGGGTTGCACAAAGTGATTCTCACCGCGTGTGCAGTCGCGAGACTTTTAAACCAATCCCAGAACTGACCATCCCTAGAATCCCTACCTCGGCACATGAAAACAATAAACGTGAGCAAGTTATAACTGAGAAATATATTGCACTGTTGTTTCCTCTGCACGACTCTCAGACCTACACATGCAGAGCAACTTGAAAACTTTTGTAGCTATATGCGTCCCCAAGAGAATGATGAAACGGTAATCATTTGATAAAACATGATTAATAGATAAGATCATCTTGGCAATACTAATTAAACAAGGTAGAATTTAGACCAGTTGAGATCGATTAGTAAACAACAGAGGGTTTTCGATACTCTGTTCTTACAACATTCATGCATGATCATAGATTCACAATTCCACAGAAACGAAATCATCATCCATATTTTACAAACCAAACGTTTGAATTCGAATTCCACAAAGTACCAAAATCTACCGCTCTATAGACATAATTTGGAAACAAACTTGAAAAAAGAAATTCGGAAACTAGAGCTCATAAACTTGTTGAATACAACAAATTGTGGTACTATAGAACCACCATAAGGCACAGTAAGAAAAGAGGGAGAGTAGAACCAACGCTGAGACAATTCCACTCCATTTAACCCATCAATTTCAAGCCTTCCGAGAGATGGTAACTGTGCCAATGCTGCCATTGAAAAACAATATTCACAATCCATAAGTCGAAGAGTAACAAGATGAGAGAACGAACGGGTCATCTCCTAACCGATTTGGAAATCACACTTGAAGATATCTAGACGAGAAAGAGAAGTGGGTAGCCCTTCATCTGGCAAGCTCTGGAGTCGAGGACAAAAAGAAATCTTCAACGTCTCGAGAGAGATGAGGTGTCTTAACGCCTTGCCGTCAATGGTTTTCAGATTCGGATGATCGGAGATTCTGAGAGAAGTGAGAGTGGTTGGCAGCAGCCCCTCTTCTGGAAATGATTCGCCAATTTCTTCTTCTTCACATTTTGAGAAGTCGACATCCAAGTATTTGAGAGAGGTGAGTGTTTGTAGACCCCACCGCATACGGTTTGCCATCAGTTTTTTACAACTCCGGATACCGAGGTAACGCAATTTAGACGGCAATCCCCCTTCCGGAAATGATTCCAATTCTGGGCAATCCCGTATGATCAAAGACCGGAGAGATGGGAGTGACCTCAATTTGTTACATTCTTCGATTTCCATCGTATTCAAGTTGGGCGCTTGCAGTCCCCCTCCACCCACAAATTCTGTGCACTCCTTTATCTTCAAATAATAGAGGAATGAGAATTTTGTTTCTTCCGGAAATGATTTAAATTCTTTACACCTTTCTATGGACAGAAACTGAAGAGACGGGAGAGAGGCGTGCATCTTCTCTGGCAGTGACCCGAATTTGTTACATTCATAGATTTCCATCTCCTTCAAGTTGGGCGCTTGCAGTCCTCCATGGGGGAAACCCACAAATTCTGGGCACTCCTTTATCTTCAAATAATAGAGGGATGGGAATTTAGATTCTTCCGGAAATGATTTAAATTCTTTACACCCTTCTATGGACAGAGACTGAAGAGACGGGAGAGAGGTGTGCATCTCCTCCGGACATGACCTGAATTTGTTACATTCTTTGATTTCCATCGTCTTCAAGTTGAGCGCTTGCAGGCCTCCTTCATGGTGGAAACCCACAAATTTTGGGCACTCCTTTATCTTCAAATCAAAGGGGGATGAGAATTTAGATTCTTCCGGAAATGATCTAAATTCTTTGCAAAACATTATGGACAGAGACTGAAGAGACAGGAGAGAGGCGTGCATCTCCGCTGGCAGTGACCTGAATTTGTTACATTCTTTGATTTCCATCGTCTTCAAATTGGGTGCTTCCAGTCCTCCTCCATGGGGGAAACCCACAAATTCTGGGCACTCCATTATCTTCAAATCATCGAGGGATGGGAATTTAGATTCTTCCGGAAATGATTTAAATTCTTTACACCCTTCTATGGACAGAGACGGAAGAGATGGGAGCGACATTTGCATATCTTCTGGCACTGACCACAAGTTTTTAAAACGGCACATAGATATCTCCTTCAAGTTGGGCGCAAGCAGCACTCTACCACCCACAAAACATACCAGATTCGGGCAATCTGATATTTCCAACTCACGGAGGAATGGGAGTTCAATATTGAATTTATTGCATTCATGCGAACAAGCAAGGGATTCGATATTAACTTCCTGCAAAATTAGCCGCTCAAGTCTTGGGAAGTAGTCAAACGGTATTTTCCCCGTTAGTTTGGGACAACAATGCAGACGAAGCTCGCAAAGATTAGGAAAATGTCCGCCTTCTTCTTCTTCACCTCCAGGGAAACACCACTCTTGCCATTCCTGCATACTGCGGAAACTTAGAAACTCCAGAGATTTAAATGCAGGTTTAATTCCCCCATAAAACTGAGACCCCACTGATTCCACTCCATTCAACCGATAAATTTCAAGCCTTTTGAGGGACGGTAGCTGCCCCAATGCTGGCAGGGAGAAACAATATCCACAAGTCTCAAGTCGGAGAGTGACAAGATTAGAGAAAGACTCATCTCCTAACCAACCTGGAAACTTTGTACCTCCGTATCCTTCTATAGCCAGTACTTTTAGGTTTGTATTGGGCTGTAGGTTGCCCAGCACTTGATTATGGTTTTGAGAATCAATAGTGTCATCTTCCCATTTCAAACGTATTTCACTGAGCTTCTTGTCCCTTAGTTTGGCCTCCAAAGCATCTTCAGCACGTGTGATATTTTGAAGCCCTGAAATATGAAGATTTCCCCTCAAATGCTGAAACCCCTTTAACTCATCAATGTTTCCCCCGACATCTTTGCTCAAGACAAACTCACCCCCAAATGTTTGGAGATCTTTCAACTTGCCCATGTGGGGGGGCATCTTTTTTATTTTTGTACCTCTGAAATCAAGATGGCGCAAGTGGATAAGTCTTCTCAAAAAGGTGGGCAACTCAGCTAGATATCTACAATTCGACACCAACAATGTTTGTAAATCATACAAAATGCATACTGCGTCTGGTAATTTATGGATTGGAGTGTAACACAAGTCGAGGTACCGTAGATGCTTCAAGTTGCTAATCGAATCAGGCAACTCGCTGATATCATTCCCTCGGAGTTTGACAACTCTTAAACACTGTAGCATTAAAAGGTGATCAAGTCGCACTGTCGGCAATGAATAGAGATCGCCAAGAATGAAGGTGCGCAGATACTTAGCTTCATAAATAGTGTCAAATCTCTCATAATCAACATTAGATGAATATTGCATATAAGAAAAATGGCGACCCTTGCCCACAACGTCCAATGAGAAGTCGTGGTCTCCCAATCTAATGCAAAATTCTCCAGATACGTAAGTCGCCAAATCATGCATCAGATCATGCATGATGAAACAATCATTTGAAAACGAGTATTGAAAAAATGACCGTGAGATTAGATCATCAAAGTATTTCTTTCCAACATCTTCCAACCTGGTCTTCTTTTGGTGTTGTAAAAGATCTTCGGCCATCCACAACAAAATTAATTCAGACTTGTCAAATACATAATCTTTGGGAAATGTCGAACAATAAGCAAAACAATGCTTCAACTCCGGAGACAAGTACTTGTAGCTTAACCATAGAGCCGGCATAATTTCAATCTTTGCGTCTGACAACTCCCATATGTCACTTTTTAGCACATTTTCCCATTCCTCCACATTTGGTTCAGAGCGTAAGAGACCACCAAGAGATTTTGCAGCTAAGGGAAGGCCTTTACACTTGCTAACAATTTGTCTTCCAATTACCTCAAGATTTGGATCTACAATAACACTTGCATCTTTGAAGGCATGTTTTGCAAATAAAGACCAACAGTCTTCCTCAAGTAAGTGCTTTAAATAGTGGGTTTGAAGAGTACACATCGTAGATGCAACACCACCATTCCTTGCGGTAACAATGATCTTACTTCCATGAACTCCAGACTCGAAGGGGCGTTTTAAGGAATCCCAAATATTGTAATTCTCGTTCCAAACGTCATCAAGAACAAAAAGAAACTTCTTCCCCGCCAAAGCATCTTTGAGTTTGACTTGAAGCTCGTTTAGGTCTGTGGTATCACAGCTTTGTGAAGTGACTGATGCATAAATTGTTTGAGTGATCTTAACAACGTCAAATTCATCAGAACCACAAACCCATGCCTGGAGCTCAAAATGCTGCTTCACACTATCATCATTGTATAAAAGCTGAGCAAGAGTGGTCTTTCCGATCCCACCCATGCCCACGATGGGAATGACGCCAATCTTATTACAAGTAACATCATCTGATAGCAACAATTGAATGATGGTTTCCTTCTCATGATCTCTTCCGTACACATTAGAGCCTTCTACTAAAGAAGTTGAAGGCCATGTTTGTGAGATTCTGCGACTACAGCGTTCTTTCAAACCAAAGGCATCTTTTTGTTTTGAAATGAAGCTTAGCGTCTCAAGAATTTCCTCTATCTTGGTGTCTATAGACTCATCAAAAGCATGGAAAGAAGCAGAGATGAGGTCTTGTACCTTGCTAGTGCTACTTCCAAATTCAGCTTCCATTTTTCGCCTTAACGCCTCTGTCTTGATCTCGTCCAGTAAGTCCTCAGCATGAAAGACTGCCTCTTTAAGCTCATGCAGCCACTGCTTCACAACTGGGTTACTTAATTGCTTTTGCTCGGCATCATCATAAACAGCACTGACAGACATCAACTCGATCCTCAACTTCTTCAGCAACCCATCTGTCTGTTTCTTTCCTCTGATGAAGTTCTTGACCTCCTGAGAATCCAACTTGACAAATACTTGCTGGAAGAAACCCGAGAGAGCGGCTCCACCTACCACCATTAGCGCCATGATCGATCTCTTCTTTGCAAATGGAATTGAGTTTTGCTGGGAGAAGATAATCACAAATTAGCTAGCAATATCAATGCAACGAAAACTATGGTTAGTTTTCTCTACAAATAAACAAATTCAAACCAAGAGTTGTTGGATTGATATTAAACAAAGACTGACTTTATCTCTACTAATTAATAAAACTATCATTGTTAACCAAAATTTTATGAAATTACCAGTTTAACTCTTTAATTAAAAAAAATATATATAAATAGGAAATATGGGAGAGAAATATAATTTCACACTACCAAATTTTACTGTTTTATTTTTTCAAAACCTCACTTATATGTAATCCTAACATATCTCTAATTAAAAAAAAAAAAAAAACTTCCCACGCCCACCACATTCTCTTTCACTCTCTTCCTTTCTCCTTCTATTTCAAAAACAAAAGTAAAAAAATTTCTCACACACTTTGTGTGTGCCTATATGCTAGTTATATTTAACACAAGTTATTTCTCGTCAGCTGCCTTTAACTCCACTTTTTAAAGCAACTCTATCCCTAAATTGAGTAGCCCAGGCTATTGATATTAAAATATTATATTATAAAATAATAAAAAATAATTTTATTTTAAATTTCGAATAATAATAAAAGATTGATTGAAAATATTTGCAAATACTAAAATATGGTGCAAGGTGGAAGAATATGGTTAGGTATTTATAGTAAAAAAAAATATATATAACTTTTTTATATTTTTAATTCATTTTGATGAATTTTTTTTATAGTTTTATTTATTTATTATCGCTGTCAAAGTGATGTTACACTACCCTATGGCTGGGCCTGTCAGTTCGGACCTAGGGAAAAGTGGGGGCTCCCTAGAGCCCAAGTGTTGGGATGGGCTTAGCTAGTTTTTTGGGGGCAGGGGATTCCGGAGCTCATCGCCCAGTGGACTTAGCTGGGCTGGAAGTGCTCTTAGAGAATGCTAGCAAAAGTGCGCGCACATTGCTGTGAGTGTTTAAAATGTTCTAAAAAATAAATACATATGAAACAGAGGTCCCTTATGTGAAAACCGCCTAAAACATGCAAAATTTGTAAATATATTTACGATAGGCAATACTGTGTACATATATGTGGAATGTAGTAAGGAAATTATAGACTTTTTGTTTTGAATCAAGAGAGATAGTAATTCTAAAATAAAATTTCAAGAACCCTTTCCAGGCAGTTGAACATAAAAAAGAATGCTAATTCTAAAATGCAATTTCAATGTGTCTATATGTTAAAAGCATGCAAGCAGAGAGAAAGGGCGTAGTTTCTATTACCGGCAGAATTAACTTGTAAAGACTTGCCCACTGTGTTCTGAATTAGTGTCCCTCCATTGTAAGCATCTTTAGAGAAATTTCTATAGATAATTTCACTATAAAAATAAATCCATGTTAAATTTGGAAAGCGTTGCTATTCATAACGTCAACAGAGTTGAAACAGAAACAATCAAGTTATGTAAGTAATTAAATATGCCATAGATAAGTACCTGGATGGGGGCAGAAGTACAGATCTTTTCCTCAAACATCATGGCCACTTTCATGAGTTCTTATAATTCCTTTTCACCAGATAGAGATGAGTAACTCCTCAATGTATCCAATCTTTACATGCACCACATTTAACAAAGTTGACTGACTAATCATCAAAGCGTGTCATGTAGATAGAATTATTAATAACAGAAGTGAATTCAGGATCAATAAATCCAGTCATTTTTGTATAAAACCGCATGAAGGTATGCACAAAATTTTGGTGTAAGTAAACAAATACGCAGTTGTACTCACACTTGAATTATCTATGTTTTCTAATAAAACCTAGTGTTTTATCTTTTAGCCATCTCTATTCAAGTTTTTACCAAATTCATATGAACATTTTCAAGTAAATTCATACATAATTAATTTTAAAAAAGAAAAAACAACAAAAAATTTAGCAAATCGGGGTGAAACATTTACAATTGAATTTCAAACATGACTGCCACTCAGTACTACAGTCTGATGGTAATCCTCTTCACTTGGAAGTAGGAGGTCTTAGATTCGAATCTCGTAGATGAAGAATTCGATACCAAATTAAGATGATCATTGTATGGTTTAGCCGAACTCCATGTTCCCTTAGTATAAAAATATCGATAAATTCAAACATAACTTAAACTCAACCACAAACTTACAGAAATTTTAAGTAGAATTATTAACATAACTCAGAAAAAATACTCAACTTTGCAATTAACTTAAATCGGACAAATTTAACTATTCATATTCATTCACATAATCTCAAAGAGTTCCTTTTAACCGGGTAAACCATTAGTCAACAAAAAAAATGTAGACAAAGCTCTTATCAAAATCAAAATATTATAATGAAGGGGAACTTCAAAATAATCTCAGCTAGGCACTTTTCCAAAGTGAAGGAAGAATCTACTTTCTAACAATTGGACTTGGTATATGAAACCACCAATTTAGTTACCTAAAATTCATAATCAACACAGAAAACAACTCCAAATCCTCAGTTTTACGCAAAATTCCAATTCACATCCCGCTGCATCGTAGGGAGTGTGATGAAATTTATATCTATTTTCTGGGGACACTACTCTATCAGAAAAATATTGAATACAAAACTTTTAAAATTTGAAATATCCTATCCTCAGCAGACAATCACGTCCTTCCGTTTAATTGTAACAACATAACAATGAAGACGAACATCTTACTGCTTCAATTCCGGCTTTCATAAATTACAAACTAATTTTACGGACCTATAATGGAGAAATAAGAAGAATATCTTACTGCTTTAATTCGGGTTTCATTGCCGCATAGCTTGAGCCTTTGCCTTCAACTCAACCTGTCTTGTCTCTTCGTGCTTCACCCGTGGCTCCGATTACCTATACAATCGCAAAAGAGCAATCATTAATCAAAGGGAACTTTAACAAAAAGCTCCCAGTACTGTTCATTTTAACGAAAAACCATATTTTTACACTAAAAAGTCAATCCAAGTAATATTCACTTTACCCTTTATTTTGTCCTTATCGTTAAAATTCAAAGTTTTCAAGTCCTTTTTATTAGTTTTCCTTTAATCAAAACATCAACCCGAAAACCATTAAAACAAAAGGGCTGCTTGTTGAAGTTTCTAATACATCCTTTTGCTTATCTCTAAGCACTAATATGGAGGTATAAGACGAAATAAATAGCGTACTCTATAGCTGTACAACTTCTGAAGTTAGACATGAACTTACCTCTTATGACAAATAGAAACTCAATGAATCATAGTTGTATTCCAACTTCTGAATTTAGACATCAATATGTTTATCTCATTCTTTAACAAATAGAAGATGCTGATTCAATGAGATGAACATAATGATTATTCTTGATTATGTTGTTAACGATCCCATTACACACTCTCATTTCTTTTTACATTTTACATACTCTCGTTAATTTGTTACTTATGTATACACTCTAATTTCTTTTCAGTTGTTTTATTGAGCAAATAAAAAATGAATCAAATGTTATTGTACCAAAACATAGGTACATTTTCCAAAATCACAAAAAAAAAAAAAGGCTTAATTGTTGCAGTCATATTTAGAATAGGAATGTGATTGTGTAAATTATAGTAGGTCTAGAAATATCTCTTATGTTCCTATTAGAAGTTGATTGCCTATTAAGAGTTGTAATCCTAAAAGGGTAAGGTTTTTGCCTATCCTACTACTATAAATAAGGGCAGAATAGGGGTGATACAACACACACCTCACAATTAAATCTCTCTCTTCTCCCTCTTGCTACCGCCGGCCCCCTTTCTCTCTATCCCTTAGATAGCTCAGTTAGATAGTCCTACAATACGTTATCAGCACGCTTTTGCCAAAAACTGAGGAACTGATGGATCGTAGGAGGAGGCTATCTTCCACAAAATTCAAACGCTCTTATTTGTTTTCTGCTAATCAGGTACGCTTAAAATAAAGGAAGATATTCGAAATGTCCACGAAGTATGAAAACATTCCCCATGATGCATGAACCCCTCTATGTTTATATTTTCCTTATGATATATATATATATATTGTATATGTTCATATATTTGTAAACATATATATGTTTCATGCATTACGCAAATAAATTGCTATGTAGAATTGTGAGTTAAAGCATATAAATAAATTAGAAGCAACTATATGGGTTTGTTCAAACCCTAACCATGTCGGAAAAAAAAACAATTTTTGCGTTGGCATTGTGCGGCACCACCGCCGCACCCCCTCCATGGTATCATCGAACCACCACTGATCCAACTAATGGGCCTGAAGTCCATTCGCCCAAACCAAAAGCTTGCAACCTTTTGGCCTGATGTCTCGTGAGTCCCTAGCCCACAGGGTTATGCCATATTGCCCCGACCCGTTTCCCGCAACTCTGTCTGTTGGGTTAAGCTTGACCCAACCCGGACCCAACCTCAGTTGGGCTTCCCATGTGAACCCAAGGCTAGCATTTTGCTAAGCCTAACCCGTGCCCCCCCTTTCAGCCCAAAAGCCAGCAGCTACTGCTGATGGGCTCACCTGTCTTGGCTCATGGCCTGTAGCCATTTATGGGCTGCTATTGTAGCCACACTCGAGCCCAAACCCTTTTTGGGCTATGCCTTTTTTGACCATATGCTATTATTTAGCATTCTAAATAATTTTAACCCAAATGTTATTATTATTGCTTCCATGAGCGACCCCATTTGGTCCCAATCTATTAAATTAATTAAAAGTGACTCGCAGTCCATTAATTTGATAATTAAATCCAAAATTATTGACTTGAAGATTACTTTTAGACATTATCGATTCAATAATTTATTTGTATACTTTGAACTGTTGACATACTTTCCAAGTAACGAAGCTCTTATACTTGAGTTCATGAAGAAACTCAAATACACTACACTTAAATCAGCATATTGCATTCTATGTTTCTTGTAGGAACCTCTCCTTTATGAACTAATCATTCATAAAACTAAATTGAACCGGTAGTTTCATATTTAGTGCCTTTGAAACCTGAAGTTTTCATTCAAAACTTACCACATAAATCCTGTAGGTTTCATGCATAAATTAAACCAATACATGTCTATAAAACCCGAATGTTCTACGATATATGTTGATGGATCACCATATGACTAATCACGTTTTTTTTTGCACCCTCTGTTTTAGGGACATATTGAACTTGAAAAAGTGGACCATCTGGAAGATGTTACTACATTAATGGAGATATCAGTTTTTTAGGAGGCATCAATGCCTATGGACGAGTAAATTAGACATGTTTTAGGGTGTTTTACCCTTAGTGAGCGAACCCACTAGGAGTGGCCGGCCCCCTTCCTCTATTTTCCTAGGTTTATGGTTTAATTTTGAATAATTTTTCTAAGTCTTTGGAATAATTTGTTTGGTTTTGGTTTGTTTTGAATTATGAATTGTTATTTTACGGATATTATTTCTCGAATTGCTTAATTGAATGAATAGGAATTATATTTATACATGTGACTAATTCAATCAATTTATTTTTAGATATGTCCAGTGAGAAAGTTGTCTGGCTGATAGTGCTACCATGCTTACCATCTTGCGTAAGCGACACTATTTTACTAACTTTATACCCAAGAAAGCACCTCGGATAACTCTCTCAGGCCCATCCAATCTGATTGAAGGATACGGAAATGCATGTATCATGTTGTCCAATGGTACAGTCTAAACCATTAAAAAGGTACTCTATTCTCCACGTTCCGGAAGAACGTTGCTGAGTTTTAAAGATATTCGAGATAATCAATATCATGTTGAAACCACTGAAGATAATGATTCTGAATTTCTTTGTATCACTTCATACGAATATGACTATAAGCGTATTCACGAGAAGTTGGAACATATTCCGAGTGGATTGTACATAACAACCATTCGAGGCATAGAAGGCCACCATGTGGCTGGCCCCATGCCTAAGTTCTAGAGCACTTTGCTGCTTTGGCATGATTGTTTGGGACATCCTGGATGTGAAATGAAGTGCCCTATCCTCAAAACATCTCGTGGGAATCTGTTACCTCCCTATGTTGGATTTTCGCCATGCAAAGCATGTTCTTTGGGGAAGTTGAATACTCAACCCTTGATTACAAAGATTATTCACAACCCTTCTAAATTTTATTAGAGGATTCTTGGGGATATTTGTGGACCTATCCAACCAACATGCAAACCATTTAGATACTTTATGGTGTTGATTGATGCATCGACACAATGGTCACATGTTTACCTGTTGTCCACATGCAACGCTGCATTTGCTAAACTTATAACACAAATTATTAAGCTAAAGGCTTGCCACCCTAATTATCTGATTAAGCCGATTCGACTGGATAACGTTGGAGAGTTTACGTCACAGACTTTTGACGATTATTGCAGGTCAGTAGGGATTGATGTGGAACATCATGTACCCCATGTTCACACCCAAGACGGCCTAGCAGAAGCTTTCATAAAGCGCCTTCAATTGATAGCTCAGATTTTGGTTATGAGAACCAAATTGTCGGTATCTTCCTGGGGCTATGCAATATTGCACGCAGTTATGTTGGCCCACCACTACCCAACCACATTCACCGTTACAGTTGGTCAGCCTGACGCCTCGCATTTACGGGTGTTTGGGTGCACCATTTATATGCCAATAGTGTCGTCATTATGTACCAAAATAGGTCATCAGAGAAAAATGGAAATCTATGTTGGTTATGATTCGCCATCAATTTTTCGCTATTTAGAATCCTTGACAGGAGATCTCTTTACCGCACGTTTTGCGGATTGTCACTTTGATAAGGCAGTTTTCCCATCGTTAAGGAGAGATAAGCATGTTAACATTCCGGGAGAACGTTATGAATTGTCGTGGTATGTTTCCACTGTGTCTCATTTAGATCCTCACACTACCCAGTCTGAAACTAAGGTGCAATGAATTATAGATTTTCAGAGCATGCCAGATGCTTTTAATGATCTAGCTAAGGTGACAAGATCACGTATACCCGCTGCAAACGCACCTGCAAGGATATATGTACCCCGCTTATGTCACTAGCCTACCTGGGAAGGCTGAACCATCCCCGAAGGTGGGGAGATCGTACCTTCCACGCGGCCTGGTATATTGGTAGCCAGCCAATCATCTGCTTCAACCCTGAAATGTTGGTTCAAAGGATTCACAACTCCGGAAGAGGAAATCGACACTAACTAGTGACCATAGTTTGAATCCGACCATCTCTCACTTATATGTTCCAACGCATGAGGTTATTCTAGATTACGATGATGTCTTAGACGAGACAAACTGACCTTCTGAGAATCGTGAGATTTCGGTCCATTATGCAATATTGGATAAGATTTGGAATCGGAATGACATGATCGTCGGCGATGCATTTGTATACATAGTAGCTACTGACATTATACTTAACGATGACATTAAAACACGCTCTGTTGATGAATGCCAACGTAGTACCGATTGATCAAAGTTGACTGACTAATCATCAAAGCGTGTCATGTAGATAGAATTATTAATAACAGAAGTGAATTCAGGATCAATAAATCCAGTCATTTTTGTATAAAACCGCATGAAGGTATGCACAAAATTTTGGTGTAAGTAAACAAATACGCAGTTGTACTCACACTTGAATTATCTATGTTTTCTAATAAAACCTAGTGTTTTATCTTTTAGCCATCTCTATTCAAGTTTTTACCAAATTCATATGAACATTTTCAAGTAAATTCATACATAATTAATTTTAAAAAAGAAAAAACAACAAAAAATTTAGCAAATCGGGGTGAAACATTTACAATTAAATTTCAAACATGACTGCCACTCAGTACTACAGTCTGATGGTAATCCTCTTCACTTGGAAGTAGGAGGTCTTAGATTCGAATCTCGTAGATGAAGAATTCGATACCAAATTAAGATGATCATTGTATGGTTTAGCCGAACTCCATGTTCCCTTAGTATAAAAATATCGATAAATTCAAACATAACTTAAACTCAACCACAAACTTACAGAAATTTTAAGTAGAATTATTAACATAACTCAGAAAAAATACTCAACTTTGCAATTAACTTAAATCGGACAAATTTAACTATTCATATTCATTCACATAATCTCAAAGAGTTCCTTTTAACCGGGTAAACCATTAGTCAACAAAAAAAATGTAGACAAAGCTCTTATCAAAATCAAAATATTATAATGAAGGGGAACTTCAAAATAATCTCAGCTAGGCACTTTTCCAAAGTGAAGGAAGAATCTACTTTCTAACAATTGGACTTGGTATATGAAACCACCAATTTAGTTACCTAAAATTCATAATCAACACAGAAAACAACTCCAAATCCTCAGTTTTACGCAAAATTCCAATTCACATCCCGCTGCATCGTAGGGAGTGTGATGAAATTTATATCTATTTTCTGGGGACACTACTCTATCAGAAAAATATTGAATACAAAACTTTTAAAATTTGAAATATCCTATCCTCAGCAGACAATCACGTCCTTCCGTTTAATTGTAACAACATAACAATGAAGACGAACATCTTACTGCTTCAATTCCGGCTTTCATAAATTACAAACTAATTTTACGGACCTATAATGGAGAAATAAGAAGAATATCTTACTGCTTTAATTCGGGTTTCATTGCCGCATAGCTTGAGCCTTTGCCTTCAACTCAACCTGTCTTGTCTCTTCGTGCTTCAGCCGTAGCTCCGATTACCTATACAATCGCAAAAGAGCAATCATTAATCAAAGGGAACTTTAACAAAAAACTCCTAATACTGTTCATTTTAACGAAAAATCATATTTTTATACTAAAAAGTCAATCCAAGTACTATTCACTTTACCCTTTATTTTGTCCTTATCGTTAAAATTCAAAAATTTCAAGTCTTTTTTAATAGTTTTCCTTTAATCAAAACATCAACCCGAAAACCATTAAAACAAAAGGGCTGTTTGATGAAGTTTCTAATACATCCTTTTGCTTATCTCTAAGCACTAATATGGAGGTATAAGACGAAATAAATAGCGTACTCTATAGCTGTACAACTTCTGAAGTTAGACATCAACTTACATCTTATGACAAATAGAAACTCAATGAATCATAGTTGTATTCCAACTTCTGAATTTAGACATCAATATGTTTATCTCATTCTTTAACAAATAGAAGATGCTGATTCAATGAGATAAACATAATGATTATTCTTGATTATGTTGTTAACGATCCCATTACATACTCTCATTTCTTTTTACATTTTACGTACTCTCGTTAATTTGTTACTTATATATACACTCTAATTTCTTTTCAGTCGTTTTATTGAGCAAATAAAAAATGAATCAAAAGTTATTGTACCAAAACATAGGTACATTTTCCAAAATCACAAAAAAAAAAAAAAAAGGCTTAATTGTTGCAGTCATATTTAGAATAGGAATGTGATTGTGTAAATTATAGTAGATTTGGAAATATCTCTTATATTCCTATTAGAAGTTGATTGCCTATTAAGAGTTGTAATCCTAAAAGGGTAAGGTTTTTGCCTATCCTACTACTATAAATAAGGGCAGAATAGGGGTGATACAACACACACCTCACAATTAAATCTCTCTCTTCTCCCTTTTGCTACCGTCGGCCCCCTCTCTCTCTATCCCTTAGATAGCTCAATTAGATAGTCCTACAACATGTTATCAGCACGCTCTTGCTAAAAACTGAGGAACTGATGGATCGTAGGAGGAGGCTATCTTCCACAAAATTCAAAGGCTCTTATTTGTTTTCTGCTAATCAGGTACGCTTAAAATAAAGGAAGATATTTGAAATGTCCACAAAGTATGAAAACATTCCTTATGATGCATGAACCCCTCTATGTTTATATTTTCCTTATGATATATATATATATATATATATATATATATATTGTATATGTTCATATATTTGTAAACATATATATGTTTCATGCATTACGCAAATAAATTGCTATGTAGAATTGTGAGTTAAAGCATATAAATAAATTAGAAGTAACTATATGGGTTTGTTCAAACCCTAACCATGTCGGAAAAAAAAACAATTTTTGCGTTGGGCATTGTGCGGCACCACCGCTACACCCCGACCATGGCATCATCGAACCACCACTGGCCTAAAGCCCAATCGAGTGGACCACACGGCAGCAGCCTTTGGGCTTGTTGCACTGACCCATACATCCTAACTCCTTAAGGCCTGATCCAACTAATGGGCCTGAAGTCCCTTCGCCCAAACCAAAAGCCTGCAACCTTTTGGCCTGATGTCTCGTGAGTCCCTAGCCCACTGGGTTATGCCATATTGCCCTGGCCCGTTTCCCGCAACTCTGTCTGTTGGGTTGAGCTTGCCCCGACCCGGACCCAACCTCAGTTGGGCTTCCCACGAGAACCCAAGGCTAGTGTTTTGCTGAGCTTGACCCGTGCCCCCCCTTCAGCCCAAAAGCCAGCAGCTACTGTTGTTGGGCTCATCTGTCTCGGCTCGTGGCCTGTATCCACTTATGGGCTGCTATTGCAGCCACACCCGAGCCCAAACCCTTTTTGGGCTATGCCTTTTTCGACCATATGCTATTATTTAGCATTCTAAATAATTTTAACCCGAATGTTATTATTATTGCTTTCACGAGCGACCCCATTTGGTCCCGATCTATTGAATTAATTAAAAGTGACTTGCAATCCATTAATTTGATAATTAAATCCAAAATTATTGACTTGAAGATTACTTTTAGACATTATTGATTCAATAATTTATTTGTATACTTTGAACTGTTGACATACTTTCCTAGTAACGAAGCTCTTATACTTGAGTTCATGAAGAAACTCAAATACACTACACTTAAATTAGCATATTGCATTCTATGTTTCTTGCAGGAACCTCTCCTTTATGAACTAATCATTCATTAAACTAAATTGAACCAGTAGTTTCATATTTAGTGACTTTGAAACCTGAAGTTTTCATTCAAAACTTACCACATAAAACCTGTAGGTTTCATGCATAAATTAAACCAATACATGTCTATAAAACCTGAATATTCTACGATATATGTCGATGGATCACCATATGACTAATCACGTTTTTTTTTTGTTACCCTCTGTTTTAGGGACATGTTGAACTTGAACAAGTGGACCATCTGGAAGATGTTACTACATCAATGGAGATATCCGATTTTTAGGAGGCGTCAGTGCCTATGGACGAATAAATTAGACATGTTTTAGGGTGTTTTATACCTTTAGTGGGCGAACCAACTAGGAGTGGCCGGCCCCCCCTCCCCTAATTGAATGAATAGGAATTATATTTATACATGTGACTAATTCAATCAATTTATTTCTAGGTATGCCCAGTGAGAAAGTTAGTTGTCTGGCTGATAGTGCCACCATGCACACCATATTGCGTAAACGACACTATTTTACTAACTTTATACCCAAGAAAGCACCTCTGATAACTCTCTCAGGCCCATCCAATCTGATTGAAGGATACAGAAATGCACGTATCATGTTGTCCAATGGTACAGTCTAAACCTTTAAAGAGGTACTCTATTCTCCACGTTCTGGAAGAACGTTGCTGAGTTTTAAAGATATTCGAGATATTCAATATCATGTTGAAACCACTGAAGATAATGGTTCTGAATTTCTTTGTATCACTTCGTACGAATATGACCAGAAGCATATTCACGAGAAGTTGGAACATATTCCGAGTGGATTGTACATAACAACCATTCGAGGCGTAGAAGGCCACCATGTGGCCGGCCCCATGCCTAAGTTCTAAAGCACTTTGCTGTTTTGGCATGATCGTTTGGGACATCCTAGATGTGAAATGAAGTGCCGTATCCTCAAAACATCTCGTGGGAATCTATTACCTCCCTATGTTGGATTTCCACCATGCAAAGCATGTTCTTTGGGGAAGTTGAATACTCAACCCTCGATTACAAAGATTATTCACAACCCTTCTAAATTTTATTAGAGGATTTTTAGGGATATTTGTGGACCTATCCAACCAACATGCAGACCATTTAGATACTTTATGGTGTTGGTTGATGCATCGACGCAATGGTCACATGTTTGCCTGTTGTCCACATGCAATGCTGCATTTGCTAAACTTATAGCACAAATTATTAAGTTAAGGGCTCACCATCCTAATTATCTGATTAAGTCGATTCGACTGGATAACGTTGGAGAGTTTACGTCACAGACTTTTGACGATTATTGCAGGTCAGTAGGGATTGATGTGGAACATCATGTACCCCATGTTTACACCTAAGACGGCCTAGCAGAAGCTTTCATAAAGCACCTTCAATTGATAGCTTATATTTTGGTTATGAGAACCACATTGTCGGTATCTGCCTAGGGCTATGCAATATTGCACGCATTTATGTTGGCCCACCACTACCCAACCACATTCACCGTTACAGTTGGTCAGCCTGACGCCTCGCATTTACGGGTGTTTGGGTGCGCCATTTATGTGCCAATAGCGCCGCCATTATGTACCAAAATAGGTCGTCAGAGAAAAATGGAAATCTATGTTGGTTATGATTCGCCATCGATTTTTCACTATTTAGAATCCTTGACAGGAGATCTCTTTATCGCATGTTTTGCGGATTGTCACTTTGATAAGACAGTTTTCCCATCGTTACGGAAAGATAAACATGCTAACGTTCCGGGAGAACGTTATGAATTGTCGTGGTATGCTTCCACTGTGCCTCATTTAGATCCTCATACTACCCAGTCTGAAACTAAGGTGCGATGAATTATAGATCTTCAGAGCATGCTAGATGCTTTTAATGATCTAGCTAAGGTGACAAGATCACATATACCTGCTGCAAACGCACATGCAAGGATAGATGTACCCCGCCTATGTCACTAGCCTGCCTGGGAAGGCTGAACCATCCCCGAAGGTGGGGAGATCGTACCTTCCACGCGGCCTGGTACATTGACAGCTAGCCAATCATCTGCTTCAACCCTGAAATGTTGGTTCAAAGGATTCACAACTTTGGAAGAGGAAATCGACACTAACTAGTGACTATAGTTTGAATCCGACCATCTCTCACTTATATATTCCAACGCCTGAGGTTATTCTAGATTACGATGATGTCTTAGACGAGACAAACCGACCTTCCGAGAATTGCGAGATTTCAGTCCATTATGCAGTATTGGATGAGATTTGGAATCGAAATGACATGATCGTCAACAATGCATTTGTGTACATAGTAGCTACTGACATTATACTTAGCGATGACATTAAACTATGCTCCGTTGATGAATGCCAACGTAGAACCGATTTATCAAACTGGAAACAAGCAATCCAAGTCGAACTCGATTCGCTTGCGAAACGTAAAATGTTTGGACCTATTGTTCCTACACCAGCACGTGTGAAGTCCGTTGGCTACAAATAGGTTTTCGTGAGGAAGTGTTATGAGAAGAATGAAATAGTGCGATACAAAGCTCGCCCTTTAGTGCAAGGTTTCTCTCAACGGCCTAGGATTAATTATGAGGAGATGTATTCCTTCGTAATGGACGTTATAACGTTCCGCTACCTAATCAGTTTGGTAGTTTCCGAAAAACTGAATAAGCAGCTTATGGACGTGGTAACAACGTATCTCTATGGGGATCTAGATACGAAAATATGCATAAAAGTTCCAGAAGGACTTCCATTGACTATTTCAAATAGTTCTAGACCACAAAACACTCTCTTAATTAGGTTAAGGAGGTCACTCTACAGATTGAAACAATCTGGGAGGATGTGGTATAACCGTCTGAGTGAATATTTGACAAGTCAGGGTTATGTGAACAATAAATTATGCCTATGCGTGTTCATAAAGAAGTCATTTCGAATTTGCAATTGTTGTAGTTTATGTCGACGACATGAACCTCATTGGAACTCCCGCAGAGCTTGAGGAAATTGTTGCACACTTGAAATTGGAATTTGAGATGAATGATCTTAGGAAAACTCAATACTATCTCGGCCTAGAGATCGAGCATTGTTCGGATATAATCCTAGTACATCAATCGAACTACACCCAAAAGGTGTTGTGACGTTTTAATGAGGATAAAGCGAAGCCTTCGAGTACACCTATGATCGTTCGGACTCTAGATGCTAAACGAGATCCCTTCCGTCCAAATAAGGAAAAGGAAGAGATTTTGGAACCCGAACTTCCTTACCTAAGTAAAATTGGGCCTTTATTGTACTTGGCTCAATGCATTAGACCCGACATCTCATTTGTTATTAATCTTTTGGCTAGAACGTGAGTGCTTTTGGCTGAGAGTAGTTATGGAACATATTCAAAGCATTAGTGGTCTTACCTCCATCGTTGACCTTCCTACGATGATCTTTGAAGACAATGCAATATGCATCGAGCAGTTAAAGAAATAATACATCAAGGGAGACAACACCAAGCACATAGCGCCGAAGTTCTTTTACTCTTACCAGCAACAACAACATCATAACATTGAAGTCAAGCAAATCCGTTGCTAGGACAACCTGGTCAATCTCTTCACCAAGTCACTACCCAAGTTTACTTTTTAGAGGCTCGTCCAAGGAATCGGTATGCGTAAATTATTTGAGTTGAATCACTTATAGTTCTTTTATTTGGAAGTTATGTCTAACTCAAGGGGAGTATCCTAAACCTGACTCACTTGATCTTAATGTACTATTTTACCTGTGATTAAGAGCATTTTTCCCACTAGGTTTTTGCTACATAACGAAGTTTTGATGAGGCACCCATCCTGGGATGATCATACTCTGTTAAGTTCACTACATTCGTCATGTTTGACGTTTGTTTTAAGCATTATGCATACTTCTCACTTTTTGCCTTAGTCTATGAGTTTTCCCTATGCCTTGGGTTTTACTATAGTGAAGTTTTGTGAGTTTTACTACCAATGCATACTTTCTTTAAATTTAAGACTTGCGTTCACTCGTTATACCGATGACTTCATCAACTATTCTACTTTATGTGTTGAAGATCTAATGCGATGGTTTGTTGAGTATTAATACACTCAAGGAAAAGTCTTGTAGTCATATTTAGAATAAGTATGTGATTGTGTAAATCCTAGTAGGTCTAGGAATATCTCTTCCTAATTAGCAGGTGGATTAACTTAAATAATTATTTAAAGCTTTTGGATCTTGTATTGCTCACAGCCTATTCGGGAGGTGATTCTATGTTTAAAAGTGGGAGGTGCTTTATTCAGAAGTGATTCTAAACCGCACAAAAGCGGTCCCAGACGGACTCTTAATTATTATATTAGTTTCTTTTATTAAGAAATGAGAACTTTTATGAAAATGGCTTGGACTAAGTTCATTTTAACAAAAAACCATGCTATAATTTTATTTAAATAGTGCCTAATTCTTGGTCATGGTTAAGGATGGCAACAAGGCGGATTGGGTTTGGATGTGCCATCCCCATAACCAAACCCGAAACCGTAAAAAACCTGAACGGGTATTCCCTGTAACGAAACCCGCTGGGTAACAGATTCCCCATCGGGTAATGGTTTTCCCTGAATATATAATATTTCTTTCTTATGAAAATTATGCAAGTGTTAACATACTTGCTAAAATTTAACTGATTAAACAGTGAGAGGGACGAGAAGGCTGATGGTGTCTCGGTTGTTGGTTCTTGGTGGTGCGAGAGGGATGAGGAGAGAGAGTGAGAGGTCGCAGAGATGGTGGGGGTTTGGAGGGTGTGGTTTGAGGGCTCTGCGTGGTGTGGGTGGTGGTGCCATGTGTGCGTAGCTCGGGAAAGGTGAGGAGAGTGTAATGAGGAGAGGGAGAAAAAGACAAAGAGAGAGAGAAAGTTGTAGAGAAGTGAGGTGAGGGAGAAAGCAGGGAAAAAGAGAAAGGTGAGGGATGAGGGAGAGAAAATGGTGGTGTGGTCCTTGTTTTGCATGTGTGTACACGTGTATGTGGTGCTCGGGGAAAGGAAAAGCACAGAGCACAAAAATGGGAAGAACATGGAGAGAGAGAGTGAGGTGTGTTTTCTGGAAGAACTCAAAGGCTTTGAAGTATGCACTGCATGTCTCCCATGAAGTATTAAAGTTGTTGGAGAAAAAAATAGGGATTTCATTCTTACGAGTTCGAAGCGGATACCCTTATAACCATAACTAAACCCGAAACCGAACAATTTATCCAACAGTTACCCATAATCGTAAAAAACTTGAAATTTGATCCTCGAAACCGAACTGTTCAGGTCGGTTACCTGCGGGGATCGAGTTTGACAACTTAAGTTGCCATCCCTAGTCATGGTTCATAAATATTGTGTAGTTCTTAATCTAGTTTCATAAATAGTGTATAGTCCAGTTTCATTAACAGTTTCCAACTATTGGTTTAGTTTTGGAATTAGTGCCTAATTCTTGTTTTCGTTTCATAAATAGCGTCTACTTATTGGTCTAATTTCATAAATAATGTCTACTTATTAATCCAATTTCATAAATAGTATCTACTAATTGGTCAAAATTTTATAAATAGTGTTTAATTCTTGATTTAGTTTCATAAGATTTGAAACTTAGACATTTTTTGGTCCTGTAAAAGAATCCATTGCGTTGAAAACGATGAACCCAAAAATGATCATTTAGATCAAAACCTTGAGAAGATTATGTTCCCAGTAATTATATTTAAAAAACTGTTTTCAATTACTACATTAAAATTTCCTCACATTTTTTTACATAACTACACTAATAAATGTATCTCTCCATCCAAGTTTTGTCCGTAACACAAGTGGTATATCATGTATTATTATATAAGTGGCGGGAAATTTTATTTTTTATGCTATTAACTTTTTATCACAAGAATCTCATAACTTGTATAAAGACACGTGATGTACTACCCCGTATTTTGAACACAGTGAAAAATTTCTCTTCATCTTGACATATAACACAACAATAGAACTAGTATCAATTCACATTATCTACGTATTCAGACTTCTAGCAACCGAGAAGATTCCAACACATCATTTCACTTCTAAAAAAATAAAGAAAAAAAAAATACACACACATATATATATATAATCACAACAATAAATCACAAACTCACCTACCTTTAAGCCCATTTCCCTTCACCCTAAACAGACTATTCCAAAAGATCAAAGTCAGGCACCAAGAAACTGCAATTTGCAAAGTTCTCCACATTTCACAAATCTAAAACAAAGACTTTAAAGCCTATTTATGTTTTTGGCAAAAAAGAAAATTTTAAAAAAAAAAGTTGAAGGCTGAAAGATGAGAATCACTCAACACTTTTTGGAGATCAACTGGTCATCACTGAAAGATTAGATCTTCGAAGCAGCTTCTAGGGTACAGAGGGCTCCGAAGCAGCTTTTAGATTAAACCTAAACAAAACCCTAAATTGAAACTCTGATTTCAATATAATAAACCTAAACAAAATACCAAATTCAAATTCAATATAATCAAAGCTAAGCAAACTAAATAAAATACCAAATTCAATAATCCCAAAAGTTTAGAACCTCTTAATACTTTATTTGAATCTAACTTTTAAAACTGAAAAATACTTTTGAAGTTACTTTTCAAGTTTTAAATCTTAAAAACTTGTTTGATTAGATTATTTAAAAAAAAATGAACTCAAGACAACTTAAAAAAAAAAAAAAAGAGTATTATTTATGGATGAAAAGCTTTTTTCCATTTTGTATTTGTATTAATTCTATGAAGCAGGCAATTAGTGAAAAACAAAACCAAATTCAACACATCTAGAATTCAAGAATCTCGAGTACCTGAAAAATCTCATACCTGACCCATAACCACTAATTTTTTTATTTTTTATTTTTTATTTTTTTTTTAACAAAGCCCTTGACCATTAACTCAGAAAAGACTGCATGCTACCCAAGGAAAAAAAAAAAAAAAAGAAGCCCCAAAGCGGTAGGAGAACTCACCATGAAACCTAACTTTTTCTGGGCTTAAAGCTTTCTTCCAATTGGGACCGGATTGTGTTGTGGTTGACAGGTTTTGAGAGAGATTGTGATGGGGTTCATGGTTTTTTCAGAGAGGATTTTTTGGTTCATGGTTTATAAGATAGAGAACTGGAGAGATTCTGGATGCAAATGGAATAAACTGGTCTCTTTAAAGACGTGGTGGCACCCCCAGCCAACAAATAGTAAGGGGAAATTTGTATATCCACTGTTTAACATTAAAAAATAAAGCAGGAATGGGAGGAAAAACGAAAGGTATTTTCGTGAAATCACTGTTGATAAACAGTGCCCATCAACTGAAGTTTTCGTATAGGTATAATGATACAATACTAAGCGTAGTGCATTGTATACAGGGCCGTATTATGGTGGCTGGAAGCAGTCACAAAGCTGGCACACCTGCCATAGCCTTTAGTCAAAAAATGATGGCCCTTGCTCACAATGTCCAACAAGAAGTCATGGTCTTCCAATTTAATGCAAAATTCTCCAGATACTCAAGTTGCCAAGTCATGCATGATGAAACAATCATTTAAGGACAAGTATTGAAAACATGACCATGAGATTAGATCATCAAAGTATTTCTTTCCAACATCTTCCAACCTAGTCTTCTTTTGGGATTGTAGAAGATCTTAAGTCATCCACAACAAAATTAATTCAGACTTGTCATATTCATAATCTTTGGGAAATATCAAACAATAAGCAAAACAATGCTTCAACACCAGAGACAAGTACTGGTAGCTTAACCATAGAGCCGGCAGAGTTTCAATCTTTGCATCTGACAACTCCCATAAGTCACTTTTTAGCACATTTTCTCATTCCTTCACATTTGGTTCGGAGCGTAAGAGACCATCGAGATATTTTGCAGCTAAGGGAAGACCTTTACACTTGCTTACAATTTGTCTTCCAATTACCTCAAGATTTGGATCTATAATAACACTTGCATCTTTGAAGGCATGTTTTGCAAATAACGACCAACAGTCTTCCTGAAGTAAGTGCTCTAAATAGTGGGTTTGAAGAGTACCCATCGTAGATGCAACACCATCATTCCGTGCTGTCACAATGATCTTACTTCCATCAGCTCCAGACTCGAAGGGGCGTTTTAAGGAATCCCAAATATTGTAATTCTCATTCCAATCATCATCAAGAACAAAAAGAAACTTATTCCCCGCCAAAGCATCTGAGTTTGACCTGAAGCTGGTTTAGGTCTGTGGTATCACATGTTTGTGAAGTGACTGATGCACAAATTGTTTGTGTGATCTTAACAACGTCAAATTCATCAGAAACACAAACCATGCATAAAGCTCAAAATGCTGCTTCACTTTATCATCATTGTATAAGAGCTGAGCAAGGGTGGTCTTTCCGATCCCACCCATGAAGGAAGATTTTTGAAAAACATGTTCATTTAAGCAACATCAATAGCATGCAATTAACAATTAAAGGCGGAATCATGCTTGTATGCACTTAAAACAAAACATTTACCCATGAAATTCAAAGCCTAGTAGATAGGTGAACCAAGACTCAACTCAAAACAAAGTGAGTTGAGAAATCAATACCTTTGTAGATTCCTCTTTGCATAAGCAAAGGCTAATCACCCAAAGAGAGGGCCTTCATTCCTTGCATCTTAGATCCATGGATTTGGATGGATGAAAAGGTTTCTCCAAAGTTCCCAAAATTGAGAACCTCTAATGATTCATCACCAAGGCATAATGAAGAAGAAATGAGTGACCTTGGAGGAGTTTGATTGCTAGATGATCCCTCCAAGGTTGGCCGAAATTTTAGAGAGAAAGGAGAGCTTGTGTTCTCATCCTTTCCCCTAAAAATAACCCTTAATGAATTTTAGCTATTAAGTCATACTTATTCCTTAATTCATTTGAGTAGCAAACTTGTAAATAAGTCAAAACCCACTCTTTCTCTAACATGGCCGGCCTTAGGGATTTATTGGGCTATTTGGGCCTTTGTGAATCATTATTCATTAAGTTGTCATACAACTTAAGTCAATGGACTTGACGTTCGAAGCCCATTGGGCCTTAAGGTCCAAAACTATCCCAAGGTCTTTTAACGAACTTATTCGTTTGATTAATTAACATATTAATTAATCCTAGCCTTAGATAAATAATTAAACCATTTAATTATTCTTACTCATCTCCGTTGTTTCTTCAAACTCTACCTTACTCGGTGAACGATCCATTAGGTTCCTTTTAGCGAGGCAGTGGGCGATTAAAACTCTTTCTAATCGATTGTGAATTGAAACTTACTTTCAATTCTCCCGTTAGTGATAATACACTTTTAGGGCTTCCACAAACCATGGTTGACGCCTAGCAGCATGTCATGGTTACCCAAGCTAATCAGAAGAGGTGGAGAACCTATTCAGTTTTAGGATTACAAATGCAATACGGTCTTTCTCTAATACAATACTCTTGACCACATTATTTGGTTTGATAGTTTATTCATGTCTACTATCCAATGTGAGTCTTGTGCTTATATGATTACCTTGAATGTGATTTGGAACACATTCCTAAATCTCATTCATACTTTGGCCAAAGATTCTTAATCATATCATAGAGTATTCTCCCTCAAACAGTTTGAAGGTTAGAGATCCCTTGTTGCGCATTCACTTGCCTCCATGGCTAAGTGGCTTAACCCCAACGATGCCTTGGACACCCTCCTGATGGAGTAACTTTGACATAATCAAAGATTAATGACCTAACCACAAGACAACTGTGATGCCTCAGGTCAAAAGACTAATTTGCATTATCCCAACCATGAGTTCTCATGTGACATGAATATGAGAACTCTTCGTTGATCGTGTTCAGTGAACTCATTCTCTATTGAGCACCTACGTACTTGTCTTGATGTCACACACACCAATGACTCGAGACTAGTCACTCTCCCTGAGAGAAGACATAGCACGTACTGATCTTAACGGACTGTCAATGCCCAATTGACAATCCTATGATCAGGAACGTTTAGGATGTGTCAACGAAAGAATGGTCTCATGAATCTAACTTCTTTAGATCGCATTCTTCCAATCACATATTCCTTGGACTTATCGTTTAAGCATATAACATTTATATGAGACGGCTCAAACAATAATCTTTGCCCTTAATATTAAACTAGATTAGTTTAACATGTGAAATGTCCATAAAGTATCATCATATGATTGGTTTTAGGGCACATTTCCAACAACCCATGCCCACAATGGAAATATGCCAATCTTACTACAAGTGACATCATTTGATAGCAACAATTGAATAATGGTTTCCTTCACATGATCTCTTTCATACACATCAGAGCCTTCTACTAAAGAAGTTGAAAGCAATGTTTGTGACATTTTGTGTCTACTACCTATTTTCAAATCAAGGGCATCTTTTGGTTCTACAATGAAGCTTAGCCTCTCAAGAATTTTTTCTCTCTCTTGTCTTCTACAGACTCATCAAAAGCATGCAAAGAAGCAGAGACAAGGTCTTGTACCTTGCTTGTGCTACTTCCAAATTCAGCTTCAATTTTCGACCTCAACGCTTCTATCTTAATCTCGTCCAGTAGGTCCTCAGCATCAATGACTGCCTCTTTAAACTCGTGCAGCCACGACCTCACATATGGGTTACGTAATTAATTTTGCTTGGCATCATCATAAACAGCACTAACAATCATCAACTTGATCCTCAACTTCTTCAGCAACCCATTAGTCAGTTTCTTTCCTCTTATGAAGTTCCTGACCTCATGAGAATCCAACTTCACAAACACTTACTGGAAGAAACCCAAGAGAGCGGTTATACCTACCACTGCCAACGCCATAATCATCTCATTTCTATGCCACACATCATCTAAGCTAGCATAACAGACTGAAATCTTACAATTCTCGGGAAGAGGATTGGTCCCTTCAAGGACGCTTCCATAATCTAGAATTTCCTTATGAGTTGGGTAGAATGAATAAGCGATAGTCGGATTCACGGTAGGCTCTTCGGGACCTTGTGCCGTGGTTTTCCTCTTCCGGGGGTGTGAATCTTTTGAACCAATGGGTCTGCTACGCTTTTGTGTAGGGGCAGATGATTGGTTAGCTGATAATGTACGTGGATCACCAAGATTGGCGTCCTGGGCTTCCAGAAGGGCAGTCTGTCATACATTTGGTACATCCATCTTTGTAGGCGTATTTGCAGCTGGAATATGTGATCTTGTTACGTGCTCTATATTGGTGAAAACATCTAGCATGCTCTGAGCTATGCTCTGAAGATCTAATATATGCTGCACTTCAGTTTCAGACTGAGCGGTGCAGAGATCTAAATGAGACAAAATGGGAGTCGTCCACGATAATTCGTGTCATTCTTCAGGTACGTTGATGTTCTTATCTCCCCTTAACGACGAGAAGACTGTTTCATAGAAGTGACAATCCGTGAAATGAGCAGTAAACAGATTGTCTGTCAAAGGTTCTAAGTAATGAATAATCGAAGGAGAATCATTTTCGACATAGATTCTTATCCTTCGTTGAGGCTTCATTTTTGTACGTAAGGGCGGCAAGATCGGCACATATACAGCACAACCTAATACGCGCAGATGCGATATGTAGGGTTCCTATCCGGTAACCAACTGAAGGGCACTAAATGGTTGTGTTGCAACAAGCCTCAGACGGATCAACATTGCTGCGTGCAATATTGCATGGCCCTAAGCAGCAATCGGAAGCTTGGTACGTATGACCAACGATCGAGCAATCATTTGTAAGCGCTTAATGAAAGCCTCTGCCAAGCCGTTCTGGGTGTGAACATGGGTTACAGGATGTTCAACTTTAACCCCAACCGACATGCAATAGTCATCAAAAATTTTAGATGTGAATTCTTCAGCATTATCCAATCAAATATATTTAATCGGATAATTTGGGTGGTGAAGCCTAAGCTTGATAACCTGAGCCAACAATTTGGAGAATGCAGTGTTCCTTATGGACAACAAACACACATGTGACCAATGTGTGGAAGCATCAACCAAAACCATAAAGTATCTAAATGGTCCGCAGAGAGGGTGAATCAGTCCACAAATGTTCCCCTGAATCCATTGTAGAAAAATGGGAGGATTGGAACGAATCTTGTCATAAGAAGGCTTAGTAATAAGCTTTCCTATCGAACATGTTTGACATGCGATTCCTTGGATCAAACATAAACTTCGGGTTAGTGGATACCCGTGTGAAGATTTAAGGATACGGCGCATTGTTATTTGTCCAGGATGTCCCAAACGATCATGCTAAAGTGTAATTTCGTGTGCGGTCCTAGTAGTAGGGCCAGCCATATAGTGGCATTCAATGAGGCGTATGGTCGTAATATACAGACCACTAGGGATACGCTTCATCTTCTCTAAAATACACTTCTGGTCATATTCGTAGGAAGTTACGCACAGAAATTCAACTCCGTTTTCTACGTGGGTTTCAACATGGTAATTGTTATCTCTAATGTCCTTGAAACTCAACAACGTTCTTCCAGAATGTGGAGAATAGAGTGCCTCATCACTGGTCAAGATTGTACCATTGGACAACATTATATGTGCCTTACCGTATCCTTCTATCAGGTTGGATGAGACTGAGAGGGTTGTCAGAGTTGCATTCTTAGGTATGAAGTTAGTGAAATAGATGTGTTCACACAAAACAGTGTGTGTGGTTACACTATCTGCCAGACAACTAACTTTTCCACTAGTCATACCTAGAATAAGAAATTAATTTGAATCGGTCACATCCATAAAAGTTTATAAAAACAAATATCAATTCAAAATAATTTCATTTATTCAATGATTAAAAACTTAATATCCAAAACAAATCACCAACTAATAATCCAAACATAAAGGAAAATTGTTCAAAAATCAACCAAAAACAAAGGAGGGATTCGACCACTAGGTGGAATTCGGCCCCAATTGTCTTATTTCAACTAAAAATAAGTCTATGTCTAAGATTCTAATCTTCTATAGGGGTGGTATCCGCATAAAAATCAGAAACCTTTATCTTTGTAGTCTCCGGTTCGTCCACTTGCATGACATTTGATTCAAACTTCTTACGACGAGAATGATATTCATCTACAACCTTATTAGAAGCTCAGCAAACACGGGACCAATGGTTTTTTGAACCACAACGATAGCACATGTCCGTATCCTTGGTTTCAGGTGCTTTCAGGTGCTTTGCCCTTATTCTTGAAGTTTGGGGCTTTAGGAGCGAAGTTTGAGCGCTTCTGGGCTTTGTTTCCTTTCTTGGATGGGCCTTGACTTTGTTAACTTCGGTAGGATGGCTTATGGCCGCCCTTACCACGCCTCTTTTGGCGTTTTGCGCATTGGTGCTATAATGTGCTTCGAGCACAGCAGTCGCCTAGTAGGTCGAGCTTGATGATTCTTCATCAACAGTTGGTTCTGTTTTTCAGCGAGAAGTGAAACAGAGATCAAATCTGAGAACGTAGTGAACTTCTGAGCTTTATATTATTATTGCAAGTCAATATTAGAAGCAGAGAAGGTCAAATAGGTCTTCTCCAGGAGATCCTCTTCAGTCAAAGTTTCATTGCAAAACTTGAGAAGTTATCGAATCCGACAAACTTCAGAGTTATATTCATTCATAAACTTAAAGTCTTGGAAGCGCAAATGCTGCCAGCTGTGTCTTGCTGCAGGCAAGAATATGCCTTTTTGGTGATCAAAACGATCAGCCAAATCGACCTATAATGCACGTGGATCCTCCTTAGCAAGTTATTCAGTTTACAGAGCATCATGAATATGTCTTCGGATGAAAATCATAGCAGTGGCTTTTTCAGCTTTGTCAACAAGTTCGTCTATTGCTTCTTCAATGGCAGGACGCAATTTCTTTGCAGTGAGGTGGAGCTTCACATCTTGGACCCACTTGAGGTAGTTCTTTCTAGAGACCTCTAAAGCGATGAAGTCAAGTTTGTTCAAATTCGACATGTTCCTATCACAAAATAGATGGACAAGATGTGGTTAGTGTAATGGAGAAAAATCAATCCCTTTATGTAGGAGTAGAACATACAGGTTCTCATATACAGGTTCCAATATACAAATTGAATAAGTCAGGCCGAGACAGGGCAATTGAATCGGAATTTCAAAAAAAAATTCCGACGAGATTTCGGCTAATCTCAGTCCTTTATTTATTTATTTTATTTATGTGGGATGACTTCTGGTCGTCAGCAACATGAACCAAAGGTTCAAGGCAATGGTTACAGGCCATGCTGTGGTCAAGGACACCATGAAAGGTGTCGTGTTTTGTTGGTTTTGAGACTCGCAGCTTCTGGTTCCTTGGGTTTTCTAGGGAGAAAGAGAGTTGCAGGCTCTCGGCTTGGCTTGGGGAATCCCATCTGCAGGATGGTGGTCACGAGTTCGAAAGAACCCTAGGTTCCCAAAAGAAATTTTCAATTCAATTTGATTCAATTCATGGCAAATGTCAAATTCACATAATTTCAACAATTATGATTATGAGGCATACACAATTTATGTAGAATCTAAAATACGTAAAACGTAAAGTTGGGTCATGCATCATAGTGAATGTTCATGCTATCAGGACTGCAAAAATATCAAGTTAAAAAATCGTTGTTTTGAAAGAACCAGATTGCGTGATGATATGGATAAACTGGTTTGATGAAGAAAAATTCTTCAACGTCAGATTCCTAAGCACAGCGGTAGGATTGTGTTGATAACGTGTTGTGATTTATTTTATCTGACAAGTTTAGGGTGGCCAACGACAAGGAGAAGAAGAGAGAGATGTTTGTAGAATTGTAGGGGAATGTGTGTTGTTATCCCTCCTACATTGTGCCTTTATTTATAGTAGTAAAGGAGAGAAGATATTTCTTTTTTCCCAAGGAATACAAGATATAATAAGAAATGATAACTAAAATTAAATTTAATCTAAGATTTACATAATCATACTTAAACTAGAAATGTTTACAACATTTTGATTATTTTTTAATAGTTAATGTAACTTTAGGTTCAATAAAATAATAAAATAAATATTTGACATATTAATTAAAAAAAAAAAAAAATTTAACACTTGTATTCAATTTACCCATCAAATAAAATTTTAACGTAGAATACTTGACATCTCGAGTTAATAGCTAATCAAAGACCAGGGGGATCTCGCATTACAAATCCACAACACATGAGAACCACTCGTTATTATAAAGTAAAAATCTTTACCTAATTTTTTGGTGCTTTATGGATTTCACTTGTCAATAATTTAATTCTAGTGGTGGTGGTCGGCCCTTTAATGCTGCGGGCCCAGTCCAGCATCATTGGCAACATCCCCATCAACAAAAACTGGCGCAGCCCTATGCGGGTCCTTCTCCTTCTAATGTTTATTCGGTTAGGAATACTTCATTACCCACATCGGCACCCTTCCTCCTTCGCTTGATTCCTTTAATTTTCATCTTCGCATTGTCTTTTTTTCTTCCCGACCTTTGTAATATTTTTTGTTGCTCGTTTCAATTTTTCTTCTGGAGCAGTTGATTCAACTACATTTGCTTTCTGGGATGTGTTTGGTTTCCTAGAAAATGTAGAACTAATTGAGTATTAGCCATTTACATTTGAGTATCTATGATTGTTTTGCTGGAAGAAAATAAAGAAAATGAATTTCTGGGTTTTTAGTTAATTGTGTTTTGATTTACATTGTAAAATGCTAATTTCGGTTCGATTAGCCGAACAGTGAGAGTGGTGGTCATTATATGATTATAATCTGCCCAAATTTAAGAATTCAAAATTTGATTCTGTCAGGCAATGTCTGTTTGTAAGGAACTGAATTGGTTATACTAATGCGAGTTTTGATTTGTACGATTGATTTTACTGCAGCCGACGAATCAGAGAAGTTTGTAGAAGCCTCGAAGAAGGGGAATTTAATTTCTCTGTCTCGGAGCATATTCTCGGATCATCTAACTCCTGTTCTTGCTTACCGGTGTCTGGTTAAGGAGGATGATAGAGATGCTCCAAGTTTTCTGTTTGAGTCAGTTGAGCCGGGTTCCAACGACTCCAATGTTGTAAGCGTCCTCAGCCCCTTGTATCATTTGTATTTGTTTGCATCTCACTTTAGACAATAATTAATGACTTACATATTTTTGGTGTCAGTCATTTGTTAGGGCCGGTACAGTTTTATTGGTGCCCAACCATCCATTGAAATCGTGGCTAAGGAGAACATGGTTACCATTATGGAGATCGTGGAGGATCCAATGACTGTTCCTCGGAGAATCATGGAGGGATGGACACCCCAACTTCTTGATGAACTTCCAGAAGCATTTTGTGGTATGATCAGTACACAAATAACATGCTTTAAATTCTTTAGTAGTACTCATATATCTTAATCCTCTCAGTTTAAAGTAAATCACTTCTCCTTAAATGTGGTTCATTGACAAAACTTAACTCGTTTATAGATTGGAAACATTTTGTGACTATAACCATTTCTATTTTTCAAATGTGTCTACTATAGAAAGCACATGTAATTCACTGGGTGCAATTAGATCAATATTCTTCTGTTGAGGAGGCCTTCAGTGATGGAATAAATAGATTGGAAACATTGGTATGTAGAGTTCATGACATTATCACGTGAGTAATCAACTCCTTTCTTTCACATTTCTTTTCCATATATATTTTTTATTTTGTTGAGTTTCTATTCCTCTCTTATGATCTACTCATCCCTCCCTCTTTAATGCCAGTTTTAATAATAAATGTATGCATACGTAAAATTGAATGGGATAAGATTAATCAACAGTCAATTTCAACTTGAGGCCGCCTCAGGGCTGGAGGACTTAGTTCTCCATACTTGTTAATTACTTTTTTTTAAAATAAAAAAAGAACACTTAAGGCTGATGTAAGAATGTATCAACTGTCAATTTCAGCCCGAGGCTGCCTGCAGGTTCAATAGAGTTCAACACTCAACTCTTTGGTACTAAATTGGAGGACTCAAGCTTGACAAGTGAGGAATATAAGGAGGCAGTTTTGGAAGCTGAAGAACACATTCTAGCTGGGGATATATTTCAGATTGTATTAAGCCAGCGTTTTGAGAGGCGAACATTTGCAGACCCATTTGAAATTTACCGAGCATTGAGGATAGTTAATCCAAGTCCGTATATGACTTATTTACAGGTTTGCCTCGTTTTCAGTGAGTCATTGGTTCCAAATTCCAATCTACTTGTTCACCTTGTGATTTTGAGATTATAAGAGTATATACTTCCATGATCAGGCTAGTAGGCTGTATTCTGGTTGCTTCAAGTCCGGAAATTCTGACACGTGTGAAGAAGGTAAGTAAAGGAAGTCCAAAATTTTTTAACATCTGAGCGTTCGTCTTATTCTGTTGCTAGCTCCTACAAGATGTCCTACGTTTTATGTTTTCTTTGGTCCCTTTTGTTTTCCTACTATAGTGTTGTAATCTTCATTAGTCAAATTGCTGAGCTGTGTGTTTCTTATTTTTGTTAATAGCAAACGATCACCAACCGGCCTCTTGCTGGGACTGTTAGAAGAGGGAAAACACCTAAAGAAGATTTATTGCTGGAAAAACAGCTTTTGAATGATGAAAAGCAATGTGCAGAGCATATTATGCTTGTAGACTTGGGGAGGAATGATGTCGGGAAGGTTTATAATCTTTCCTTTCACCTATTTGTATGATTATTACTGTATGTTGAATTTTATTCTCGATAGTGTAATACCATGCATATGCTAAATATTATTCTCCCCGGTATCTATTTCAATCTATGGCAGGTAAAAATATTTCATTATGCATCTTTCAGCATTAGCTTAATAAGTTTACACTTGGTGCCTTGTCTGTTCTTGGCTTACGTGACTACTGTTTCTTATATTTAGAAGATTTTAATCATGATCTGTTTTTTCTTACACATAAGAAGTAACGTAATATCTATATCGATTGATGATACATCCGGGCATCTGTAGACATTAGTTTCAGAATTTTTCCTCATGCTATATCTATTTTCATCAGTGTGACGTACTCAACCACCAATTGAATTAAGGGATGAAAGTTTAATGTAATTGTAGGTCACTGGAGAGTTACTTGATGATTTAACTAGCTGGGATGTTCTGCGTACTGCGTTGCCAATTGGGACTGTCAGTGGAGCACCAAAGGTTTTCTTCATGAGCCCTTTTTCATTTTTTGTTGGCATTCTTGTTTTGTTTCTTAACAGTTAGCTAAATTGATCCTAGACTTAATTAACCTGTATAATCCTGCAAGTACAAACCTTGAGGATTAACCTAATCAGTTAGGAATCGGCTTATTACACCACTATTGGTTGATATATGGAACACGATGTTGTGATTTCCTAATCTATCCTATATGGACTCGCTTAGGATTTTCGAGTTTCCTCATTTACTGCAATGCAGGTGAAAGCCATGGAGCTGGTCGATAAGCTAGAAGTGACTAGATGTGGTCCATACAGTGGTGGCTTTGGGGGAATTTCGTCTTCTGGCAACATGGACATCGCCCTCGCTCTGAGAACTATTGTTTTCCCAACTAGCTTTCGGTATGATACAATGTATTCATACAAGGATGCAAACAAGCGCAGAGAGTGGGTCGCTCATCTCCAAGCTGGGGCACGAATTGTCGCTGACAGCGATCCAGCTGATGAGCAGAGGGAGTGCGAGTGGCTGCTGTGCTTGCGCGCGCTAATGATCTTGCAGAGTCGTCATTCGTTGATAATTGAATATGTTTTTGCTTGCATACAGAATCTGGTTGGCAATATATTTCGAGTTTTTCTTGGCAATTCCAGTTTTAGTTGGAGTTGAGGTTAGATTTCAGCCTTTGGATCTCAATTCAATGGATCTCAGTAATCCATTCCCACAAAACCAGATCTCTGTTTACATGTGCCAAGGTAATGAAGATAAGGCTGTTCCATTTCAACTTGAAAGATATATTAAGGATTCATCTGGTCTTACAACATTAATACATGATCATAGATTCACAATTTCAGAGACAAAATCATCATCCATATTTTTCAAACCAAACGTCTGAACTCACATTCCACAAAGTACCAAAATCTACCTCTCAATAGACATTATTTGAAAACAAACTTGAAAAAGGAAATTTGAACACTTGAGCTCATAAACTTGTTAAAACTTTAAAGCTCGTTCTCTAGGACTGGAAAATTGTGAATTAACATGGTGACTCCCTTGGCACTGATAAGAATTGTCTGTCCATCTCGTCAGCAGAGTTTTTCATATTTCGAAGCTTTTGCTCACCAAAGACTACTGTCATACAAAATAACCGCCATAAGACACAAAGACAGCAAAAAAAGAGGGAGTAGAACAACACTGAAACAATTCCACTCCATTTAACCATCAATTTCAAGCCTCTGAGAGATGGCAGCTATCCCAATGCTGGTATTGAAAAACAATATTCACAAGCCACAAGTCGAAGAGTGACAAGATGAGAGAACAAATGAGTCATCTCCTAACCATATTGTACCTCCGTATCTTTCTATCACTAGTACTTTCACGTTTGTATGGGACACGAGTACCTGTAAAATTTGTTATTACGTGAATATTAACATTTGAAATTTGTTTGTTACTTGAAATTCACACAGCCGGATAGTAGTGAAACACATAACCACACTTTGACAAATTACGTACCATTGCACATCAATTATTACTTCGGAGATGTGAGAAATCTTGGCCCAATCTTCTCCCGTGTCTCTCTGGCACCGATCTTTTAGCAAAGGGGATCCTGAGATCAGTAGACGAGAAAGAGAAGTGGGTAGCCCTTCGTCTGGCAAGCTCTGGAGTTGAGGACAAAAAGAAATCTCCAACGCCTTGAGGGAGATGAGGTGTCTTAACGCCTTGCCATCAATGGCTTTCAGATTCGGAAGATGGGAGATTTTGAGAGAAGTGAGAGTGGTTGGCAGCAGCCCCTCTTCTGGAAATGATTCGATAATATATTCTTCACATTCTGAGAATTTGACATGCAAGTGTTTGAGAGAGGTGATTGTTTGCAGACCCCACCGCATACGGTTTGCCATCAGTTTTTTACAACTCCAGATTCTGAGTGAACGCAATTTAGACGGCAATCCCCCTTCCGGAAATGATTCCAATTCTGGAGATTCAAATATGAACAAAGACTCGAGAGATGGGAGAAGTGTATGCATCTCCCCTGGCAGTGACATGAATTTGTTACATTCATAGATTTCCATCATCTTCAAGTTGGGCGCTTGCAGTCCTTCATGGGGGAAACCCACAAATTCTGGGCATCCCTTTATCTTCAAAACATCAAGGGATGGGAATGTAGATTCTTCCGGAAATGATTTAAATTCTTCACACATCTGTATGAACAGGGACCGAAGAGATGAGAGAGAGATTTGCATCTCTGCTGGCACTGACCACAAGTTTTTAGACCTGGACATAGATATCTCCTTCAAGTTGGCCGCAAGCAGCACTCCACTACCCACAAAACATACCATATTTGGGCAATCTGATATTTCCAACTTAAGGAGGGATGGGAGTTCAATACTGAAATTATTGCATCCTTGCGAACAAGCAAGGGATTCGATATTAACTTCCTGCAAACTTAGCTGCTCAAGTCTTGGGAAGTAGTCTAACGGTATTTTCCCCGTTAGTTTGGGACACTTCTCCAGACTAAGCTCACGAAGATTAGGAAAATCTCTACCTTCTTCTTCATCCTCTCCACGGAAATACCACTCTTGCCATTCCTGCATATTGCAGAATCTCAGAACCTCCAAAGATCTAAATGCAGGTTTAATTCCCCCATAAAACTCAGAGCCCACTGATTCCACTCCATTCAACACATCAATTTCAAGCCTTTTGAGGGAGGGTAGCTGCCCTAATGCTGGCAGGAAAAAACAATATCCGCAAGCCACAAGTCGGAGATTGATAAGATTAGAGAAAGACCCATCTCCTAACCAACTTGGAAACGTTGTACCACCATATCCTTCTATTGTAAGTACTTTCACGTTTGTATGGGGCTGCAGGTTGCACAGCACTCTTCTATTGTTTTGAGAATCGATAGTGTCACCTTCCCATTTGAAAATTACTTTTCTGAGACGTTTCTTGTCCCTCAGTTTGGCTTCCAAAGCATCCTCAGCATGTACAATATTTTGAAGCCCTGAAATATGTAGTTTCCCACGCAATTGCTCAAACCCCTTTAGGTCAGCAATGTTTCCTCCAGTATCATTGTCTAAAACAAATTCACCTCTAAATGTCTGGAGATCTTTCAATTTGCCCATGTGGAGTGGCATCTTTTTTATCACCGTACTTCTTATATCAAGATGGCGCAAATTGATTAGTCTTCTCAAATCAGTGGGCAACTCAACAAGATGGCGACAATTCGACAACAATAATGTTTGCAAATTACACAAACTGCATACCGTATCTGGTAATTTCTGGATTAGAGTGTCACACAAGTCAAGGTACCGTAGATGCCTCAAGTTTCTAATCGAATCAGGCAACTCCTCGACACGTAGTTTGAGAACTCTTAAACATTGTAGCATTAAAAGGAGATCAAGCTGTACTGTCGGCAATGAATAGAGGTTGCCTAGAATGAAGGTGCGCAGATACTTAGCTTCAAAAATAGTGTCATATCTCTTGAAATCAACATTAGACGATTCCATACAAGAGAAATGACGACCCTTGCTCACATTGCCCAATGTGAAGTCGTGGTCTTCCAAACTAATGCAAAATTCTCCGGATGCATACGTCGCCAAATCATGAATCAGATCATGCATGATGAAACTGTTATTTGACGACGAGTGCTGAAAAAATGACCGTGAGATTAGGTCATCAAAGTATTTCTCTCCAACATCTTCTAACAAAGTCTTCTTTTGGGGTTGTAAAAGATCTTCAGCCATCCACAACAAAACTAATTCAGACTTGCGAAATTCATAATCTTTGGGAAGTATTGAACAATAGGCAAAACAACGCTTCAACACCAGAGACAAGTACTGGTAGCTTAGCCATAGTGCAGGCATAATGTCCGTCTTTGTATCTGACAACTCCCATATTTCACTTTTGAGTACATTTTCCCATTCCTCCACGTTTGATTCAGAGCGTAAGAGAGCACCAAGTGATTTCACAGCTAAAGGAAGACCGTTACACTTGCTAACGATTTGCCTTCCAATTACTTCAAGATTTGGATCCATATCAACAGTTGCATTTTTTAAGGCATGTTGTGCAAATAAAAACCAACAGTCTTCCTCAAGTAAGTGCTTTAAATGGTGGGTTGGAAAAGTACCCATCGTAGATGCAACACCATCATTCCGTGCGGTGACAAGGATCTTACTTCCATGAGCCCCATACTCGAAGGGGCGCCTTAAGGAATCCCAAATATTGTAATTCTCGTTCCAAACATCATCAAGAACAAAAAGAAACTTCTTCCCCACCAGAGCATCTTTGAGTTTAACTTGAAGCTGGTTCAGGTCTGTGGTATCATGAGTTTGTGAAGTGACTGATGCATAAATTGTTTGTGTGATCTTAACAACGTCAAATTCATCAGAAACACAAACCCATGCTTGGAGCTCAAAATGTTGCTTCACTCTATCATCGTTGTACAAGAGTTGAGCAAGGGTGGTCTTTCCGATCCCACCCATCCCCACGATCGGAATGACGCCTATCTTACTGTCAGCAACGTCATCTGACAGCAACAATTTAATGATGTCTTCTTTGTCATGAGCTCTTCCATACACATCAGAGCCTTCACCCAAAGAAGTTGAAGGTAGTGTTTGAAAGATTCTGTGATTTCCACCTTCTTTCAAACCAAAGGCATCTTTTTGTTCTACAATGGAGCCTAGCCTCTCAAGAATATCCTCTATCTTCGAGTCCACTGACTCCTCAAAAGCATGAAAAGAAGCAGATATGAGGTCTTGTACCTTGCTTGTGCTACTTCCAAATTCAGCTTCTATTTTCCGCCTTAACGCTTCTGTCTTGATCTCATCCAACAGGTCCTCTGCATTATGGACTACCTCTTTAAGCTTATTCAGCCACTGCCTCGCACCTGAGTTACTAATTTGCTTGTTTTCAGCATCATCAAAAACGGCATTAAGATACAGCAACATGGTCTCCAACTTGTTTAGTAACCCACCGGTCCGTTTCTTTCCCCGGATGAAGTTCTTGACATCCAGAGAATCCAACTTCACAAATACTTGCTGGAAGAAACCGGAGAGAACGGCTCCACCTACCACCGCCAAAGCCATGATCGATCTCTTCTTTGCAAATTAATGGAATTCAGTTTTGCTGGGAGACAATAATCACAAATTAGCTAGCAATATCAACGTAACGAAAACTATGGTTAGTTTTCGCTAGATAAACAAGGTGAAACCAAGAGTTGTTGGATTGATAATAAACAAAGACTGACTATATTATATTTAACACAATAGTAGATGCTTTTGGAGTCGTTATCGCAATGTTCGAATAATTGGGAAGGAATCGCATGGTTTAAGGCTTCTCGATCCCGTGTGAGACAAAAAATAGGCAGCTGTCTTCGTTTGGCACTAGCAAGAGTGCCTGTGCGATGCTACGGGTGTTAAGTGTATATGATATGCAACACTACTTACATACATGTGGAAATCTATTTTACAACCCTATTTACATTAAGAAACAAATAGGTGTCCAAGTGTCTATATTACGATTATTGGTTTCAGGTGTGGAGTTCATAGAATTCATATGGATTTGAGCTGAAGAGTTTGATAAACTCGCTCTAAACTCCAATGAATTACACGCCCGCTTATCTACAGGCAATTCATCATCAAGCTCAGTACGCTTTTGACCTTGACTCTGCATTTATAACTCAACCTTCCACAGAAACCTAATACATATCTACTCTTGCATGATCTGAGCATTAAATCCACCTTAATTTATAGTTCTTATAACTGAATTCAACCCATAAATCTAATTCTGAATTACCAAACAATTAAAAGAAACAAATTTTAGCATCAGATAACACTTCATGCAGACATATAGCATGAAATACAAACTTATACTGAAAAATTGAAACCCGAAAATAGATGATCATCAACAAGCACCCAGACAATTAGCAAAAAGATGGAATCAAAATGAATTTTACTTATGTGAAATCTTGCGTTTTTATCTCTTACCCAACACGCAAATCTCCAGTAACAATACAAATTCAACAATAACCAATTCAAAAAATAAAGAAATTCAACAAAATAACCTAGAAAATAAAAAATCACATCCCACGCAAAAAACACACATCAGGTTGTTCATATCAACATGGTTGGTGTGATTATGTATTTAAAGGCTGCAGATCAAAGAAGAAAACAAAAATTAAAAAAATTAAAAAAAAAAAATTGAAATTATGGTTGTTTGTACCTAAGGTGAAGTAGTTGTTGGTGGTGTTGTGGTTTCTGGTGTTAACCGGCCTTCTAGTCAATCAAAGACCTTGAACTATTGAGTAATGCGGAGACTGGGATTGAAACTTTTGATTGTATGTGTACACTTGTGTAATCTGCTACTAAAGGTCCTCTCAGACTGAACGGAAAGCTTATGCAGCATCTGCAAGCGAAACAGGCAGAGTATCATTTGATTTTCTTTTGCTAATCTTTGCTTTTGTTAGGGTAAGTTGTCAACAACACATTAACATAAAATCTACAAAGAAAACTATGATCCTTTCTTACCCCTTCTAGCTAATCGACATCATTTGACGGCATGAAAGGCTAACAATTAGATTTTGTATGGGAAGACTCTTGAGGAGCAATTTCGCTATCAAAAAAATTTGGAACCGGAGCTAAAACAGAACTTCTCTCTACAAAATAGACGATTCGAGGAAACAACAAATCACTTACGAGTTAAGAATAAGCAAAAATCTACTGGATAAAAACAGAACAAGTCCCTATAACGACAACACTTTGGGGAGCAAAAATACATCACTTACGAATGAGCAAAAACCTACGTTACCTAAGTCTCTGAATAAAATTTTGAATAAAGAAAAATAAAACCGACTTTGCCTCTGTTTCTGATAAAATGCTTGATCCCTAGTGACTTGATGTGAAGTACTGAATGACGTGTCATCTCTTGTTATTTCAGTCATGCTTTTGTGGTCTAAGGAGATATATATATATATATATATATATATATATATATATTTTCAACGGTTTTTTGTCATTTATTTGGACTTTGACGATTTATTTCGTCATTGCGGCTTAATTTTTTTTATTCGTCGTCGGGGATCATAATTTTTCAGGGTCGGAGTAAGGCAGTTGGAATACAGTTACCTCAAAAGTCTGGTCAGCAGTGATGCCACCATCATCCTGTTCCAGAGCTGTGGGCGAAGTCCAAGCAACTTTGCTAAGAATGACCATGCTTGTTCTGTAAGGCATGGGGATCTGATCGAGTATGGAATCGGCCAGACCCTCTATATGTCTTGGAGTTACTACAATTTCGGAATTGGCGTGCATTGCAAGTAATCACAACTCCTAAGAGGATGCAATATCTACTTCTAAATATCCTCTAGGATTCTCCCAGCTTAGTACAAGGAATCTATCCTAAAAAGGTCTCTCTCCCAACTAGTATAAATACTCTTCTAGAGTTTGTCTAGTACTTGCTAACTAACTTGACCGTCGGAGAGCTTTTGGCTGGCACAACCCCCGGTTGTCTCTATGCATGGTAAAATTGGGGATTCAGGAGAACCCTACAACCATCTGATGACCTTCCATGTTATGAATTGTCCGACCCCTCACAACACCATTCTCGATCGGAACTTGTTGCACAAGATGAGAGCTGTTCCGTTAACTTATCATTAGCTGCTCCGTTACCTCACCCTAGATGGGGTAAAGGACAAAAAAAAAATAGGATCAAGCAGCGGCACACTACTGCGCCGTCGAAAGCTTGAACATAATCCGGAAGGGAAAGCGGTACTCCAACACTCCCATGGATGATTCAGCATAACAATCACAGTCTGGAGGTCAACAAACGAGTTACAAAGAGTTCAACCTAGACCTTGACCCCCAAGATGATAGCACATCAAGTCAAAGGCGGACAAGGACACAGTGTACATCACCTTGATCCCAACAAGTCGGAGCACAAAGCCAGGATCGGGTCAAAACTAACCGATTACGAGAAAGAATTGTTCACCAACTTCCTGCGGGCCACAAAGATGTATTCGCCTGGTCAGCAGAAGGCGTACCTGGGATTGATCCCTGTAATCTGCCTTTGTCCCCACTTGGATCCAATCCATCGTAAGGACTGAATGAAGCAAGATTATAGAGGCCAAGATCGGCAAGCTCAAGGACGCCAACTTCATCATCAAAGTTTACCATCCGAACTTGCTGGCCAACATTGTGCTGGAACAAAAGAAAATTGGCAAATGAAGGGTTTGTGTGGACTTCATGGATCTAAACAACGCATGCCCGGAAGATCCATATCCATGTTGTATTGAAAAATGCACCTCCGAAGTGGCCTCGGGCAAGCTCCTGGATTACTGGTCATTATTTTCTAGTTCTACTTTGGCAATGATATTGTAAACCAAAGATGTGCGAATTCCAGGCCGTTTCTATATACCAAACCTCCATTTGTAGGTACATTTGTTAGATCGGTATAAAGTAAAGATTTTTTTTTTTTTTTTAAATAGTTGATATTGATAGTACGTCAAGAAGTTATTGACTCTTCCGATCGGGATTCATCTTGATATATCCCATTTTTTCTGATCATTGCAAATTTGCAATTACCAAAATTTACAGGACTAAACAGATGGAACAAAGAGAAAGTGCAAAATGGTGTTTTAGTTAATCAGTTAAAATTCATTAAGCCATCGATTTACTACATTGCAAAATCAAAGCGACAATTTTAAAGTGAAAGTTTATAATATAATGAACTACATCGCAAAACTAACAATAATGTACAGAATATGAATTCATATAGGTGAATAATACTTACTATGTACAAAATTATTTCATTATTTTCTAGTTCTATTTTTGCAATGATATTGTAAACCAAAGATGTGCATATTCCAGGCCGTTGTAGGTACATTTGTTAGATCGGTATAAAGTACAGATTTTTTTTTTTTTTTTTTTGGTTTTAAATAGTTGATATATTGATGGAATGGGAAGAAAGTCATTGACTTTTTCAATCGGGATTCATATTGATAAATATCCCATTTTTGCTGATCACTGCAAAATATGCAATTGCCAAAATGCAGAGGACTAAACAGAAAGAACAAAGAGAAAGTGCAAAATGGTGTTTTAGGTAATGAGTTATCTCTATTAATTAAATAAAAACTCATTGTCAACCAAAATTTTATGAAATTACTAGTTTAACCCTCTAATTAAAACGAAACATGAATAAAAAATATGGGCAGAAATGTAATTTCACACAACCAAATTTTACTGTTTTTTTTAAGCATCACCCATATGTAATCCTAACATATCTCTAATTAAAAAATAAATAAATAAAAATAATTAATTAAATAAATAAATAAATAAACTTCCCACCCTCATATTCTCTATCACTCTCTTCCACTCTCCTTCTATTTCAAAAACAAAAATAAAAAATTTTCAAACACACTTTGTGTGTGCTGATATGCTAGTAATTAATTAAGCCAGCTATATACAGAAGCTCAATCAAACTAAAGGGTGAGAGATTGAAAGTGAAAGCCACAGTTCGTGTTGAAATCATTAGTCCTTATTTCTCTTATACATAGACGTCCCGTCCATTTCTAGCATAACAAATAAAAACTAAAAGCCAAATAAAATTTCAAGGACAAACCTCATATGATATGAACCTTTTTTTTATTTGAAATTTGTTCTCATCATTGTGCCTATCAAATTTGCAGCAAGCAATCAACGTTAACGGAATGCCAAAGTATGAGATTTTTACCTGTCGGTCGAGCAACAGCAATCAATACAACAGCCTAATCCAAAGGTCAACCCCCTTCTCCAATAGAAAACTCTACGTTACACAAATTTATTGAATTAGAATCAAAATAATGAGATTGAAGCCAAAATTTTAAACTAAAACCATAAGACGACATTGAAATGAATAAAACCCTAAATCAATTGAAGACCCTATTAAAAACTACTCGCTGATTTTGAAATTATACAAAATCCTCCCTGATTTCGAAACTTGAAAGTCGACTTCATACCTTAAATTTGAATTTCGAAGATGAAAGACGAACGCATGAAGACAGTCCGGATCGCTCGGAAACAGATCGCAAGACTTTGAAGCGATTGAAGAGTATGAGAGTTGATCGAAGAGATGAAGCGATGAAGCGGTAAGTGAAGCGACGACGCCAACTTTCGTCAACTCGATAATCAAAGAGTTGTTGGATTTGATCATAAACAGAGACTGACCTTAATATATTTAACAATGTTGTAGATGCTATTGGAGTCGTTATCGCAATGTTTGAATAATTGGGCAGGACTCGCACAGAATCTGCACTCACATTTGTAATCCTACATACCAGAATCTGCATTCACATGATATTAAGCAAACAGACAGTTCATTACGGCAATTTTTGTGCATTTAAAATGATCTCTGAAATTTTCGTATCTTCTTAATTTGATTTTGATATTTAAAATCAATAAAAGTGGGTCTTGAGTTTGTCTATCATCAATCACTCTAGTCTTTTTGTGAAAAATTTCTGTTAAATAAAGACTAAATGACAAAAATATCTTCAGTTTGATAGAAAACTAAGGGTATTTTTGTCTTTTTACCTTATTGAATGGGGATTTTTCACAAAACGACCAAAATGATTGATGGTGGATAAACTAAGGGTTCAGTTCTATCGATTTTAAAATTTCAGCTCAAAATGAGGAGTTATACCAATTTCAGAGAGTATTTTAGCTTAAAAGCCTAATAATATTTATGCTTAGCCCATTTAAATGGCAATTGGGTTCTTTAAAGGATGTAATCAAACTCGGATTTGAGAGAATTTTAAAAGACTTTAAAATCCTAGTATAGTCAATTAAAGGATTTTAGAATCCATTCAAATCTAGGTGTAGTCAATTAAAAGATTTTAGAATCTATTCAAATCTAAGTGTAGTCAATTAAAATATTTTAAAATATTTTAAAATCCATCCAAATTTAAGTGTATTAAAAATATTAAGATTTTGAATGATTTCAAAAAGTTGTGGATTTTATGGGATTTGAGAGTAAAAAGTATATCTAGCCAAGAGTAAAAGGAATCCAACCTCACCCCCTAGGATTTCAAATCCTTCCACCACAATCCATTCAAATTCTTTAAAATCCATATGAATTTTGTAGGAGTCTTTAATCCTTTTAAATCCTATCAAATCTATCACTTTTAAAATCCATATAAATTTTGTAGGAGTCTTTAATCTTTAGTTTGACTACACCCCTTAATCTACAGAAAAATAGATAATTACAATGGTACATTGCATGATTAGATTATCAAGAGTTCATAGAGGCAAAATGATGCTACAATCAATGGCCGAGTGACCCCGAACCAGCGTAGTAAAGGATAGAAACGTAAATCCAAGATTCGGAAAGCTAAAAATTCACCAAATTAGAGAGAAAATCTCAATCAATGTTATTAATGCATGAATGTTCATTACAATAGAAATCAAAAGGTGTAAATAGAATTAAATTCAATCCTAAGTGTGAGCCAAAATAATTTCAAAAATCTTGAAACTGACACGTAAGCTTTTACTAAAGATTAAATAAGAGTAAATTACACTTTACCACTTAAGGTTTGTGATCGATTTCAATTTCTTACAACATCTTTAAAACATTTCAATTTCACACCTCAAGTACTATTTTATTTCAATATAATACATCCGTTTCATTTTCTATCCATTGATCCGTTAAAAGCTGATGTGGCAGTCACGTGGTACAAATATGACAACCTCGTTAGCTCTTAACGAATCTGATCTTCACCGCGTAGACTTAAAAGGTGATGACTTCTGTACAACTAAGAGCGCGTTACAAATCTACAACACATGAGAACCACTCGTTCTTATAATGTAAAAATCTTTGCCTAATATTTTGCTGCTTTATGGATTTCACATGTCAACAATTTAATTCTAGTGGTGGTGTTCGGCCCTTTAATGCTGCTGGCCCAGTCCAGCTTCATTGGCAACATCCCCATCAACAAAAACTGGCGCAGCCCTTTGCTTCTGTTCGGCCCAATTTTCTGTCCAATTTTCCTCAGCCCAGATGGCCTGCTCCTAAGCCCTCCTTGGCGCTATAACTGCAATAAGTTCCAGCATATCCAGACCTGCCCGCACAGGTACTGTGGGCCTGATCAGGCCGCACCCTTTGCTGCAACCCAGTTTGAACTGCAGCCTGACCCACTTTGGCATCCCGACACTGGTGCTACCCATCACATGACGAGTCAATCGTCTTCCGTTGCTCATACGGAGTCCTATGCGGGTCCTTCTTCTAATGTTTATTCGGGTAGGCAATACTATGTACATTACCCACATCGGCACCCTTCCTCCTTCGCTTGATTCCTTTAATTTTCATCTTCGCATTGTCTTTTTTCTTCCCAACCTTTGTAATTTTTTTGTTGCTCGTTTCAATTTTTCTTCTGGAGCAGTTGTTTCAACTACATTTGCTTTCTGGGATGTGTTTGGTTTCCGAGAAAATGTAGAACTTTGGGGGGATAATTGAGTATTAGCCATTTACATTTGAGTATTTATGACTGTTTTGCTGGAAGAAAATAAAGAAAATGAATTTCTGGGTTTTTAGTTAATTGTGTTTTGATTTACATTGTAAAATGCTAATTTCGGTTCCATTAGCCGAACAATGAGAGTGGTGGTCATTATATGATTATAATCTGCCCAAATTTAAGAATTCAAAATTTGATTCTGTCATGCAATGTCTGTTTGTAAGGAACTGAATTGGTTATACTAATGCGAGTTTTGATTTGTACGATTGATTTTACTGCAGCCGACGAATCAGAGAAGTTTGTGGAAGCATATTCTCTGTTCTTGCTTACCGGTGTCTGGTTAAGGAGGATGATAGAGATGCTCCAAGTTTTCTGTTTGAGTCAGTTGAGCCGGGTTCCAACGACTCCAATGTTGTAAGCGTCCTCAGCCCCTTGTATCATTTGTATTTGTTTGCATCTGACTTTAGACAATAATTAATCACTTACAAATTTTTGGTGTCAATCATTTGTTAGGGCCGGTACAGTTTTATTGGTGCCCAACCATCCATTGAAATCGTGGCTAAGGAGAACATGGTTACCATTATGGACCACAGAGAAGGTTGTAGGACAGAGGAGATCGTAGATCGTGGAGGATCCAATGACTGTTCCTCGGAGAATCATGGAGGGATGGACACCCCAACTTCTTGATGAACTTCCATAAGCATTTTGTGGTATGATTAGTACACAAACAACATGCTTTAAATTTTTTTAGTGGTACTCTTATCTTAATCCTCTCAGTTCAAAGTAAACCACTTCTCCTTAAATGTGGTTTGTTAACAAAGCTTAGACTTTTAAACTTGTGGTGAAGTTATTTACTCCTTAAATGTGGTTTGTTAACAAAGCTTAGACTCGTAAAGTTGTGGTGAAGTTATTTATAAAAATGAAGACCACGCTTTGCTTAATTTTTTCCTTTTGTCTCAAAGTTTTGGACTAGGCAAGTAGAACTGTGGACTCTCGCAAAAGACTTACTTGTCACAAAATTGCCATAAATCTATCCTCTTATTATTGTATAATTCAGTCTTAAAAAATTGAGGTTTCTGAAGTCACTAGTTGGTGGTTAACAACATCCATTCTCTTTATCAGGCGGCTGGGTTGGTTACTTCTCTTATGATACAGTACGTTATGTTGAGAAGAAAAAGCTGCCATTTCCGAGTGCACCACCAGATGACAGAAATCTTCCTGATGTTCATCTTGGTCTTTATGACGATGTGATAGTGTTCAATCATGTGGACAAGGTACTGTGATTTTCATGCTAGATTTTAGTGAAGAAAATATATAAATTGGAGACACTTTGATTCAAATGCATGTCAGCGTAATGACATCTGCTTTTTTTCTGTTAAAATAGTTTTTTTTTTTCTTCCTAGTTACTCGCTCTTATGCTTATTCTTTTTCTTCAAAGTTCTACTTTGTTTTTTCCGCCACGTTGAATCAGAATATTTGCATCCTACTCCATTACTGAACTAGGAGAATTAGTTAACTGCATGCTTTGGTTGTAAATTTTTATTTTAACAAATAGGGTGCTACTGTTGTGGCTATAACCATTTCTATTTTACAATTTTGTCTACTATAGAAAGCACATGTAATTCACTGGGTGCAATTAGATCAATATTCTTCTGTTGACGAGGCCTTCAATGATGGAATAAATAGATTGGAAACATTGCTATCTAAAGTGCATGACATTATCACGTGAGTAATCAACTCCTTTCTTTCACATTTCTCTTCTATTTTTTTGTTGAGTTTCAATTCCCCTCCTATATTCTTACTCATCCCTCCCTCTTTAATACCAGTTTTAATCATAAATTATTCAAAGGTCAATTTCAACTTGAGGCTGCCTCAGGGCTGGGGGAATTAGTTCTCCATACTTGTTAATTACTTTTTTTTTAAAAATAAAAAACTTAAGGTTGATGTAAAAATGTACCGACTGTCAATTTCAGCCCGAGGCTGCCTGCAGATTCAATAGAGTTCAACACTCAACTTTTTGGTACTAAATTGGAGGACTCAAGCTTGACAAGTGAGGAATATAAGGAGGCAGTTTTGGAAGCTAAAGAACACATTCTAGCTGGGGACATATTTCAGATTGTATTAAGCCAGCGTTTTGAGAGGCGAACATTTGCAGACCCATTTGAAATTTACCGAGCATTGAGGATAGTTAATCCAAGTCCATATATGACTTATTTACAGGTTTGCCTCGTTTTCAGTGAGTCATTGGTTCCAATCTACTTGTTCACCTTGTAATTCTGAGATTATATGAGTATATACTTCCATGATCAGGCTAGAGGCTGTATTCTGGTTGCTTCAAGTCCAGAAATTCTGACACGTGTCAAGAAGGTGAGTAAAGGAAGTCCAAAAAATTTTAACATCTGAGTGTTCATCTTATTCTGTTGCTAGCTCCTAAACCTCTACGATGGTTCCTACAAGATGTCCTACATTTTATGTTTTCTTTGGTTCCCTTTGTTTTCCTACTATAGTGTTGTAGTCGTCATTAGCAATAAATTGCTGAGATTTTCATTTCTTATTTTTGTTATTAGAAAACGATCACCAACCGGCCTCTTGCTGGGACAGTTAGAAGAGGAAAAACACCTAAAGAAGATTTAATGCTGGAAAAGCAGCTTTTGAATGATGAAAAGCAATGTGCTGAGCATATTATGCTTGTAGACTTGGGAAGGAATGATGTTGGGAAGGTTTATAATCTTTCCTTTGTTGTATTTGTATGATTATTACTGTATGTTGAACTTTATTCTCCAGAGTGTAATACCATGCATATGCTAAATTTTATTCTCCCCGTTATCTATTTTCAGTCCATGGCGGGTAAAAAGTATTTCACTGATGTATATTTCAGCATTAGCTTATTAAGTTCACACTTGGTGCCTTGTCTGTTCATGGCTTACGTGACAATATTTATAAGAATTTTATCATAATCTGTTTCTTTCATTTAGTATATTGTGGCCATAATAATGCGATTGATAATTTGTTCATGCAGGTCTCAAAACCTGGTTCTGTCAAGGTTGAGGAGCTCATGAACATTGAGCGTTATTCCCATGTCATGCACATAAGTTCAACAGTAAGTATCTCCTTTCGGTGATACACATAATAAGTAACCTAATATCTATAACGATTGATGACACATCCGCGCATCTGTAGACATTAGTTTCAGAATTTATTTTCTCATGGGGTCTATATCTATTGTCATGAGTGTAATGTATGTACTCAACAACCAATTGAATTAAGGGACGAAACTTTAATTTAATTGTAGGTTACTGGAGAGTTACTTGATGATTTAACTAGCTGGGATGTTCTGCGTACTGCGTTGCCGGTTGGGACAGTCAGTGGAGCACCGAAGGTTTTCTTCATGAGCCCTTTTTAATTTGTTTGTTGGCATTCTTGTTTTATTTCTTATTAATTAGCTAAATTGATCCTAGGTTTAATTAACCTGTATAATCCTATGAGTACAAACCATGAGGATTAACCTAATTAGTTAGGAAACGGTTTATTACACCACTATTGGTTGATATATGGAACCTGATGTCATGATTTCCTAATCTATCTTATATGGACTCGCTTAGGATTAATTTTTTGAGATTCTGCATTCTTAGCTCTACTGCAATGCAGGTGAAAGCCATGGAGCTGATCGATAAGCTAGAAGTGACTAGACGTGGTCCATACAGCGGTGGCTTTGGGGGAATTTCGTTTTCTGGCAACATGGACATTGCCCTTGCTTTGAGAACTATTGTTTTCCCAACTAGCTTTCGGTATGATACAATGTATTCATACAAGGACACAAACAAGCGCAGAGAGTGGGTCGCTCATCTCCAAGCCGGGGCAGGAATTGTCGCTGACAGTGATCCAGCCGATGAGCAGAGGGAGTGCGAGAACAAAGCTGCTGCTCTTGCGCGCGCTATTGATCTGGCGGAGTCCTCGTTCGTTGATAATTGAATGCGTTTTTTGCTTGCATACAGAATCTGGTTTGTAATATATTATATCAGATGATGGGAATGTATGAATAATGTGAGTTTGATAAAGTGAAAAGATTTGATGTTGGGAACTGTAAATTATATCAGATGATGGGAATGTACATCAAAGTGAGAAGATTTGATGTTGGGAACTGCAAATTTTGAAACCCTAGTTAATCATTGCTGCTTTTGCCCTTCAAACTTTTTGCGAACAGCGCCGTCATATGTTGAAACCCGGAACAGATTAGAACGATCACAGGGCAGAGTTTCCCTTGCCTTCATGGCTGTATCCGTTGTCGCCATGAAAATTTCTGCCCGACCTCTGTTCTTAGAGCAGCTCCAGCGGGAGCTTTTGCTCTGGGCACAGGCCCGTGAACAGGGCTAGAGAGCCCGATTGATTTGGTCCAGCGTGTGGTAGCCCGAGGGACAGGCCCAGCCCGGGGGAGAGGCCTGGCACGAGTTGCCAGCCCGAGAGTCCGAAGTGGGTGTGACGTTAGGGCGACGTCAGCTACTTTTTTTATTTTTTTTCTGTTAGGCGTGTGGCCTTCAAGCGTGCGTGGGTGCGCGTTAGGCGACATAAATTCAAAAATGGGGCCCGCGGCCCACTCAGATTTCTTAATATTGGGGAGGCCACGTGGCTTCCCCATGTCCGTTGGATTTCAACGGCTATATTTTATGGACCGTTGGATTTTCAAAGGTAAAAAAAAAATTAAAAACCTCATTTAATTTCAGTCGTTGGATCTGAGATCAACGGTCCACGTTATTAGGCTATGGAAATTTAAAAAAAGAAAAAAAAAACAATTTAAAAAGTTGAAATGTTACAGTTGTGCCACGTGGCACAATCTGGAGTGTTGGAAATTCAAATTTTTTAATCCAACGGCAGAGATTAATTAGGTGAATAAAAATTAAAAAAAATGTAAAAAATTATTATAAATCAGAAGAAAAAAAAATGAGAAAATTAAAAAAAAATTGATTTCACTTTTCTATAAATACCTTCACATTATCTTCTACCTTACACCACAATTTCATATTTTCTCAACTAGTTTCAACCACATTCCTATCTTTCTTTCACAGTTTCAATCTAATTTTTTTTTCCATCACCAATAATTGTCTTTTCAGATTTTATGACAAGTAGGGCAACAAGAACGATTAAAAATCTTATCTGAAATTACAAATAAAATTATTTTGTATTATTTAATAATACTTCAAATAATGACACGTAACGCAACGAGAACGATTAAAAATCTTATCCAATATTATAATTAAAATTATTTTGTATTATTTTATAAATAAAAAAATACAAATATTTTATTACCTATTGACAGGGCTATTGAAGTGTAACGGTGGAGATGCAAATACTATTGCCAGGGCTATTACTATTCATTAAGGGTAGTTACTGTTCATTAGGTGGATTGAATAGTGTATAACCTGGGAGGAGGGCTCCAACGCTGGAGTTGCTCTTAAAAAGCATTTTCTTTAACCTTGCCAAACTTGGAGAAGAAAGCTCCTTATTCTTTAAAAATCTCCTTTTTCCGTACTCACTTTGCTGAACAAGTTTCATCATCTCCTTGTTCTTTAAAAATCTCCTCTTCGGCATCTGTCAGTGGCACTTTCACCGAATCCCACAATTACCCATCTCATCTCCCATCAATTTTTTTTCCTCTCAACAGGTATTTCTTTTTCCTCATCATTTTTTTCTTGTTTATTAAATTATTGGTATTTATGATTTCCTGTTATGCCTGGATATTTTGTGTACGAATCTGGAAATTTTGGTAAATCTTGTTCACTTGCGACATTGCATAAACGAAGGTTCAAACTATGAACATACAGTAAACATGATATACATTTTCTAAATGGAATCACCACATTCTGTCGTTTTGCAATCTTGGAGTCCAGGTTTAATTCAACAATTGAGAAAGTGTCTCTTTTAGAAGCAACACATGCGCAGCAACTTGAAAACTTTTGAAGCTCTATGCATCCCTAAGGGCACGATGAAATGGTAATCATTTGATAAGACATGATTAGCAGATAAGATCATCTTGCAATACTACTTAAAACAAATCGAATCCAGACCGCTTGAGATCGATTAGTAAACAACAGAGGACTCTGGTCTTACAACATTCAAGCATGATCATAGATTCACAGTTCCACAGAAATGAAATCATCATCCATATTTTACAAACCAAACATTTGAATTCGAATTCTACAAAGTACCAAAATCTACTTCTCAATAGACATAATTTGGAAACAAACTTGAAAAAGGAAATTCGGAAACTAGAGCTCATAAACTTGTTGAAGCTCCTTTTTCACCGAAGACTAGTTCGATACAACAAACTGTCGTCTAATAGAACCACCGTAAGACACAACAAGAAAAGAGGAACAATTCCACTCCATTTAACCCATCAGTTTCAAACCTTCTGAGAGATGGTAGCTGTGCCAATGCTGGCATTGAAAAACAATGTTCACAATCCACAAGTCCAAGAGTAACAAGATGAGAGAACGAACAAGTCATCTCCTAACCGATTTGGAATTTTTGTAGCTCCGTATCTTTCTATCGCAAATACTTTCAAGTTTATATGGGACAAGAGTACCTGTAAAATTTGTTATTATGTGAACATTAACATTTGAAACATGTTTATGATTTAAAATTTACACAGCCAGATCGTAAACAAACACATAAACTCACGTTGATGAATTACGTACCATTGCAAATCATATCTCTCGGCCATCAATCACTACATTGGGGATGTGAGAAATCTTGGGCCAATCTTCTCCCGTGTCTCTGTGGCACCGTTGTGATAGCAAATCACACTTGAAGATACCTAGACGAGAAAGAGAAGTGGGTTGCCCTTCATCTGGCAAGCTCTGGAGTCGAGGACAAAAATAAATCACCAACTCCTCGAGAGAGATGAGGTGTCTTAACGCCTTGCCGTCAATGGTTTTCAGATTCGGATGATTGGAGACTCTGAGAGAAGTGAGAGTGGTTGGCAGCAGCCCCTCTTCTGGAAATGATTCGCCAATTTCTTCTTCTTCACATTCTGAGAAGTTGACATCCAATTCTATGAGGGAGGTGAGTGTTTGTAAACCCCACCGCATACGGTTTGCCATCAGTTTTTTACAATTCCAGATAATGAGGTAACGCAATTTCGACGGCAATCCCCCTTCCGGAAATGATTCCAATTCTGGGCAATCCCGTATGATCAAAGACGAGAGAGACGGGAGAGAGATTTGCATCTCCACTGGCAATGATGTGAATTTGTTACAATAATAGATTTCCATATTCTTCAAGTTGGGCGCTTGCAGTCCTTCTCCATAGAGGAAACCCACAAATTCTGGGCATCCCTTTATCTTCAGAACAACGAGGGATGAGAATTTAGATTCTTCCGGAAATGATTTAAATTCTTTACACCCTTCTATGGACAGAGACTGAAGAGACGGGAGAGAGGCCTGCATCTCCTCTGGCAGTGACCTGAATTCGTTACATTCATCGATTCGCATCCTCTTCAAGTTGGGCGCTTGCAGTCCTCCTCCATGGGGGAAACCCACAAATTCTGGGCACTCCGTTATCTCCAAATAATCGAGGGATGGGAATTTAGATTCTTCTGGAAATGATTTAAATTCTTTACACCCTTCTATGGACAGAGACTGAAGAGACGGGAGAGAGGCTTGCATCTCCTCTGGCAGTGACCTGAATTCGTTACATTCATCGATTCGCATCGTCTTCAAGTTGGGCGCTTGCAGTCCTCCTCCATAGAGGAAACCCACAAATTCTGGGCATCCCTTTATCTTCAAAACAACGAGGGATGGGAATTTAGATTCTTCCGGAAATGATTTAAATTCTTTACACCCTTCTATGGACAGAAACTGAAGAGACGGGAGAGAGGCCTGCATCTCCTCTGGCAGTGACCTGAATTCGTTACATTCTTTAATTTCCATCGTCTCCAGGTTGGGTGCTTGCAGTCCTCCTCCATAGAGGAAACCCACAAATTCTGGGCATCCCTTTATCTTCAGAACAACGAGGGATGGGAATTTAGATTCTTCCGGAAATGATTTAAATTCTTTACACCCTTCTATGGACAGAGACTGAAGAAACGGGAGAGAGGCCTGCATCTCCTCTGGCAGTGACCTGAATTCGTTACATTCATCGATTCGCATCCTCTTCAAGTTGGGCGCTTGCAGTCCTCCTCCATGGGGGAAACCCACAAATTCTGGGCACTCCATTATCTCCAAATAATCGAGGGATGGGAATTTAGATTCTTCCGGAAATGATTTAAATTCTTTACACCCTTCTATGAACAGAGACTGAAGAGACGGGAGAGAGGCATGCATCTCCTCTGGCAGTGACCTGAATTCGTTACATTCATCGATTCGCATCGTCTTCAAGTTGGGCGCTTGCAGTCCTCCTCCATGGGGGAAACCCACAAATTCTGGGCACTCCATTATCTTCAAATAATCGAGGGATGGGAATTTAGATTCTTCCGGAAATGATTTAAATTCTTTACACCCTTCTATGAACAGAGACTGAAGAGACGGGAGAGAGGCGTGCTTCTCCTCTGGCAGTGACCTGAATTCGTTACATTCTTTAATTTCCATCGTCTTCAAGTTGGGCGCTTGCAGTCCTCCTCCATGGGGGAAACCCACAAATTCTGGGCACTCCATTATCTTCAAATCATCGACGGATGGGAATTTAGATTCTTCCGGAAATGATTTAAATTCTTTACACCCTTCTATGGACAGAGACGGAAGAGATGGGAGCGAGATTTGCATATCTTCTGGCACTGACCACAAGTTTTTAAAACGGCACATAGATATCTCCTTCAAGTTGGGCGCAAGCAGCACTCCACCACCCACAAAACATACCAGATTCGGGCAATCTGATATTTCCAACTCACGGAGGAATGGGAGTTCAATATTGAATTTATTGCATTCATGCGAACAAGCAAGGGATTCGATATTAACTTCCTGCAAACTTAGCCGCTCAAGTCTTGGGAAGTAGTCTAACGGTATTTTCCCCGTTAGTTTGGGACAACAATGCAGACGAAGCTCGCAAAGATTAGGAAAATGTCCGCCTTGTTCTTCTTCACCTCCAGGGAAACACCACTCTTGCCATTCCCGCATACTGCGGAAACTCAGAAACTCCAGAGATTTAAATGCAGGTTTAATTCCCCCATAAAACTCAGACCCCACTAATTCCACTCCATTCAACCCATCAATTTTAAGACTTTTGAGGGACGTTAGCTGCCCCAATGCTGGCAGGGAGAAACAATATCCACAATTCTCAAGTTGGAGAGTGATGAGATTAGAGAAAGACTCATCTCCTAACCAACCTGGAAACTTTGTACCTCCGTATCCTTTTATAGCCAGTACCTTTAGGTTTGTATTGGGCTGCAGGTTGCCCAGCACTCGGCTATCGTTTTGAGAATCAGCAGTGTCACCTTCCCATTTCAAATGTATTTCACTGAGCTTCTTGTCCCTCAGTTTGGCCTCCAAAGCATCCTCAACATGTTTGATATTTTGAAGCCCTGAAATATGAAGATTTCCACTCAAATGTTGAAACCCCTTTAACTCAGCAATGTATCCCCCATCATCTTTGCTCAAGACAAACTCACCTCCAAATGTTTGGAGATCTTTCAACTTGCCCATGTGGGGGGGCATCTTTTTTATTTTCGTACCTTTGAAATCAAGATGGCGCAAGTTGATGAGTCTTCCCAAATTGGTGGGCAACTCAGCGAGATCTACACAATACGACACCAACAACGTTTGTAAATTATACAAACTGCATACCGCGTCTGGTAATTTCTTTATTGGATTCTTACACAAGTTGAGGTACCGCAGATGCTTCAAGTTGCTAATCGAATCAGGCAACTCGCTGATATCATACCCACATAATTTGAGTACTCTTAAACACTGTAGCTTTAAAAGGCGATCAAGTCGTACTGTCTGCAATGGATAGAGATCGCCAAGAATGAAGGTGCGCAGATACTTAGCTTCATAAATAGTGTCAAATCTCTCATAATCAACATTAGATGAATATTGCAAATAAGAAAAATGACGACCCTTGCTCACGTCCGATGAGAAGTCATGGTCTTCCAATCTAATGCAAAATTCCCCGCATACGTAAGTCGCCAAATCATGCATCAGATCATGCATGATGAAACAATCATTTGAAGACGAGTGTTGAAAAAATGACCGTGAGATTAGATCATCAAAGTATTTCTTTCCAACATCTTCCTACCTAGTCTTCTTTTGGGGTTGTAAAAGATCTTCGGCCATCCACAACAAAATTAATTCAAACTTGTCAAATTCATAATCTTTGGGAAATATGGAACAATAAGCAAAACAACGCTTTAGCTCCGGAGACAAGTACTGGTAGCTTAGCCATAGAGCCGGCAGAATGTCAATCTTTGCATCTGACAACTCCCATATGTCACTTTTTAGCACATTTTCCCATTCCTTCACATTTGATTCAGAGTGTAAGAGACCACCAAGAGATTTTGCAGCTAAAGGAAGGCCTTTACACTTGCTAACAATTTGTCTTCCAATTACCTCAAGATTTGGATCTACAATTGCATCTTTGAAGGCATGCTTGGAAAACAGAACCCAACAGTCTTCCTCAAGTAAGTGCTTTAAATAATGGGTTTGAAGAGTACCCATCGTAGTTGCAACGCCATCATTCCTTGCGGTGACAATGATCTTACTTCCATGAGCTCCAGACTCGAAGGGGCGCCTTAAGGAATCCCAAATATTGTATTTCTCATTCCAAACATCATCAAGAACAAAAAGAAACTTCTTCCCCGCCAAAGCATCTTTGAGTTTGACTTGAAGCTGGTCTAGGTCTGTGGTATCACAGGTTTGTGAAGTGACTGATGCATAAATTGTTTGTGTGATCTTAACAACGCCAAATTCATCAGAAACACAAACCCATGCCTGGAGCTCAAAATGCCGCTTCACTTTATCATCATTGTATAAGAGCTGAGCAAGGGTGGTCTTTCCGATCCCACCCATGCCCACGATGGGAATGACGCCAATCTTATTACAAGTAACATCATCTGATAGCAACAATTGAATGATGGTTTCCTTCTCATGATCTCTTCCATATACATCAGAGCCTTTTACTAAAGAAGTTGAAGGCAATGTTTGTGAGATTCTGTGACTACAACGTTCTTTCAAACCGAAGGCATCTTTCTGTTTTGAAATGAAGCTTAGCGTCTCAAGAATTTCCTCTATCTTGGTGTCTATAGACTCATCAAAAGCATGGAAAGAAGCAGAGATGAGGTCTTTTGCCTTGCTTGTGCTACTTCCAAATTCAGCTTCCATTTTCCGCCTTAACATTTCTGTCTTGATCTCGTCCAGTAGGTCATCAGCATGAAAGACTGCCTCTTTAAGCTCATGCAGCCACTGCTTCACAACTGGGTAACTTAATTGCTTTTGCTCGGCATCATCATAAACAGCATTGACAGACAACAACTCGATCTTCAACTTCTTCAGCAACCCATCAGTCCGTTTCTTTCCTCTGATGAAGTTCTTGACCTCCTGAGAATCCATCTTTTGAAATACTTGTTGAAAGAAAGCGGAGAAAAATGCTCCGCCTACCACCTCCAAAGCCATGATCGATCTCTTCTTTGCAAATGGAATTGAGTTTTGCTGGGGAAAGATAATCACAAATTAGCTAGCAATATCAATGTAACGAAAACTATGGTTCGTTTTCGCTACAAATAAACTAATTCAAACCAAGAGTTATTGGATTGATATTAAACAAAGACTATCTTTATTATACTTAACACAAAAGTAGATGCGTTTGGAGTCAATTCTCGTTTGGCATTTCTCGTCGGCTGCCTTAAACTCCAATTTTTAGAGCAACCCTACCCCTAAATGTCCCCATGTGCTATAGGCAACCCAATCCGCCAAAGTGAATGGTAAGTTAGTAACTATCCTTAGTGAACACTAATTGTCTCAGTGCATCTCCACCAAATAGCTCAGGTTATTGGTATTAAAATATATTTTTTTAATAAGAAATAATTTTATTTTTAATTTGGAATGACAATAAAAAATTAGTTGAAAAGTATTTGAAAATATTGAAATATGGTGTAAAGTGAAAAAATATGGTATTTATAGAAAAAAATTTATAACTTTTTTATATTTTTAATTAACTTTTTATAACTTTTTGTATTTTTTATAATTTTCTAATCATGGCTAACATCAAAGTGATGTCATACCACCCAGTGGTTGGGCCAGTCAATTCGGACCTGGGGGAAAAGTGGGGGCTCCAGGGGAGCCGAGGTTATTCATTTTTTTTGGGTAGGGGGATTCCAGAGCTCATCGCCCAGGGGACTTGGCTGGGCTGGAAGTGTTCTAAAAATAAAGGTTTCAATGTTAAAATGATCTCTGTGTTTTAGTTATTAGGTCAATTTAGTCCATGTGTTTTCAATTTGATCAATTTAGTCCTCTTGTTTATTTTCGTTAGCCAATTAAGGACATTTCCATCTAATTTCTGTAAAAAAAATTATAAATTATTGTACTTATTTATAAAATTATTTATTCGATTTAAAATATTTAAAAATGAAATAAAATTAAAAATTAAAAGAAAAATTATTCTCCTTCCAATTTCCCAACCTCCTTCCTAACATTACCTTTTCTATGTCACAACCTTAATCATTTTTCAGATTGGAAGTTTTATCTCTTATATGTGTTATTTCTCTCATTGATTTACATTTTTCTGTAAAGAGAAATGATAATAATATCTCATATAATTTTTCTTATGAATTTTTTAAAAGAAATTGAATGAAATGTCCTTAATTGACTAACAGAGACAAACACGATGACTAAATTAACCAAAACAAAAACATGGGGACTAAATTTGCCATGTGGCTTTAACACAGGGACCATTTTGACATTTAAGCCAAAAATAAATACATATGAAACAAAGGTCCCTTATGTTGAGTGTTTCAAAACCGTATAAAACATGTAAAATTTGTAAATATATTTACGACAAGCAAAACTATGTAAATACATGGAATGTAGGAAGGAAAGTATAGACCTTTTGTTTTGAATCAAGAAAAATACTAATTCTAAAATACAATTTCAAGAACCCTGCCTATCAAAAAGAACGCTAATTCTAAAATACAATTTCAATTTCTCTCAATATTAAAAAGCATGCAAGCAGAGAGAAAAGGCGTAGTTTCTATTACCTGTAGAATTAGCTTGTAAAGACTTGCCCACAATGTTCTGAATCAGTGTCCCTCCATTGTAAGCATCTTTAGAGAAATTTTCTGTAGATAATTCCACTGTAAAAATAAATTCATGTTAAACTTGGAAAGAGTTGCTATTCACAACGCAAATAGAGTTGAAACAAAGACGATCAAGTTTTGTAAGTAATTAATTAAATATATGAAAAAAAAATCACGTCCAAACCGAAGAAAAATTCTACTTTCTAACAATTGAACTTAATATATGAAACCAGCAATTTACATTTCCTGACAAATAGAAACTCAATGAGTCATAGTTGTATTCCAACTTCTGAATTTAGACATCATTATGTTTGTCTTAATCTTTGACAAATAGAAAATGCTGATTCAATGAGATAAACATAATGATTATTCTTGATTATGTTGTTAACGATCCCATTACATACTCTCATTTCTTTTTACATTTTACATACTCTCATTAATTTGTTACTTATACACACTCTAATTTCTTTTTAATCGTCTTATTGAGCAAATAAAAAATGAATCAAATGTTATCTAGTAACAAACTCATTAAATCATTTTCCTACAAGTGATCATTTCCCCTCTACGATGTTATTCAGTAAGAAACTCACTGAATCATGCAATAACAAAATAGATAATTGTTATTAAACTTGTTTTCATCTCTCTTTGTAATCTCTAGTCACTATTTAAATCTAAGATTGATAAGATGAGATATCATAGTTTTAGATGTGCATTGCTTAAAATAATAATTATCTAAAGGGAGAGTTTGGATGTGGTCCTTAACTATCAATGTTCTTTAATTGAAACCTTGTTGGTTTTCAGCTTTTGATCGATGTTCCTGACATTAATGAAATAATGTATTTATATGTAGGTTATTATATTTTTAAATTGAAATTTGAAATTTGTAGTTATAGTTGTTTCTATTTATGAGCATAAATAAAACCCATAATTTGTGGAATTAAAAATGTTAAAAGATAAATTATATTCTCCAATATATTGTGTAATATAAACATGGGTACATTCATAAATAATAATCAAACCAAAACATGAGTACATTTTCCAAAACCACAAAAAAGAAAGGCTTAATAACATTATTAAATTTCTTTGATTAAACTTAACGGGGATACATTCTTAAATCAACGAAATAGAATATACCCATATAAGTTTAAAATATAGATTAGAAAAAAAATTGAATGGATCTTATATAAAAAGAAATGGATACATGTTATACTAAAAAAAAAGTATTGTTTACATTTAGGATTCAAAAATTGAAAAGTTATATGAATGGTTACATTTAAGATTAAAAATTGAAAATATTTCTATAAAAAAAATTAATGGGTGCAAACTAAATCTTTTTTTTTTTTTTGGAAATATTTTGAATTGAAAATTAATTAGGAGTGTAATAAGGGTGTGAATATTAAAACCCTAAAACAATTACTAATTTTTATTTTAAAAAAATTATGTAGCTGACATCTAAATTTATTAATACATTAATGGTAGAGACTTTAATCAAAATCTAAAAATTAATAAGGTTTTAGTCAATAAACATTAGTAACTAGGGATCGGATACTAATTTTCCACAACCACTGTTATTAGAGGTAATTTACAAATTGATTATTTTTCTTCCTAATTAGCAGTTGGATTAACTTAAATGATTATTTAAAGCTTTTGGATCTTGTATTGCTTAGGGCCTATTTGGGAAGTGATTCAAGGTTTAAAAGTGGGACGTGCTTTATTCAGAAGTGATTCTAAACCGCGCAAAAGTGGAACCCTTAATTATTATATTAGTTTCTTTCACTACGAAATGGGAACTTTCATGAAAAAGCTTGAACTAAGTTTATGTTAACAAAAAATCATGTTATAACTTTATTTAATGAAAAATAATTAAATAATAATGAAAAACCCTTAAATTTTAATAAAAATGATAAAATAATTTAAATTTTAATGAAAATGACACAATTTTAATATAAAAAAAAAGAGACATGACACGCAGGCCCCATGCGTACATCAAAGCCACTGTTTATGAAATTGAACACTATTTATGAAACCGAACATTATGTATGAAATTGCACTATCTGAACAGTACTACAATATTTATTAGTCCAATTTCATAAATAGTGTCTAGTTCTTGGTCCACTTTTATAAATAATGCCTAATTCTTGAGCCTGTTTCATAAATAAAGACTAGTTATTTGGTCCAGTCTCATAAATAATGTACAACAATTGATACAATTTCATAAATAGTGTCCCTTTCTTGATCCAATTTCATAAATAGTGTCTAATTATTGGTCCACTTTCATAAATAGTGTCTAGTTCTTGGTCTTGTTTCATAAATATTGTCTAGTTCTTAGTCTAGTTTTGTAAATAGTGTATAGTTCAGTTTCATAAATAGTTTCCACCTATTAGTTTAGTTTTAAAAACATTGCCTAATTCTTGTTTTCGTTCATAAATAGTGTCTGCTTATTTGTCCAATTTCATAAATAGTGTCTATTTATTGGTTTAGTTTCATGAATATTGTCTACTTATTGTTCAAGTTTTATAAACAGTGTTGACTTCTTGGTTCAGTTTCATAAGGTTTGAGACTTAGATCATTTTTTGTCCTGTAAAAGCACCAATTACGCCGAAAATGGAACCCAAAAGTGATCATTTAGATCAAAACCTTGAAAAGTGTTCTCAGTAATTATATTTATGATGTTGGTTTCAATTACTAAATTATAATTTCCTCACATTTTTTACATACCAACAAAAATAAATGTAGCTCTCCATCCAATTTTTTGAGCTTGAGTGTCATCTTGGAGAAATTTTACCTTGTGACCGTAACACAAGTGGTACACTACGTGTTATTATGTAAATAGCGAGAAATTTTATTGTTTTATGTTATTAATTTTTTAACACAAGAATCTCACAACTTGTATAGAGACATGTGGTGTACCACCCTGTGCTCCGGGCACATTGAAAAATTTCTCATCATCTTGACTATTATTGGAAAAAAAAAACACCACAAATATAAAAAACTGGGGAATGCAATTCAGTTTGAACTCTTTTTCTTATTCTAAGCAAAAATAAAATAAATAAAAAATCTATTAATGTATCAGACAATCGGGAAAAAAAGTGGAGTGTGGAAGGGGGGTTGGGGGACGCGCCCAGCACAAGTTGGGTTTTTTATGTTTATTTTTTTTAAATTCTTTTGTCCTTATCATTAAATAAAGTTAATAGATAATTTTTTATTAAAATGTAAAGATTTGAAACCCTTTCTATTAGTTTTCCTTTAAAAAATATGTAGAATTATTGTGATATCCCGTCCCCAAAATTATTATTTTATTTTATTTTTGACGTATTTCGAAGATTTGATTGGAACTAGTTCTTTATTTCTCTAAATTTCAGAAAAACGAAGTGAGGGGTAATTTAGTCATGTCTAATTTTCTCAACTTTTTCGGTCGACTCTTGAGTTGGTTAGGTAGAGTTCGATTCCATGAGCGCGTAGGCGTAAACAGATCTTATTTCCGAGTCCGAACGGAAAAGTTAGAGTCGTTTGAAGTTGATGGCATTTTGGTAATATTACCAAAATGCTATAAATTGGGGGGAAACCTTCAGAAATGGGAGGGGGATTTCAGAAAATGGGAAATGGAAACTGCACAAAACCGTTTTAGGGGGAAATTTGACCCATAAACCCACCACACTTGATCTGCTTGTATCTTTTTCATCCGAGCTCCGTTTTGGATGATCTTGGTGTCCCTGGAAAGCTCTTGACGAGCTCTACATCTCTGTGATTTTATATTTTCCCATTTCTTTTTCCATCTGTGCAGTTCGAGGTCGCAAAGTCCACGACCTTGCCGGCGGATTTATCATCTTTCCGGCAATTCCGGCAACGATTTCCTTCGAGTGAGGTATGAAACTTAATCTACTCTTCATAATCTTCAAGTGGGTATGCTTAGTTTGTGTTGTCGTATTCATTTTAGAGTTGGGTGTTTAGAACACCTAGAAATCCAGTTTTCTCCGGTGAAATTGGACTGTTTCCGGTTAGAATTTATCGTCGGCCTAGTTGTGAAAAGTGTTTCCCTTGTTGAGCTCTATCTACCACGTAAATTTGAGTTCATCTAGTTAATGTTGAAATTCGGGGTTTGTAAACCCTCCCTCTTGACTTCCACCGCGTGTGGCGGTGCGTGGGATCGTTCACGAGTGTTATCTAGGTTTCATATACCTTCTAATGATCATGTGAACCTATGTCTAGCTTGGTTGCCAAAGATTCAATTGTTGGGTGTGGTGATCAATTTGGACCGCCACTTATTTATGTGATTGACGACAATTCGACCATTGGATCATAATGAAACTTTAGTATGTTATCCTCGAAGCATAATGTGGACTTTGGGAAGTTATGGATCATAAATCTGAATTGCGGATTGTTGTGGACCCCATCGTTGACCGAGAGTTGAATTATGGTCAACATGTCTCGGAACGTTCTAAATAATAAAATTAGTACCATGGGAGACTTAAGTGAAGTCTAGTGGGCCTACATTGGTTAGAGAGTGACTTGAATATGTGTGATATGGTTATTACCTTGATTTCTTATATTGGCATCATATGTGAATTTGACTTGGTCTTATAATGTGATTCTATTGAAATGTGATTATATATATATACATATATATATATATATATATATATACATATATACACACACATTTAGCAATGGACCTAAGTTTATTAAACATGATTTGGTTTGTGTACTAATGATGATCGTGATATGTGAATTGACGTGCATATTCGAAAGGTGTTTGATTTACATAAATGGTATGTTATGATGAAATGTGTGTGACTTTAAGATATGTGAATATGAAATGATTTTATAATCATTTTTTTTTATAAATTGTTAATTTTCATATTTAGCCAATGATATAGTTATATGAAGTGGGATTTGACGTGCATATTGGAAATATGGTTTGTTTTGTATGATTGGCTTGATATGATGTGGTGAGGGCTAGTGGTGGACCGTTAACCCATTGTCATGGGGTTTGTTGTTTTGAAACATGTGTCAATGCTCGTTTCATTATTTCATATCTTGTTTCGTTGAGCCTTTATAACTGGAGTAACTTGAGTCATGTGTTGTTTCATTGGTTGGTGGTTATGCAATGTACTCCGCGATTCCGTTGAGTGATGGTCTGCAATCGTATCCTGGTTTGGATTCCGTTGAGTGATAGTCCGGAATCCTTCCTACTCCACTTTGTGATTCCGTTGAGTGATGGTCAGGAATCGTATCTTGGTTTGGGTTCCGTTGAGTGATGGTTCGGAATCCTTCTTACTCCGCGATCCCGTTGAGTGATGGTCTGAGATTGTATCCACCTTAGTTCATTGAGTTTAGTTTAAGATGGTTGCAAATGTGTAGGCTTTGGATGAACTGTGTCGCCCTAATTGTACTTTCATTGTGTGTATGTGAATATGGGTGTGAGATGTTATGGTCGTTTGAAATGAACTTTTAGATGTCTAGGTGCCTCCCTCGGAGTTTTCAAAAGTTTGGTGTTGATTTCTTATGAAGGATTTATATTCAATGTTTATAAATTTTGATTGATGGCTAGGTTTATTATTGTATCACATGTTTATTTTATTGTCCCTTACTCGAGCCTCTCAACTTATCTGAGTGCCTGAATTACCAGTGCACCAATTCCATAATATTGACATTGACTTTACATATGACATGTTTGGGTAGATTATGAGAAAACCGCTTGATATTTTGGTTCCGTTGAGTGGTCCGGAACCCAATGTTGTTGGATTCTGTTGAGTGGTCCGGAATCCTTGCTCTTGTTCATTCCGTAAGGTGATTTAGAATCCTAAATTCAAGTAGATGAGAATTACCCACAATAGATATTGTGAAAATAAATTAGAATTACCATGTTATTATTCTTAACCCAAATTGGGAATTATGTAGAGTCCTTTAATTAAATTCGTGAAATGATATGTTATCTCATTGATTGATTAACGTAATTAAATGTTAATATTGTACTTCGTGATTCCTTGATATGTTACAAGCTATGTATTGAAATATAATGTTGGAAGTATAGTGATTAGTATGATGAAGTGAAATGTGATGTAACTTGGGTATTGGAAATGGTTATGACACATGATTTTAATGCATACTGAATTTCTTGGGAGATGTGAGGTCTAGTAAATGACCGATGACCCATTGTGATGTGGATTTTACTCAAATATTGCTTCGTTTCGTTGAGTTTCGTGAATTGGGTAACTTGAATCATGTCTTGTTCCTTCGAGCTGTTGTTATGTTTCTTGGACTTCCGTTCAATTCGGTTGGGTGGATTGGAACTGAGTTCTATTTGGATTCCGTTGAGTGATGGTCCGGAATCCCCTTTGGAGCCTTGGTCCGTTGTGCGGTCCAAAATCCCCTTTTCTAAAGATGTAGTCTTCAACTGAATTGTGTTGCTCTAGCCTTGCGTTTCGACTTGTATGTGTTATTGATGATGTGATTGTGGAATGACGTTGGATATGAGTGGAATTATCATGAGTATTTTAGTTGATTAATATTTCTAGAGATTAATATGTTCTTTGTTAATTCTTAAATATGTTACTCGCTATGAAACGCGAATTTATGTGGGAAACGTGAGGAATTTATGTGAGGGTTGAAGTGGATATGTTAATCGTCATGTGTGATTGTTATGTTGGATACCATGGTCATTGTTATGACTAGACTTGTTGATAAATGTGGTTAGAGAATGGTATTATAAATCGTTGGTTCTTTGAAATGATATATGTTGTGAATTGCGGTATTATGTTGTGACATAATGACCTATATATTGATGGAGGGGAAATCATGATTTTCAGATGGGTTGTTATGTAACCCTGAGTCCAGTATTTTCATGCTTGTCAAGTTCTATTGATTGATTGAGAAATGTTATACCTTTTGAGTTAATCGGACTGTGTTATATATCAATTATTGTGCATGACGAACTACGAATGGCTTGATCTCTGTCTAGGGTACGTAGGCAGTCTAACAGAGAGGTTAGATGCAGCCATAAAGCATACGAAAATAACTATGTGATTCGATTATTGAGTTGTGCTTGCCCATATCCCGAAGGTGGGATATGATAGATACGGATTTTTGGTGACGCCACGTGTCAATTTTGGACGTATGTCGGGATTGGGGCATGACAATTATTGTCTATTTTAATGCAATTCTGCAAAGTTAATTTTAATAGAAAATACTACTCTCTAATGATTTTTCGGACCCAAGGAAAAGAAGACTTCAATTATTAGGTTATGTGAATCAACTGATAGAGCCATGCAAAGATGGCCACCTACCTATTCCAAAGCTAAAATTTCAAGAGGAAATCTACATCAATGATTTGGTAAGATGACTCAAATGTGAGAACCAATCAGAGAGCACCAAAAGATAAACCTCGGTACTCAGAGCAACAAAATGACAAACCAAGGAATGCAACGATTATGATGTACTCAATTATATTTCAGGAAAAGACTACAAAACCTACTACCCCAAGCCTATATTGTTATATCACCAACGTCCAGTTACAGATAAGAATCAGAATAAGCACCATAATCTAAAAGACATGATTTTATCACGCAAAGAGAAGAAGGATATCAGCTGATGATTTTCTGTACTTAATTATCAAACCACTGCATACTTTGATTGTGTGGGAATAGTTTTATGCCAACAGAAGCAATATGGCTTCTCCCAACCCAACAAAAGGGTTTTCTTTTTTTGTTGAAAAAAAAATTTCACATGCAACATTCATTTACCTGTAATTGAAGAATACGAAGCGCCGGAAACTGGAATTCGTCCACAAAAAATCAAAACAAACTCCCCTGCAAAGCAACCAAACTTAATTTCAGCAATCTTATCTAAAATTTAAATTTAAATTTTAAATCTCATACTAAACAACTTTTTGAGTCTTAAAAGAAAATTGTTTTTAAGAGATGTCCTTAAAAAAATATTTTGAGAAATGATGAAATTTTTTTAACATAATATCAAACAAGCCCTCAAGACCTGGTTTGGTATTGAGGTGATTCTGAAAAAAGCTGGTGTCAAAAAAAGCTGGGAGTTGTTTTTGTGTTTGGTAAACATTCAGCTTCAGCTTTAGCTTTTTTTCACAGTTTTGGATGAAAAAAACAAAAAACAAGAAGCTGCAAAACCCAGCTTTGAAAAATTGATTTTTTCACATCTGTTTTACATAAAAGTTTACCAAACACTATAATACTGTTTTTTTTTTTTGAAAAACACTTTTACAAAAAAGTTTACCAAACATTCTGTTGCTTTGTTTCACAGCCGCTTATTCTCACAGCACAGTAGAATCATCTTTTTTTCAAAGCATAACAATATCAAACCAGCCCTAAAAGCCTTCGGAGCCTGAAAACAAAAGTTTCAAAATCAGAAAAACCAATGAAACCAAACCCAATTTAAAACAAACTTTTCAAGTATTTGAATATTATTTATGGATCAAAATCATTTTTCCATTTTGTATTTGTATTAATTCTATGAAGCATGCAATTAGTGAAAAACAAAACCAAATTCAACACATCCAGAATTCAAGAATCTTGAGTACCTAAAAAACTTCTTACCTGACCCACAACCAATACTTTTTTTTTTTTTAATAACAAAGCCCTCGAGTCCTCGATCATTAATTCAGAAAATAATGCATGCTACCCAGACAAAGAAAGAAAAAAAAAAAAAGGAGCCCCAAATTGGTAGGAGAACTCACCATGAAACCGAACTTTTTCTGGGCTTAAGGATTTCTTCGAATCGGGACCGGATTTTGTTGTGGTTAACAGGTTTTAAGAGAGATTGTGCTGGGGTTCGTGGTCTTTTTAGAGAGAAGATTTTTTGGTTCGTGGTTTGTGAGAGAGAGCACTGCTGAGATTCTGCACGCAAATGGAACAAACAGGTCTCTTCTAAGAGGTGGTGGCACCCCCAGCCAACAAATAGTAAGTGGAAATTTGTAAATCCACCGATCAACATTGAAAAGCAAAGCAGGAATGGGAAGAAAAACGAAAGGTATTTTCGTGAAGTCACTGTTGGTAAACAGTGCCCTTCAACTGAAGTTTTCGTATAGGTATCATGACACAATACTTAGCGTAGTGCATTGTATACAGTGCTGTATTATGGCGGCTGAAAGCTGATCGGAAATTTCACTAGGCATGGAGGGCCTTCAGTCAAAAGGTAAGTGCTTCATGGGATTTCATGCTAAATTATGGATTTATTTGATTTTAGTTTTTGAATTTATGTTGTTTGTTGGTTGTTTGGTGATTTGCTGTAGTCTAGAAGGAAGTGTAACATATGATAATGGCATGTGTTTGCTGGCTTAATTAATGTTGTTTTTGTTTGTTTTACTAAACATGGTAAAACGTGAACTCCGAACAATTTGATTCTTCATTAGAGTACGTAGAAAGTCTAACACAAAAACATAAAAGTTAAATGAAACCATAAAATTAAAAAATATTACTGAGTTGCTGAACCATTTATTTGCGTTTTCGATCATGTCTCGAACGCAAAGCATGATACATATATAAATATCGGTAACATTATATGTCGATCCTATAGACATATCTTAGAATCAAAACGTAACAAAATACCTTCAGCGAGAAGGCATCTTCTACCAAAGATGGTCCACAAAAGGACACGCATTATGGAAAAGGAATCCAATAATGCTGCAACACGACAAAACCAAAAGATAAGGGAATCTTACAAACATTAATAAAGTAAATTAAAGCAAACCATTCCTTCCTAAGGAAACATTTCATGATAAGGAATGTCTGCCTTTCATTTTTAATGTTTTTTGTGTTTTTTATTTTATGTAATTACGATTAAATTATGTTAATATTTTATATTTTTTTATAAAAATAATAAAATAAAAATAAATAATAATATAAAATATTAACGTAATTTAAATGTAATTACATAATAAAAAAAGTACAGAAAGAACATCAAAAGTAGAGATCAGACCATTAATAAAGTAATAGCTGGCAAACTTTGACGTCTACATCACGCCAGTGTAGCGTGGCAAAAACGCTTGCTTTATTCACATGTTTTGTCTGCAATAATAGGGCCGATAGAAATATAAAGATGGATTCTGACTTCTTTCATTTTCATACTCTTATTATTTTTATTTATTTATGTGATTACGGTTAAATTAAGTTAATATTTTCTATTTATATTATTTTTTATTTTATTATTTTTATAAAAAATTAATAAAAAATATTAACATGATTTAATAATGATCGTACAAACCGAAAAGGAAGAGAAGAGTATGAAAACGAAAGACAGACAATTCACCTCTTAAGAATATCGTCCCTATCTCCTGGAAGCTTTATTGACGCACTGCCTGATGTCATCAATCTTGTCTGCTGCCTTCGTCGCAAGCTAAGATTGGCCTGTAGATAAGTCCCTTGGTAGTGTCTGGCCGTCGCAACCATGGTGAAGCTAGGATTATCACCGAGTGTAATGAGTGGACAGCTAGGATTATCACCAATTCTGAAATTCTGAAACTCTTCTCCATTGATTCGAAGTTTAGGAAAACTATAGGGTAAAATCCCTATCTGGTTATTTCTTTCAAAACTGTAGGCTGTAACAATTACTCCAGGGATACCTGTGATGTTGTCCATGAAGTACTGACAAACTTGAATGTAGAGAAGGAAACCAACTTCTTCTTCTCTTTCGAGAATCTGGAATTGGATTTCTGCTGGAAGCTTTTCAAAATTTCTTCGAACATATGGATTTCCAGTAACCTGAAATTCCATCTCATTAACCTTCTTTGATCTTTCATAATCTAATTCTACATCTAAACACTCAATCTCTACGCTCATCTGAGTGTTTTAACTCTCTTAACTCATCTATTTCTCTTTTTATTCTCTCTAATTCCTCCCTTAAACTGTTTTCACTCTGGATACAGATTTTCTCTCTATTTTTCTGTCATGAATTGTGCAAAAGCTATACTTGCTGCATCTCTTGTGTGAAATCCTTTGTGAAGACTATTTGGAAATTCTGAAATTTTTGCACAAACTTTTTCCCAAGAATCATAAATTCCAGGGTTTCTTCGTTTGAAAACACAATAAAAAGCATAATTTTCATTTTCTATGAAAAGACTGCGGGCGTAAGCCAGCATTCCGAAAATGATTGCTTCTAATTTTTAAATTCATTTGATGTAAAACAAAGCAAAGACACCGCAAAGCGTGGAGGAGTCCGGCTTGATGCCTGTTCTCTAAAAACTTGGTATAATAAATTGAAAGATCTTCTGAAAAAGCTACTCTTTTTGGCTTGGTTTTATCTGAAAATTTGGAAAACTCGGCAAGCCAACTGGTTGTTTTTCTGGAAAACTCTGAGCTGAGTGACCTCCTGAAGAACTGCTGCTTGATGATGCCATTAGTCTGAAAAAATATCAAAGGATCTTGAAAGTAAATCTGCAAAAAAATATCAAAGGATCTTGAAAGTAAATCTGAAGAACTGCTGCTTGATGGTGCATTCTTTGATCCAAAAGGTAAGTCATTCCACTGGAAATGTCCTTCACTGCAACCAAATGCTGTCCATGGACTACTACTTTCTTCTAACTTAATCTGCCAGAATCCACTTTTACAATCGAATTTACTAAACACTCTTTTATCTTGAATCCTACTGATTAAAAGATCTTATGTAGGGATCTTATAAGCATCTGAGTATGTATTATCATTTAATCTTTTATAATTTATTACCATCCTAGCTTTTCCTCTAACTTGCATTGCTATATTTCTGACCATAAAAGCTGCACTTCTATGAGGATTACTACTATGTCTAATAATTCTTTGATCTAGTAATTCTATCATCTATTAGAAAACACGTGGGGTGTATTAGGATAAATTTTAATTGAAAAAGTATATGTGGGATGTGTTAAGTATATGAAGTGTAGTGAACAAAACATGAGGCGTGAATAAAACAACTTCCTTCTAAACTTTGTATGAAATTAAATCCTAAAATAAAGTTATACTGGTGTTTAATATTACTTTTTTTTTTTTTGAACGTGTTTAATATTACTTATCCAAGTATGTGGCAAAACATACTGAATACCATTAGTTCCAAAGCGAATAAGGACTGGCTTCTCCTATAGCTATTTCTCTTACTGTTTATAAGGACTGGCTTCTTCTAGAGCTATTTCTCTTATGGCGTGTTTACCAAACTGGAATGGAGGTAGAAGAAAGGGAATTGAATTCCTCTCCAAGTGATTCCGGCGTTTATCAAATTTTAGGAATAAAAAAATTAGTGAGCTCCACCCAAAATCAGTAATCGGATCCCTAATATCCCCGAAATCCAAATACTGACTTGAAGGTGGTAATTGAATTCCGGAAGAAAGCCAACATCCGGAATCAAACTTCTCTATTGAAATTGCCCTGCCCTTCCCATCTGCCTCCCACGATTCAACAACCCAAAAGGTTTGCTGCTACCCTTCAACAATATGCTGCCCGTCGGATCGAGAAAGTTGAAGCTTAGACGGAGAGAATGAGAAATAGCTAGAGAGACTGAGAGAGAGAGAGATGACGTTCTATTAGTTGTTTTACCAATAAAAATCGACGAGACCCACCGCCGGATGAGCCAACATTATCACACCACCTATTCGACTTTTATGTAAATGATTGGTCCATCAGTATCAGCGTACTGAGATATTCAACATCTGAAAGTTTCACCACTCAAGCTTTCTTTCAGATTCTCAGAAAATGGATACCAAATTCTCGCAATCCAAACAGAAGGCTAACGCGGCAGCTGTGCTCCAGAAATCATGGTACCACCTTAGGCTATCGCGAAGATAACGAAGTGAAAAGGGATTGAAAAAAAATAGAAAATAAAATGATAATGTAGAGGCTGCAAGAGGTTATGATCTTGCTGCACTTAAGTATGACTGTTCTTCAACTCATATAAACTTTCCAGTAGGGCTCAAACTGTTAAGAGTTTTATGATTTTGTAAAAGCTTTTTAGTAGCAGAAGCTTGGTCTTTTTGCAGTTGTGTTATTACACTATACAACTTGAGTTAGTATGGGTTTCTTGCTAACTGATATGACTTAGGAATTCTAAAAGCGGTTGTATTTTACAATATACAACTTCAGTTAATATCAGTTTCTTAATGAGTGGCATGAGAATGTCAAATTTTTTCTTAATTTAATTTATGAATGAAATGCATTTAAAGGTGGTGCTATGTGATGAAGTTAGCATTTTGTTTTTTATTATATACTGATGGTGGACATTTTTAGCATATTGATTGAGAAAGATTTATCATTTTCTATAAAATAAAGCTTCATTCTCACCATGTTGTTGATGTTTTTTGTGATTTGAATTTATAGTGCTTCTAAATGCTGTTTTAATTTAGGAATTTGAATAATTGTTTTAATTTAGGTTAATGCAGGATCTGAAATTTGTAATGATCATTTTCATATTTCTATAAATTTTGAGAGAAAAAAGCATGTGAAAAAGCACATTAGTCTCTAGGTATAAATCACATTAGTCTAATTATGGCTAGGATAAAAAAGCATGTGATAAAGTGAAGACGGGGATAGAGAAAAGGCTTTCGGGAAAGTGCAAAATGGGAAGAAGATAGTTTGGGGGGAGGGAGGGGAAGGAGGAAATTACTCAAAAGAAAGGGAAAAAATAGGGGAACAAGCTTATTCCACTAGCTAGCTAGTTCATATAGTGTCTTGCAAGCTGACATTGTTTTTATGTAGTGAGTTTGAAACCAAACTTATGAGTGAAATTAAGGTCATTTACCATTAGATCACAGCCATACTATTGTCTAATGGTCACAATTTCATTCTACCTCTTTATTTCAACCAACCACTATAAAAAATAATGACTTTGCTAAGAAGACTAAACTTTGTATTTGGAAGGAACCACTAATGTAAAAAGAAGACAATAAAACACTGATTGAAAACCATAACCTTAAATTGATTGGCTTGTGATGTTAACTTAATAGAATGTAAACTCAAATTGAACTACTTATTTTACCGTATCGATTCACCTATCTCTTGATTTTTCAATTATTTGTAGATGACTGTTAATTTGTGATTTTGTGGGAATTACTCAAGTAAAATGTGCATTGTCTAAATTGCTGCATTTCAGAATGTGATTGTGGTGCTGCTGCCTTTTGAGTGAATTTTTCTATGAATATTATTTAAAGACTGTTGTCTATTATAGTTTGAAACCCCGCAGCAGAGTGCGGGCAATTTTTCTAGTATTAAGCTATAATAGATACCAGAAAACCAAAAAGCTCTATCGACAGTAATTTCGTATGTTCGTGTTGGTAGTTTAACCAACAGTAGAGAAAAGAAACAAATAGTAAAACTTTTAGAACAAAA